AATATGGAAAAACAGAACAAAAAAACAGACAACACTATAACAAAACAAACCCAAGCATGTAACTAGACTGAAGGCTTCTAGAATGGGATTCTGGGGCCGGGAACGAAGGGAGGAGGGGGGCCTAGTGTTGTAAAGGGATAGGGTGCTTTGAATGGTGGGGATAGGGTGGTGACATAGATCTGAGAAGGTATGAACCTGCTCCTTTACATCATGTACAGTGTGACGGCAATAAAAGATAACAGTGTGGACAAGAAGTATTTTTGTTTTGATAGACTGGAAAATAACAACTTCTAGACTCAAAGTTCCTTAAAGAATGAAGAAAAGGGTTGGATAGTAAGTCGATGGAGTAAAGAAGTGGAACAAAATTACCAAAATGATTATTTTTGAGAAGGGAGAAGTCTGGAAACAGGGGTGGAAAGAGTAGAGAGAGAGAAATGCTCTGGGATGAAGGGAGGAAGAATTAAAGCCAGTGATTACATCCAGAAAGGCACAAAGAAGCAGCAACATAGATGAAAAGCGTATCAGGATGTGTCCTTTGGTGTGAGGATAATAAAAAAAATGTGTGGGGCATAGGTTTTAGGAAATGCAATAGTAGCTAATTACATAGGATTGAAAATATTGCTAAAAAAAATATATATATAGCCCCAATAAGATGGCCAATCACATGTATTAAGCCAAGGCTAGTTTGTGAAAGGTTTAGATTTACTTCGATGTTCTTTAATTTCTCCTTTTGGTATATCAAGCCAGTTACACCGTGAATTGTGTTCAGGGGTGTCTCCCTCTGCCTCATGTATTTTATTAGAGGATATCTGATAGGTAGCCACAACCAATTTTTAGAAACAAAGAATCTCACATATGGTCTCACCCAACCCCCATTTTTCAATGGAGAAAATTGAGTCAGCAGAGACTCCCCAGGGGTCATGCTACTAGTTCACAGCTGACAAACACTGAAGCCAAGCCACCACCTGCCTTCTGCACTACAGTTTGAGGAACTATGGATTTTTTTTAAACAAAGAAAGCAATTATTGTCAGTATTGAGACTGCTAGGGAGATCCAAGCACAGGATTATGCCAGTCAAACCAACACCATTTCAACAGTTTTTTTTTTTAAAGATTTATTTATGCATACAAGAGCTGGGGTACAGGCCAGAGATGCAGGGGGGGTGAGAGGATCTACCAGAGACAGAGTGGGGAACAGAACAGGCAGACTGACTGAAATAAATTGCTGAAGGGAGCAGTGGGCGAAACAGGAGAGGTCTGCTTCGCCATGTGGTTGCTCCCTGGCCGGCCGGGGATTGAACTCATGCTGCAGAGGCTGTGGATTGCTTCATAGTGCAGTGCTTAACCCCTTGCGCCACCAGGGATGCCCAACATTCAACAGTTTCTTACCACCACACTGGGATGGGAGACACCCTGTTTCTTAAAATCCAGATGGCTAGAGGCAGGCTTTCCAGAGGCCAGGTGTGATGACAACCACTGAGCTGTTGCCTATATTTTTCTTTTCTTTTTTTTTTTTTTTAAGATTTATTTATTTATATAAGCACTGGGTACAGTCAGAAGTGCGGGAGGGTGAGAGAATTCACCAGAGCGAGAGCGGGGAGCAGAGCAGGCAGAAGGACCGAGGTACACTGCTGAGGGGAGCAGCGGGCGGCAGGAGAGGTCTGCGCACCACGTGGGACCCTCCTCTGGTGGCCGGGGAGCAGCTGGGGATCGAACCGGCGCTGCAGAGGCTGCGGGCAGCTTCGCAACCCAGCGCTCAACTGCTTCGCCACCAGCGGGTATTTTTAACAGACTTGCTACCTCTCCATGCACTTTTGTCAGAGTTTAATCATCCACAGAAAATGATGTAATCAATGTTTCATACTGGATGTCTTCAGACAGTAATGGGAAGTCTGTGACATCGTATCATAGCGAAAACACACACACACACACACACACACCCCCCCACCACCCCCACCCCACCCGACCCCCACCCCCAACCCCCGCCCCGAACAGAAAAAGTCCTTCCTAATGCTGAAAGGTATTGTGATTCCTTTTGCTCCTTTTTTAGAGTCAGTTCACCTATCTTTTTTTCACCTCCTTTTTTCCCCCCAAGCCTGAAGTTGAAAGATGGTCCAATGCAGTAGAAGAAGTTTTAGTTTGGAAGGCAGAAGAGCCATGTGTTTGGCTCTTTCACTGATTATGAGACCTTATTTCTCAGCTTTTTGTTTTTCTTATATTTTGTGCTCTGCTTTTAGTTTATTGAATGGATAAGCTGAAAATTAAATTATCTCAGGCCCTCAGCAAATGTACAGTGTAAACATTTACTGTGTTTTTCCTTCATTTTGCATTGATTCTGTAGGAAAGTTATGTTTGATGAGGTCTTATGCAGTGTCATTTTATAAAATATTATATAAATTGTAGACTTAGTGCTTAAGGTGATTGAATAGTTGCCCATTTAAAGCAATTATATTCTAACTTCGGAATGATCTTATACTCACCTAAGTACCCATTGTATTCATTGTATACATATCTATGGAGTTCCTAGTGTGTGCTAGCTATAGCTGTTTTTTTTTAATAAAGGCTTGTATTTTGCTTTAAAATTAACAACAAATTAATTCACTACTTTATAACTAAGTAGTTTTTGTTTGCTATCACTTTTACAATTTGCAACTCACTTACATTAACAATTGTCAATTAAGCCAGTGTTGATGAGTATACATCTGTAACGGAAGATTTGCAGTCTGTACATTTAATTTTCCTGACAAATTTAGCATAGGACAGGGTTTTTTTTCCAAATGCTTTTTAATCAAAAATATAAAAATGCTAACATTTTTTAAAGTACAAGCTGGATATTTTTTAACATATGGATAACTTTTTAGAACAGAATATTTCTGCCCCATTTTAGGCGTAGGAAGGTGGAATGAAATCAAGCTAGATGGAAAGCCCTGGAATCTGGCCTTTGCTTGTTGTGTTAGAACACTGGGCAGCCCAGATCATGCAAGTAATCCAGGACCTCAGAAATGTTTCCAAACTAGAGATGCATAATTGTGGTGGCCCATCTGGTCTGATTTTAGCATCTCAGCATTTCGCTGAAGTTCTATAATAGCCTGGGCAGAGATAAAACAACAACAGAAATTCCGTGCAGCGTACTTGTTAGAAATGTTCATGAATCAATGCTGATGTTTTGTCAGGACACAAAGGATTAGAATTCTGTAACATTTGTTCCCAGTAGCAGGTAGTGTTTTGACTGGATCAGCCAGCCTCCTTCCCTCATTCTGATTTTTGCTACTATGGGACATAGGACTGAAGTTTAGGGAGCAGCGTGTACGAAATACAAACAAATGAATGGTTTGGTGGTTGGTGACTAGCAGGAAGTAGGCTGTATGTGCAACTGCATCCCTCTTTCTGTGCCTTTTGAACTCTGACCCCCTTGCTTCACGGACTTGCACAGGGTCCCTCATTTACATGCTTGGTTTAATGCTTCCCTGTTTCCATCTTCAAGTTCTGAATTTAATTTTGAATACAGGGCCCCATGTTTCCATTTGCAGTAAACCCACAGATTAGGTAGCCAGTTCTGTCCCTCATTTCCAAAGATTTGGGCTAACAGTTTTGCATCATCATGAACTTGGTGCCAGAGCCCAATAAACATATTTAGCATGAGTAAAATGAGTGACTTTTTAAAACTTTAAATAAAAGCAATTGACTTGAGTCTTAGTCCATTTCATTTTGCTGCAGTGGGAATAAGGGAATGATACTGATTTAAGGAAAATTTAAAATAATAAGAAATAACCTAAAATAGTATAACAAGCACCTATGTTTCCATTATCACACTTGACAGCCTTTATTTTATTCTATATTTTTAAAATGTTTATCTGTTGGCCCCACCTCTAAGCCCTTTTATGTCCCTATCTGGTCTTTGGGAGCCAACGCACTATCATAAATGGTGTGTTGTCCTGTAAAGGTTGTTGTTCCTTTACAATGCGAGAATTATGTATAAGGATATATCTCATGTGAGTGTTTGAATATTTATGTAGAGGATATGAAACAATATTGTTCTGCACGTGTTATCAGTATTTTGCTTGTAAAATCTGGCTACATGAATACATGTCCCTCTGGCTCATTCATTTCTCCTAATTACATGCAGTAGTAATGAAATTCCGTGTCCTGACCTGCTTTGCTAAGTGAGATTGTTCAGAGCAGAGCTGGAGAAGTTTTTCTTTGCACTCCTGGTTCTGCCACTGCCACAGTGATAAAAGTCACTAGCTGGGTGACATTGGGCAAGATACGATCTTTTGAAAATCCATACATATTCACATAATTTGTAGGATTGATTTAATAATTTCCACCACTTGATGTTTTTGTGACAATTAAATGATGTGATATGTGAAACCTAGCATGTGATAAAGGAACAAAAATATTATGGTTGAGATTATCATTACTTTGCCATTTTTATGGTAAATATGAAACTAAGCAAATGTGTAATGGTGATCTTTATGTTGTTTTCTCATTGTACTGTTAGCTTAATTATTGGTTATGACTATTTTTATAAAGGTAGAAAATTTTACCCTTAAAATGTAGTCTTGGATACCTGCTAGCATCTCATGTTCCTCTTTTATAAAACTGAAAGATACTGTACACCTTCCACCAGGGAAAATGGCTTAAATCAATGCAGTTATGAGAATAAAATATCAAGTATTCATAAAATGATGCCTATCCTCTACTCTATGCATAATATCCATTGTTTTTCCATTTTAATTTTGCCAAGTAGCAAACAATAGAATGCAGGGGGCTGTAATTCTGTCAGACAATAATAACTACACTGCACAGTTCCCCTAATTTGCAATTGGTAATTAAAAGTGAAAGTGATCATTTTTTGCATGTTCTTTGCAAATTCTTAAAAAATCTAAATAGAGGCCAATACTAAATATAGTCTTCAGAGTATGGGAGTCATGATGTGCTTGAAATAATATTTTGAATCTCCTTGTGTTTTTAAAACATTAAATTTGGTTTATTCTGCAGATTGTATACAATTCGCTATAGAGAAAAGGATAAGGAAAAGAAATGGGTTTTTCAACTCTGCCCAGCCACTGAAACAATTGTAGACAATCTAAAGCCCAATACAGTTTATGAGTTTGGAGTGAAAGATAACATAGAAGGTGGAATTTGGAGTAAGATTTTCAACCACAAGACTATTGTTGGAAGTAAGTACCTGAAACTGTTTCGGTAAGCTTTCTTCAATTTATTTTCCCTAATTCTCAAAGTTTTAATTTTGTTATTGGTTGTATAATGTGAGATAATTCCCAACTCTAGTACTTGAGAAAATACAAAGTGAACAAAATTGATTGAATATTGACATTTCAAAGTATTTAATTATGAGTATTTTTTAAAAGTGATATTTACATTAGTAAAAATTCATTGGCCATTGCAAGCCAATTTAAACCAACCCTTGACTGGTTGAACACCAACTAAATCAAAAAACCAGTGATGTGAGCAAATGTTCAGAATGGAAATTTGGGCACATTTAGAGTTGGACATAAAGACATCAAGGAGTCCTGAGCTTATTTTCCTTTACCCCTTTATTCATTATTGGAATCAGTGTTTGAAATGATAGTAAATAAAGTAATATACCCAAGTTAGAGTAGTTATCTTCACAATGATTTAGATTTAATTCAGGAAAAAAGAGAATGGAGGAAGGAGATAATGTCACTTCCCTCTTGCTTTTTTTTTTTTTTTTTTTCAGGTAAAAACAAAGTTAATGGGAAAATCCAGAGTACCTCTGACCAAGTCCACACAGTGGTATGTATCAGATTATTTTTAAGAATTTTTTTAAAAAAATGTTTCTGCATTGTTTTTTTGAACAATAGTCCTGTTATGAGTTACGGAAACAGAATTAACTGACTAGGATGAGAGTCAGTTAAGTAGTTAATGGGTAAAGTAGTTAATGTCTTAGAAATTAGTCTTTTTCAGAAAGTGGATGCAGAAGGTATGTAATTAAGTCATCTTTAATTTGTCTAAAGCTCTAAAAATTCTCATAGTCAATACAGTTACTGTTAGTATTTCGGTATTCCAGGAATTCTGAAGTTATACTTGCTATCTCCCATCCTGTGGATTTTTTTTCACCCTAACTTTTCAAAAACAGACTGGTACCTGCTCTGGTTACATTGCTGCTGTCAAATCCTTCCCCTGTGTTCTATCAGTTTGTGTTTAAGAGCTAATGCTTTTCTAAATTGAAGCAACTACTAGTTTGGTTTCTTGAAATGCCCTGCCTGTCTTCTTTTTCTCTCTTACCTATGATACTGTCAAATAAGACCAGTATAAAACCATTTATGGTCTACTCTTTTTTTAATTTATTTTATTTTTATATTCTCCATACAATTGCAACCCCCTTATTTTGACCCCAGTCTCTCCTTTCCCTGCCCCCCACATATGGTCTACTCTTAAAACTTAAGAACATTTTTTTATTTATATTTTTCTGATCACTGATAAGCAGTTCTTTCTTAATTTGTTTATTAGACATTTGCATTTTCCATCTGATGTCCCTTAATTTTAGTTCTTTGATTATTGGGCATCTCATTTTGTTATTGAATAAAGACTTTAGATTAGAGATCCTTCATGATAATATCTAAAACAACTATTCTCAAATTTATCAATTTTGTTTATAGGAACTTTTGAAATCGTCATTTCTGAAATTGGCTTAATCAAATTATTTGTCTTTTCCATTGCTCTCTACAATTGCATTATATTTTAGAAAGCCCTTCCCTATCCAGAGAATAGGCCAGTCCCCTGTTTTTTATTAATTTTATGAGTGTTTTGATTTTGTAAAAATTAAATTCTAAACTGTGTGGGTGTTGTTTTGCTATGTACTAAGGTTCTATGTTTGCTGTGTACTAAGGTTCTCTAGGTTATATATTCCCCCAAATCTTGACCTCAGACCAAATATTGAATTGTGCCACTCCTAAGGCTCCTTTGGCTTTGTTTCTCTTAAATCCAGTCACTATTGTGTAGGAAAGGTAAATCTGCTGTATCTCCAGGTAAGAGGTTTTTTCATCCTCTTCTAGAACAATCCTAGGAAGATGTCTATTTCCCATTCTTTGGCTGTCGTGCTTTATCTTGCACTTGACTTGAGGTCATTTCACTCCTTTTCAGAGATTTTATCTCCACACTTTATATTTCTTACTGCAGAATATTTCATTTAAGGTGAGCTAATCAGCAAGATCGGGAATGATGATAGACATTTTATTCCCAGGAAATTTAATTTGTTTTTCACATAAGTAGCCATGACAAGAAGGGCCAGGAAGAAACTTCCTGCATTTATGATGCAGAGCCAGGCATTTATCACTTCAAGCTGTGAGGTGGAGTCCCCCCCAGCTCCAGCCAGTTTTGATGAACTGTGGTTCAGAACTCTTGGTTATTTCCAAGGGAAAACCCAAATTGAGTGAAAAGATGTTTTAAGGCTTCTCTATCAAGCTTACTTCATTGTTACCTTTCAGACCACAGAAAAAATGTTTCATAAACTGACCTTTTGGCGATGAGTAGCTCTGAAACAATTTTAAAGCAACCCCTGAAGATTGTCTTTGATTTCTTATATGGCCACTTAAAATTGATTCTGAAAATAGATTTGATACTTTTGAGGTATATTTTAATCCAAAAAAGTCACTATTCAGATATTCATACCCTTCTCTCATCAGACTGATTTTAAAAGGCAGTATTTCAGGAGATATGAAATTAAATCCAGATGGTTTGTTTTTAAGCCAAAACACATTTAAAAATGTCTTTATTCGTGTTTACTTGCATACACCTATGCCTTATATGCTGCAGAAAACCCTTAACACCTTTCAAAAAGAGCTATTTAAGATGGGAAAAACAATTTGATTATCAGGCTATAATTTTTTCAAAGATACTTTATATTAGGTTAAAAATTTGAACGGCAAGTACATCCCCACTTAGGCATTTGGTTACATTTTATTTTGTAATTCATGTCTTCATGCATTCAGGCATATGTCCTGCCAGCAGCCCCAGCGCATTTGCGCCAAGGACAAGGACATGACAAGAGTTCCTTTGGTTGCTTAGCATCTTCGTTCTACCAGTTGTTACAGCGTCACCCACTCAGTACCTGTAGAAAAATCAGAGAAAATATGCATGCATAGATAAAACCATGATTCTTTCTACATAAATTGTATCACTTGAGATTCATATCATTGAGGCAGGAAAAGCACTTTTATCATGGTGATTTTGCTGTTTTGTCCATTTTTGAGGCTCTAGAACATATTTCTAACGAAGGTATTATATAAAAATTTGTTAATAAAAGAACCTAATTTTAATACATGATGTCTATATGTAAAAATAAACTTAATTATCTTATTTCACTAAATGAACAGTCATTTTGAAGTATAAAGCTTTAATTAACATTTTAAATTAAGTAATGCAAATTTCCTTAGATTCAGTGTTACCCTGAACAATGGCATATATTTTCACCCTTCCACTTTTCCATCAGAAGTCCACACATCTCTTTTTAAGATTTCCTATTATCTACAAAGAGAAATGGCACCAGTTTTCAGTGTTCAGTGAGTTCAGTTTTCAGTGTTCAGTTTCAGTTTTCAGTGAGCTATCAGATAGTGAGTAGGGAGAAGTGCTGTCTCATCTTTGCCTGCACTGTTAGATTACGTGCAATGAATACATCAGATGTCACTCCATTCTTAGCAATCCTTGTCCTAAGCATAAATTCTAAAAATGTGTATCTTGGACAAATTATACCAAAGGCATATGTCTGATTCCTTCCTAGTTGATCAGAAATACAAGGACTTTCGCCAGTAGGATGCTAGATTCACGTTTAGCCAGATATTAGATTGACTAAGTATGTTTTGTAACTTTTGTTAGAACATCCTAAAAATGATGAAAACCAGGATGTAATATGCCAACGTTCTTGTGTTGTTTTGCCCTTGAGCCATTAAAATTAGATTGAGTACTCCTTAGTCACTCCCCAAATGGACAGTTCCTCTTTAACTTGGGGCCAAAATTAAAGCAAAATCTACAATGTTGTACACCACAAAAAAAATGAGAAATGGACAAACCTGTAAAGAATAACTGCACAGAATAGCATTCTGGTATTACACAAATTTTATTAAAGTTAATTTTCCAAATAATGTCAGGATTAATTTTGTATAATCGGAGTGAACTGAAAGCCTTGTGGGCCTCCTACTGCTATGCTTATTTCTAGATGTACCCAGGATTTCCCCAACCAACTACACAGCAAACTGAATTTGTGTTCAGAGGCATTGCCTTATATCACTTCAGCATCCTTTCCCCATTAAATCGCACCAATTGGGCACTCAATTAAACTGTTGCCAGAGAAGTGGTAAAAGTAAATTTCGTTAGCCACTCAGCTATTCAGGTTATAAAACAACCTGGGTTCTTAAAGGAAAGGATATCTCAAAATTCAGGGAAAAAAAATAACAGATCTCTTATAGGACTGGGAGGCAGAGTATATTTAATTACTTCCTGGCAGGTAGTAAGTGTTCAAAAATTGTTGCTGACTGAAGGGAGGGATGAAAGCTGAGGAAGCAGCTGGAATAGGAGTCAGCAAGATGCAGAAAAAAAGAGATCTAGCAAGGAAACGGAATAAGAAAAGTGGTACCAGGGTGGTATTGGTGGGCAACAAAATTGTGCTGAGCCCACACCAGTGGGAGTGCAGGTCTTCCACTGCCTCGCCCCACTGTCTCCATACTCTGCAGAGAGTCCTATACGCATCGACAGATGCTCATGACAGCAAACTTGGAATGGCAAAGAAAATCTTTTTAAAATCACTTCAATTAAAAGGGGATTGTTACTTGTTAAACACTATTTACTTGGAAATGATCATTCATTCATTTCTCAAGAATCCAGATAGCAGATGTTTCCCTACACTTTCATAAAGAAGACACAGTAAAGGATTCACACTGTCGATTTCCTGTTAGGAATTTTAGAGTGTGTGCATAGACATTTGGGGCAGGAGGACATTCATGATATCCTTTCCCTTGCTCTTAATCTCAGTGCATCTTTGAACTGCAGATTAGGCAAGTGAGCAATTATCAGTCTAGAAATAATTGAATTTTGCAGCTAAATGATTTTCCTATTTTTTGGCAGCACACATTGTACATATAGCCTTATCATTTTAATAGAACATTGGTCTCTATCTCAGTAAGATGAGAGAAGCTTTGTTCCATGCAAGTCATAATGGAATATTTTCCTTTTCTGCTTGTCAAAAAAAAAAAAGTTTGCTTGAAATCAGCCATTACAGAAAGGAAATCAAAATTTGGGTAATGCAATTCAAAGGACATAAACATGTGGGCATTTCTGCTATAATGCCATGTGTCTGAAAAACTGTATTCTGCAAAATTTGCAGTAAATAACTGGTAGGGTAGAGGACAAGTGATTTAAAAATCTTTTGAACTATGGTCATAGCTCTAACAAAAACATTTAATAGTACCTGGAAAGGTAATGTGGTTCCTATTGCAGGTGGCTTCCATGTGACCAGAAATTGCCCCCTCGATCATTAAAAATAATACCTTCTATATGCTGACAGCCCTTTTGCTGAAGGAAACTACAAGTCAGCATGAGACAGCAGTGTGATGTAACTCTGCCTTTCTGGGAAAGGCCTGTGTGCAAGCACTCGTGTTTAATTGTCTTAGGACAAAGATGTAAGAGGTCTTGCTGCTAGTGTGACATTAAAGCTGGGTTTTGTTTTTTTTCCCCCTGCTGAAGTTTATTCTTCTACTGCTCTCCTCCCCTTGCCTAAAGAAAAACATGTATAAATTATATTTGCATCATTCCTATACCAACAGTGCATGAGCATGTGGTCGCTGAATTGACTTTCAATAAAAATAACTTTTTCTGGATTATAATGTATATCATGCATATTTTTCTACTTTATTAAATAGCTGTCAAAATTTCAAACCATAAATTATTTCTGCTCTTAGAAAATAAGGTTGTTTCACATAGTGGTTATAAACACCCTTATACATGAATAACCAATTATCTGTATCTCTGATTAATTCCTTAGGCTAGATTGCTATGGAGGGCATTACTGGGTGACCTGGTCCATTAGTGCTGCTACAGCAAAAATATTATAGACAGGGTGGTTTAAATAATAAACATTTATTTCTCACAATTCTGGATCCTGGGAAGTTCAAGATCAAGGCACAGTGACTTCATAAGTTGCTGCCTTTTCCCTGTGTCCTCTCATGGTGGAAGGGTGGAGGGAGCTCTCTGGAGTCTCTTTTACAAGAGCACTAATCCTGTCCATCAGGTTTCCACCCTCATGACCTAATCACTTCCCAAAGATCCTGCCTCCAATGCCATCACACTGGGGATTAATTGTCAGCATATGAATTGGGGCTGGGGATACAAACGTCATTTTATAGCATGGGCACACAGGCACATACTCTTTTGCAAGAGTAATCTGATAATAGCAAACTTATTTTTTGTGTGGTTTTTAAACCTGAGGACCTTTATTTAAGAGGTAAAATAGCCAACAGTCAACTTGGTATTGTAGCCTTTCTTTGTTAAGGGCACACATATTGTTTATTAAAATGTTAGCATGTTGGTAAGTCTCTTGCTCACAGCTGTAAACTCCTATGTGTAAGTATCTCCCTTAAGCACATTCTGGATTATCAACACATCTGGTACTTGGCATATCTATGTCATGTATACAGGTTAAATCAAGTGCTGAAAAAAATTGATGTCATTCTTGCTCTTTTAACTCTATCATTCTTCTGTGTTTTTTCTACCCTTGTCCTAACCTGTCCCCAGGTCTTCCCCTTGACTGTTCCTTGGCCTCACAATTGAGTCCAGTCATGACTCCACTCTAAAGCTAATACTAACCTCTCCCCAGTTGAAGCCACTGCATTATGTCACAAGCTCCCATGGCACTTCAGGAGAGGGAAATGCACTGGCTCCTGGAAGCTGTCCCTCTAATCCTAATTCTGAGGTGCTTTGTGCACTGTCCATCTGAGTCTCGGCTCCACTTTCCTGGGTGTGTGGTCTGCAGCAGCAGCAGTTGAGTATACTCACCTGCTTGGTTTTAAAAAATAATACATAGCATGACTTCTTCTGTAAGAGTCAATATAAAGACAATTTGATGGGGTTATGTTTCAAATGAAATAAAAATAAACTAATATTCACTCCAGAGAACTTAGTTTCTTTTGCGTTTCTAAGTTAACTAAATGAATGAGAGCTCTGAAGAAAATGATTCTGTCAAACCTTTGGACATTTGTGGGGAAAACCAGTGAGTCCAATAAATCAGAAGGAAGAGTACATATTAAAGATCATTCCAGAAACTGTCAAGCCAGTGCCATAGGAGACATCTTTGGAGACAAGAAAGGGTACTTCTGGTTCTTTGATTCATTTTTTTTTTTAATGAACACTAACTCAAAGCTGATTTTCTTCCTCTCATTTCAGCCAGCATATGTCCCAAGGAAGATAATCCCAGTAACAATTATCAAGCAAGGTAATTTGTCTTAACTCTGCTCTGGATAAATATTTAGACCCATTTTTAAGACCCTTTTTAAAATGTATTTTTTAAGTGGGATGATTTAACATAGCATATACTTTCTAATTTTTTTTTTCTGGTGATTTTCAGAAAAAGTTTGAAAAAGTTAGTATGGGGTAGTACATTAGAAGTTCATATTTTAGGTAATTTTAGCTCTTGTACCAATACGCCATGTCTTTGACAAGTTAATTAGTTGGACAATTAGGACAAAGCAACCATAACAAGTATTAAATCAAGTTAAAACATGTGACTTTGCTCAGGATTAAGTTAGCATAGATGAAGAAAACCATTAATATTTGGATTATTGAACTGAAAATTGATTTAATGGTTACTTAGGGAAAGTAAAGATATTTAAGAAACTTAAACTATACCCAGTTTTGATTTTCAGTTATTCAAGTTATTAAAATTACTCCACTATTTCCAGAAAATTTCTTGGTAGATGATATTGGACATTAAAATAGTTCTTTATTTTAAGAAAACACAAGTATACTCTCAAAACAGGATCAGATATTAGAATTATTCAGATCCTTGCTGGATAATTGTTTCATTTTTGTGCTAGTTTTTCAACTTGGGTAAGCTGTAGGGAGTAGATTTGAGGAAGGAAATTTTCAAGCTCATTAGAACGGAACACTTTAGAGGAATAGTCTTTCATTACTTAAAGGTGTTAATGGAAGAAGTGCTTTCTAGTGCTTATGTTGGCTGTGTCATCAGCTAGATGAGCTGCTTTCTGTTGGTTGATGAAGTTAAATCAGGGTTTTCCTTCACATTTTGAGCTTCTTACCATTTCCTATTTTCTTCCATCAAATATTGTGGTTTCTTTTATTTCAACAGTGATTCAGAATGTCACTCACAGAGCTTCAACTAAATCCTCAGATAAGATTCCCTTTGGAGGAACTATTCTAGGTGAGTGTCTTCAAATTTTACACCTAGATTAAGCAAATCAGAATGTTTTTTATCATAGACCCTTAAGAAATTTTGTACTGTAAGCAGATTTGTTAAATCGGTATCAGTTCATTTCCTTTCAGTGTGTAGCATCCTGGCTTGTCTGTTCTGGGCTAGGAGTGGACAGATGCTACCTCTGGCATGATGTGCTAGGGATACAGACCTGCCCTTGCCTGATGGAAAAGGAGCCCATCCTCCCTGCTCCACAGCATTACTGGAGTTATGAGAGTCTTTCTCATATTGAACTGCTCTTTTAAAATAAATAATAAGGGGTTTTGTTTACTACCCATCTTAAGTAGACATTTTGTAATCTTTGAGTCTTTGGATCAAAAGCCAGAGGATTTTAGTAGTTCAGTACTGAATAGGAACAGTTTCTGTATAAAAGGTGCAATCATTTTTCCCAAACTTTTTATATTTAGTTTATATATTTATATCATTTTTCATTTTTTCACAATGTATGCATTTTCATCTTGGTTATATTCCCCATACAATTCCCACCCCCCTTATTTTGACCTTAATCCCTTCCCCCCACCCCTTGTAGTGTGTCTCTGTTTTATAGTTGCTTGTTGATTTTAATTTTTAAGTGTAGGTTAAAATTAACTAAACAAAATAAATGCTAAGCTTCATAGTCTCTGGTATCTGATGTTTTTTGCTTTATTTTATATCATGAAGCTTTTTCCTCTTACTTGTTTCTGTTTTCTTGCAGTTCACCTTATTATTCCTGGTCTTAATGAAACCACCATAAAACTTCCCACATCCATGATGGTTGATATTTCGGATGCAATCAAGACACAATTAGGTAAGCAGCAAAGGTTCTATATTTGAACTTGGTGATGACAGATTACTAGCACTGATATTCTTAGGACATCCAAAGAATCTTGCAAATGAGCTGTTTGGAGATTGAAAGTAATGAGAAGGAACAGGGATGCACGCTGTTGATGTAAGATGTACAACCCTGTGGAACACAGTATGATAATTACTCAATAAATGAAAAATAAAATTACTAGTCCCATAAGTGGATTCCCAGAAGCAATTCCACTTATGGATATATACCCAAAAGAATTGAAAGCAGGGAATCGAAGAAATATTTGTACACCCATGTTCACAGCATTATTCACAGTAGCATGAAAGCAACTTGTCATTGAGAGATGAGTAGACATATAAAATGGGGTATGTACATATGATGGAATATTGTTTAGTCTTAAAAAGGAAGGAAATTCTGACGAATGCTGCAATATAGATGATCCATGGGGACAGTAGGATAAATGAAAAGTCAGTCACAAAAAGATACAGTATGATCCCACTTAATGAAGTACTTAGTTCTATCAGATTCAAAGAGAAAGAAAGTAGGATGGTGCATGCCAGGGACTGGAGTGAGTGGGTCTAGGAAGTTGCTATTTAATTAGTACGAGTTTCTTATAATATGAAAAGAGTTCTGGAAATGGATGGTGATGATGGTTGCACAGCATTAGGAATGTGCTTAATACCAGTGAACTGTACACTAAAAAATGATTAAGATGGTTAATGTTATGCCATATATATTATCACAATGGAAAAAATAACCTGTAAGGGACAGGGACATTGGAGCATTGGAGGTATTCATATAAATCACATTCATTAGGGAAATACTTTGTTAATATAAAATATATTTATGAAAGAAGAGGGAAATTTGCCAAATTATCCAAATTGTTTATATAATTGTAAATTTTCAAATACAGTAATTGTTCTAAATTATACTTATTAAATTAAGATATCAAGAGTCCAATATATATTTTCCATGAAAATTGATGTAAAAATTTCTGCTAGAATTATATACTTGAGACTGTTACTACTACTTCCTTCTAGAAAGAACCTAATATGATTTTAGTGTTTTTAAAATCATAAAACATAACAATTTGAAAAAAATAAGTGGGATATGTTAATGGCTGCATTTGGGAGTCAAATTAGGATGTGATGTCTTTCTATAGCAGTGGATCTCAGAAAGCCTCAGGAGCCCTGGAGGGCTTGTGAACAACAGACTTGCAGGCCCACAGCCCCATAGTTGCTGACTAAGTAGGTCTGGGATGGGGCCTGAGACTTCGAAATTTACTAGTTCCCAGGTGATAACTGACACTGCTGGTCCAGTGCCCACACTTTTGCCAGCCACCCTCTAAAGTCCCTGGACAGTGTCGTGGGCTGTTGACAAAGATAGGAGTCAGCATAGTGGGGTGGAAATTGAAGGAGACTTTCAACTGCAGAATCCTCAGTGAACCAGGGTTGGGATCAGAGCTGAGGATTCCAGCACCCCTTATTCTCTGTTCCCAGAGCCTAGATGCTTTGCCCTGTGCCTGGAAAGACTTGTTTGGAAAAAGAAAAAAAGGAACCTGCTAATCTCTTACTGATTTGGTCCCAAATCCATCTGTCAGAATTACAAAAACCAGGGTCTATGAAGGAGACCAAAATCAAGCAGAGTTTTTTCTCAAACTATTGCTGTCAGTTTGAAACTGGAAGGTGTTTTGTTGCTTTGTCCTTACTCTTGAGTGATGTTTCTGAAATGTGATTTTCCAAAGTTCCTGAGGCTACGTTAATATCAATTCAGCCTTTTTGTCTTCTTTAATTTAGAGAATTGAACGGTAGATTATTTTGCTTTTGCTTTGGTCTTTTGATATTTGCTAACGCTTCTGAATTGAGTGTGATTTTAATGAGGAAAAATTAAATGCAAAAAGCAAACATCCTTTTTTCTGGGGAAACACCTCTCTGAAAGTTCTTATGCATGGAAAAGATTGATAGTATATTTGAAAATGTCCATTAAATTCAAGTTAAATCTTACCCACCAAATGTACCATCTTCACAGACTATAAAATCACATTTTAAATTTACTGTTTTTATAATGAGTATGAGCATAAATAATTCTTTATACTACCAAGGGAGAAATAAACATTCTTGAAAAAATTTATCACAGCAATTTGGAAAAGTCCCATTCCTTAAGGGGGTAAGTCCTAAGACTAATACCCTCATTCCAGCAGAGTCTATCATAGAACCAGTAAATTAATTGCTTTTGTTCACTTGGCGTGAATAATAAGATAAGTAAACAAGAAAGCAAGTATTCCACACACATCTCCAAGGGACATAGGAAGAGTTTGCCAAAGCCAGGATTAACCATGCCAAAAATTAAAGGAAACAACTGTGCTGGGGGGGTGGGGGGCGGAACTATACAGGAAAATGAGAGCAAAAAGAATTTCTTGGATTTAGGCTATGATCTGATAGCATTTTACTTTGCTATTACCAAGATTGCAGTTGAACATAAACAGCGTAGGTAAATGCCCATGGCTTGATAGGAGACTGAAAAGTTCCCCCATTCAAATAAATCTCACATCTACCAATTTCTCTGACACCTGAAGTGCCATATTTAGAACTATAATATGCCTATATAAAGAATTAGTGATGTATAAAAAGTATAACTATCTCTTGGAAGATAGTTTACCATTTTTTCCTTCATTAACAGCCTAATATAAGTTATCACGATTGCCAGCTAAAGGCATGTTTTGAATATAAAGCACTGAAGCAAAGCCAAAGAGTCTAAGATCCAGAGGCTAAAAAAATAAGAGGTCTTAGTCAGTCAGGAAGTTACAGAGCTATTAATTAGGCAGAGAAGAGGGATTTGCAAGGTATCCCGAGAGAGAACAATGTGGAAAAAGAAACATTAAAGGAAAACTGTATAATCCTCCACTTCAAAGAAAAAAAATCTTCCTCTAGCACATGCAACAAAATAACAGAACTAGAGCTCATAAGAATTTGCAATTTGACTTCTCTTCATTCTAAATTTTTTTTAAATAGAATTTATGAAATTATACTAGGCATTTTTTTTAGTTATTCGAGTCCCTTTATGTTCTTCCCAATTAATTTGAACAATGGCAGTAAGCATTATGTTGCGTGAACATGCAGTGTAATTTTATGTGCGCATGAATTCAATCATGTGCTTGACTATTGGCTGCATATACGCTAGCCCTGAGACACTATTTCTAGCTTTTAAAATACTCCTGAAAATAATTAGCTCTATGTAGTAATAGATTGTATGCTGTCATAATACAGATTACAAACTTTTTTGCTTTTATCAACATTATGAAAAGGATGACTTTTATCATTATCTTTAAGGTCCCTTACATGTAAATATTTTGTGTCCTTGTTAATGAAAAAGAAGAAAATAGCCTTTAACAACAGTGATGTGAACTGTGATGTGAACTGTCAGATGCAAAATTTGCATCTGGAACTTTGAGACCCATTTTGATCACTAGTTCTCAACAGGGGGCAGTTTTGTCCCTTGGCCTACTTGATATCTAGAGACATTTTGGTTGTCACAACTGTGGAAATGTTGTTGGAATCCAGTGGGTAAAGGCCAGAGATACTATTAAACATCCTACAGCACACAGCATAGGTCACCACAACAAAGATTTATCCAGCCCGAAATGTCAGTAAGTGCCAAAACCCATTTTGTATAGCCTAGGATTCTTACAGAAAATAAAAATCCCAACCAAATATATAAATAGTTCTACGTGACATGATCAAGGACTCTCAGACATGAATGAATGCATTCATGCCACAGACTGTTTCAAGATACAACTAAGTCATTGATTTAATGTACTAAATAAATATCAGTTAATTCTAAGTGTATTTTTTTTAAGTGGGAACATTTTACTCATTGGGAAACTGGCATAGAAATGTACTTTCTTTGTAAAAGAATAAATTTTAGGAGGGTGTTTCTGGAATATTTATTTGAAGAGGAAAAATGCACTCAAAATTTGGTTTTATCCCTTGCTTTGAAGTTCCACAGAAACCAAAAACAAAAGGTTTATGTTAACATAGATGTGATTGAAATAACTATTGATATTTTTTTTGCCATAGATATTTTCAAATAGTCTCATATGTGTTTGTGATTTTCTGAAATTTCAGTGTCTTAACTATTACGTTTTTACCATACATATGGGTAAATTCTATTTTTTCAATTAGGGGTACTTGAATATAAAATTCCAGGGAGTATTTTCACTGTAACCTATGCTTTCCCAAGACTCTGATTATGAATCAGAGTGACTTGAGATTTATCTGGTGTTAGGTTGTGACTTTTGTTTTCATGCCACTGCCAATTTCCATCTTAAAGAATTACCTGGAGATAATAACTAATTCTGAAGATAGTCATTGCCTCATACTAAACCTTGGTACAAATTTACAATAAATTTGTGAACTGACGAGGAATAAGGGGTAAGAACAGAATGGATTTCTTGAAATAGACTATTACTTATGTTTTGACTGAATTATTTTTGGACATCATATTATGAGGAAGTGAGGTAAATTGTTTGTTTTCTGGATATTTTAGCTAAGAATGAAACCTTGGCATTGCCTGCTGAATCTAAAACACCAGAAGTAGAAAAAATCCCAGCACAGCCCATAACAGGTAATGAGATCCCTATGTTGTTTACTCTGAATGAATCAAAATGTTATTTTGACTGGTAAATGGCCATCAAACCTGTCTCTCTTTTTTTTTCCCAATGAAGAACTAGTAGGAAATTCATTTTGATTGTAAGCACAGAACAATCAGAGATTCTAGTTTCTCAATCTGACATTTGGGCAAAAAATGCAAACGAACCCTTGAATCATATAAGTGATTATGTAAGATGGAAACTTTATTTTTCACTCTAACTGGAAGTTGTTACCTTAACATTCTGAAATATTCTTATACTAAAATATATTACCATGTTTTGGCGCTTTCCTTTTATATGAAAACATGAGACCATTTTTTTATTTTTTCACTTTCACAAGAAGTCATTTTACAAAATTCCATTATCCCTAGCAGATCCATAGCTTGAATCCTGGAATCATTTAGTAACAAATACCTCTGGAAAATTAACATTCCTAGTGTAGAGACTATATATTAGTTCAGAACACTTGATTTGATCCTTAAAAAATAAATGTGGCATGCATTTTACCCATAGTTTATCAGCCGTTACTAACAAACATTCAGCATTTCTTCTCTGAGTGATCTGCCCAAGTCCCGTCCACTGGGGACACATTAGTCTCTGAACTACAGTGTTTGCCAGAGTAATACCACTTCATCCAGGATTTGGTGAAACAGACTCTGGCAAGAATTCTCCAAATCCACATTTAGCAAAGTAACTCTAATCTACAGTGAATTTTTAACTCATAAAATTGCCATAAATTAAATATCAGTGATATCTGGTATTACCTTTACCTCGTACTAAGTAGTCTTGGACTCATAACTAGTGCATAGAAGAAATAGATTGAGGAAATATAGTAACTTGATTTCAAGAAACCTATTCAAGTGGGAATATTGCAGACAGACCACTGTTCTGTCTGAAGATGAGAAAAAGGCCTTTTATCCCTCCCTCACCTTTGTGGGAGTAGAGGTGGAGACAGTGAGTATTCAAGGCTAGTGGAATGATCTGTTGGGATTAAATTCCTAGGTAATTTTCAGAGTTAAACAAAATAGATCAGTGCAAAGAACAGTATGGCATGACCCAGTGGTCGACTCCAAGTTCTCTTCTGCCCCAAGGATTTTACCCATTTTTCCTAATTACACTTTCTTCTCTTGGCACAGTATCTCATGGGAGTGTCTACAGTCTTCTTAGTTCTTTGCCAGACCTTCCTCAGAATTTGCCTTTTCAGAAACAGCTGGGCAAAAAACATAGCTTATTTTTAAGTATTACTGTTTTTATTTCATGCCCTTACACTGAAAACTCTGGAGTTGTCTCACTCACAATTCATTCCAGATCTCGATGATCCTGGTACTTATTTCTCAAAAACTTTTCCTGAGATTTCTTTGCGTTTGATCTAGCACTTGGGAACAACTCTATGGCGAAAAACATTGAGTCTTTAAATTTCAACCCAATTCCAAGATTCACATGTTGACTAAAGTTTGGAAGAGAGAACTCTTATAATGTAATAATTCTAACTAAACCATTTAGCCCTGGGTCATTTTTTTATTTGCCCTTTTATTTATTTAACAAATAATTATTAGGTATTTAATTTCTATGTCATAGACACTGTGCTAAAAAGAAAAGAAAGAAAAAAGAAAAAGGCAGACAAAAATGATGCTTGATCTGATAAGTACTTTCATGGAGGACAGTTCAGTATACTTTTTGGAACACATGGAAAGTGACCAAGCCCAGAAGGGAAGAGTTAGGGAAAATGTCAGCTTGCGCACCTGAGGCAAGCCAGAGAGAGAATCCTTGACATAAGTAACTCAAGTAATCCTTGCCATAATAAGTAACTTACAAGAAATCGGTTGTGTAAATGTAAGTTATAACTTTAAAGGCAACAAACATGGCTTTTGGTCTTCAGTTGCTTTGTTATTTCATCTTAATTTGTAAAATTGTGCTTTGTTTTGTTTTGTTTTGTTTTTTACCTTCCAGTGACTCCTGAATCAGTTCCAAGAACTATTAAACCCACTGTGTCTAGTTCCCTAGATACTTCAGAAACAGCACTGGGTAATTCTGAGAACTTTTTTTTTTTTAAAAAAACAAAAATTTAACACTCGGAGAAAGGTAACCCCAATGCCTTAGTTATACTCCTCACACCCTTACTGATAGTAATTAAGCCCTTCCTTCCTCTCTCCCTCCCTCGCTCCCTCCCTCCCCCCTCCCCCCTCTCCTTTTTGAGTGTTACAACCACATTTTATTTTTTATGTATTTTACATCATTCTTCCTTTGTGTACAATGCATGCTTTCTCCTCTCAGGTGTAGTCCCTGTAAAATTCCTACCACCGGTTTACCCGTGAGTCATCACCATAGTCCATTGTGCTCTTCCCTCCCCTGTTTTGATCCCTCTCCTTCCCCTGCAGAATGTCTCTGATTTATAGTTTCCTGTTAATTTTGCTTTCTAATTTGGTATTTTTTGTCTTGATCCCTTATTTGGATCTCTTACATTCCTCCTATAAATTACATTGAAGAGTTAACACCATGCCTTGATGCTGGTGACCGATATTCTAGGCAGTTCTGGATGCTAGATGCTAACTGGATACCCTTTTTTTATCAGTCTATTAGGACAGATAGAGAAACAGAACTGACAGCTTATTAACCCATAAAGCTTGGGGCAGGAGTGGGAGACTTGAGAGTCCTGACTGTGCTTTCTGTGTAGGTGAAATTTTCCAAGTCTTAATGCATACTAACCTTGAGGAAAATCCCCCCACATATAATGCTTTTTAATATGAATTTTGTGTCATGCATGTTAACTGCTTCTTGACCCCAGAAAATCTAACTTGACTTTTTCTCTTCTGGGGAAGAAAAGAAGTGGCATATATTTTGTTCTGTACCTGTGATGTTGATCTGCCACAACTCTTTGAAGATGTACTTTCAGGCTTTAATGGCTATGTCAGACTTTTCCAGGTATAATTTCCAAGTATTTCCATGACAGGCATCTGCTGTCTGATGCACACTTGGTAATGAGCATGCGTTCCAGATCCCAGTTAAGCCATCACACCAAATTCTGACTCACAGAATTGCTAACTGAATTCTTCTGTATTGTAGTTCTTGATGAAAGGACCCCGGAAACACTGCAAACTAGTCTAATACCTAAGTTTGAATTGCCGCTGAGCACTCTAGGTAAAGATTATTAAATATTGCAAGTTATTATTACCTTGAAATTTTTATGCATGCTTGAAAAAAGTTCGTAATTTATTTCTCCACAGGAATGAGAGGTCATGTGGCTTATAGAACAAATAATTTCCATAATATCCTACCTCTCACATGTTATTCAATCTTAATTTTGTAATTTAGAAACCTAAGAAGACTGTCTCTGTATTAAATCCTTTGATTGTGGGTTTGTTTGTTTGTTTTGTGTGTGTGTGATGGATATTTTGACTTTATATTTATTTTAAATCAAAATCATTGCATCATGGAGGGCCTCCCCGGTGGCGCAGCAGTTGAGTGCTGGGTTGCGAACCTGCCCACAGCCTCTGCAGCACCGGTTCGATCCCCAGCTGCTCCCCGGCCACTGGAGGAGGGTCCCACATGGCGCGCAGACCTCTCCTCCCGCCTGCTGCTCCCCTCAGCAGTGTACATCAGTCTACCTGCTCTGCTCCCCGCTCTGGCTCTGGTGAATTCTCTCACCCTCCCGTGCTTCTGACTGTACCCAGTGCTTGTATAAATAAATAAAAATAAATCTTTAAAAAAAATACACGATTCTTTGAAAAATAGGTTCAATATTTAAAAAAAATCATTGCATCATTGAACAAAAGATTTTCTGTATTTTCTTTAAATATTTTTACTCAGTTTCTCTTCGTAGAGAAGATATGTATGACATTTCTGCAGACTGCTTCTTATCATTTTTAGGAATTCTTTGAGTACATTACCAAAAAATGGAGTGGGTGAGCACAAATACAAAGTCATTCTAAGCTACCAAAATTGTACTTTTTGAAGTTATTAAATGGATATTTTCCAATTCATTTATGTTTGGTGTTCAATGAGTTTAAATGAAATAGATCTAAGAGCACATACACCTGTATAACTAAGGAGAGAAGGGAGGTGTTTATTCTAGGTGAAAAGAAGAGCTCCCATCACTACAGTGTAGTAATGACTATGAAAAAGAGTCATTAGTGGGCCTCCCCGGTGACGCAGCGGTTGAGTGCTGGGTTGTGAAGCTGCCCGCAGCCTCTGCAGCACCGGTTCGATCCCTGGCTGCTCCCCAGCCACCGGGCGAGGGTCCCACATGGCGCACAGACCTCTCCTGCCGCCTGCTGCTCCCCTCTGCAGTGGACTTTGGTCCTTTTGCCTGCTCTGCTCCCCGCTCTGGCTCTGGTGGATTCTCTCACCCTCCCATGCTTCTGACTGTGCCCAGTGCTTGTATAAATAAATAAATCTTTAAAAAAAAAATAGTCATTAGAAAGGTCCTGACATTTCTTACATATTTCATTACAGCTCCAAAAAGACTTCCGGAATTTCCTCAGGCAAAGACACCATTCCCTTTTGAGAAACCTGAGGGCGCATTGGGTAATAACAGCACCTTCTGTCTGGTCTTGAGATGTGGGTGGTGGTTGCTTGTTTCTGTGGTACTCCTGGGTCTGATGAATTTCAGTGAACTGATGAATTTTGGGCACTCAGCTAAATAATAGGTTTTTTTTTTTAAATCTGATTGGATTTTCTATAAATTAAGTAAAAATCGTCAGTTAATTCCAGATAACCTTTTTAGTCTTTTGTCCTTAAAATTGTTAGTGTGACATCTAACTGGTCTCTTTCTAGTCCCTCATCAAATGTTCCCTGGAATGGGTCCTATTGATTTCTTCTGGGTAGAGAATGACTTTCAATTGGATGAAGATGTGCTTTTTATTGCAGGCTCTGATAGCCACTTAACCATACCAGCAAACTATTTCTTTATCTGTTCCCTCTATACAAACAAACAAAAAAACTTGAACGAATTCCATTTCTTTTTCGCTGTAGCTTCAAGTGACAAGCCGTGGATTGTTTCTACAGATAAAACATCTGAAGATTCCAAAGTTCTACCACCTGAAACTGGTAATTCTTTAAACAAAATTGATTGGAACAAAAGTATTGAATAACTTAACTGGGTTTTATTTTTGTAGGTTCTTTGATTACCAGTACACCTTGTAGTAAATGGAAAAGCTGTAATCTCTCTGTCTTTGATACTTAGATGAATCTCATCTTCTTCCCAACACAAAAGCAAAAGGGTTTTGCATTTGTTTTAAAGATCTGTGTACTTCACTTTCTGGATATGTAATTAGAAGCCTGGCTAGGAAATGAACTATGAATTGTCTCACTTCATTTTCTAGGGTTCTTTAGTAACAAAAGCAATAACAAAAGTCAGCAGCAGCAGCTTAGGGCTGATTTAACAATATGAATTGACTGTTTCTCTTGCAGTTATTTCTTTTGTAGCAAAACATTCTGGTAACGTATGAGTACTTACTAAGTCCTAAAATCTTTGAACATATCTTGACATAGAAGATAAGCCACAGGTCTTCGAATTAATAATGAACCTTGTTCTAGTTCTGGTGTTTCCACTAGCCATATGCTTTTTCACTATTTTTTTCTATTTCTGGGTCTTTTTGTAAACTGTGATATTTGGTTTTTCCTCCTGAGAATTCTTGTCCCACTGGCCATCACACATGCATAGCTACCACCATTAAAACTGATGTATTTTCCTTTTTTCAAAAAATAATTTTGCAGTTTTTTTCCCTGAAAGTCTTGCCTTTGATGTCTAGCCATCAAAGAAAGAATATTCAGCATACAAGAATTAAAAGAAAATCTCAGATATCACGTTTTTGTCATAACGTCCATGATTTTTAATTTATATTTTCATTTTTGTGAATTTCCTAGCTGTGATTTTTTTTTTCAGTAAAAGGAATAATAACATTGGTAGAAATTCACATACTGAAGCTAAATTACGCTGACATTTTGTGACATTCTCCAGTGAAGTGTCCAGCGGAAGACTGGTTTGAGAAAGGGTCAGAATGATCCCTCAGACAGAGATAGTCATGAAATGATCCTTTCTCTAATTAATATAATGGGCTCATATCTTAACAAAAAATACAAGAATGACATCAAATTGGTGAACTTTTATACCATGGTCTCCCCGAGTTTTCTGAAGTGAGAAAACACTTGAAAGTTAGCCACGATTGTCAGCCAATAAAGAAAAGTCTTAAACTGCAACTTTCCATCCCCAGTCACTGTGCCTGAAACTCTAACACAATCATTAAACATGGGTGTGAAATCATCTTTCGTGTTCTGGTCATTTGAGTATAAATTCCAGGTCCTAGGTGGTTTCTGAGAACTGAGCCTATGGTTCCATTAGCTGTCACACTAACTGCTCTGTAACTATGGAACAAATAATCTTGGGGCAGATGTGATGTGATGGTTTATCAGCAACATTATGCCAGGCCTTGCCATTCTTCACAAGAAACCATCCCCCAACCTAAACAATTTCAAGGCCCACTGGACTTACTCTCTTTTGATCTCTTTGCTTTTGGATTATAACACAGGGGTCGTAAGTTTTCCCTTCAGCAGCTTCTAGTTATTTGGTTTCTATGACCATTTAAGAGCAAACTGACCAAAACCTCATGAAAACCATGAATTAAAATTTATGAAAATTTAAAGCCTAGCATATGATTAATACATAAGGCCTGAATTGAACATTGGGGAGTGGGGAGAATATGTTGGGAAGTGAGGGTTGTAGAATTAACAAACAATACAATAGATGGGACATTCCAATAAAGGAAAGGTTTCATTTGCCTGTTATTCCAGATCAGGGGTGATCTAGTCTTGTCCTGATGGGGTGTCAATGGTGGCTAATGCAGCAGGAAGCAGTCTCCTTATTCAGCTGCCACATCACAGCCAGGGCAACCTGAGGCAGCCAGAGAACTTCCAGCTGTAGACTGCCAACTTGTATTTGAACAGTTAGGTTTATTTGCTGCCATTGACAATGGAGAATGCAGGCCTTGAGGAACTGTGGAATCTTTCAGTAAGAGGGTTTTGGAAAGAACATGTTATAGCATTTGGTCTTAGAATAGATGATTTGTGGGAGAAAGAAAGAAAACTTTGTCCTGGGGTTCCAAAGAAATGAAACTTTGCTGTCAGAAAGTAGGACTAATTATGTGATTGTAAATCTTCATAATTCTTAACTAGGAGGCAAGAACAGTGTGAAGCTAAAGCTGTGATTGGTAAAGCTGCAGTTGTTACTCTCATTAGGCAGAAAGTAGGAATCGTGATTGTTGTGTTCATGCATTGGGCTGCATACCACGTGATTACAGAATGGTCTTGTTTTTATCTTGGTCACTAACTGATCTTGTCTCATGTTGGTATTCTTTAAAATTGTTGATGTTCATGGTAGAACACCAAAGCCTAGCTGGGTGTCAGGTCAGATCCTGCGTGCCAGGAGCTGCTTTTCTCTTTAGCAACCATGAAATGTTATTTATCAATACCTTATTATTCAGCTTCAACAATTGCTAAATTTGTTTTCCGCATTTTTCTATTCTGTATCAAAATATTAGAATGCTTGCTCTAGAAAATATTTCTGTACCGCTTTTGAATATAAAACAGTATATGAAATTCTAACTTATATGCTGAATTATTGAAATTACCAAGTCATGCCTACTTATAGTAAAAGTAAGATCCAAAATATTTGGAATTTGGAATATCCTAGAAAATCTGAGAAGAGCAGTCTTCAAACAATTTCTTCCCCACTTTGAGTCTCTTTGCTCTAATCATTTCTACTACATTTTGTGATATCATTTTTGGAATTGTATTTTTCAGTAAACCTTCCCTGGAGTATGTTTAAATAGGATTGGTTGCCTTTGACTCCCTTGACAAATTCAATTTTCCTTTAAGTATAGAAGGGAAATTATAACACTCTTATCTAACCTTATATGCCAAAATGTATATAAATGCTATATTAAAAGAAAGTTGGTCATTTGAAAAACACTTGTGATACCATCAGGAAAGGGTGAATCTTTCTGATGATATAGTAGAACAAGTCATGTTCTATTGTAGGGTGGTCAGATCACTGACCTGTGTTACAGAGTGAGTTCTAGTAAAAGTCTCAGTCCCCTAGTCCATGAACTGCACATGTGTACTTCTAGCACTATCACTTCACTGTAATAATCTAATTTTGTATTTGCTGAGCAGTTTTCTATTAAGTGTGACTTTCAAAGATTTTTATATACATGAGCATTTTGATCCTCCAGTTGTTCCTAGAAGCAAAGAATTTAATCCTCTTTTATTTTAAGTGGGTATTTGAGAGACTGGCCTCTGAATGGGTAGAGGACCAAAAGTTGGATCACTCATTCATTTCTTTTTTTTTTTAATATTTATTTATTTATGCATACAAGAACTGGGGTATAGGCCAGCGGTTTGAGGGGTAAGTGGATTCACCAGACAGAGTAGGGAGCAGAACAGGCAGATCTACTGAAATACACTGCTGAGGGAAGCAGTGGGCGAGTCAGGGGACGTCAGCTGTGCCATGTGGGTTGCTCCCTGGCTGGGGATCCATCTCATGCTGCAGTGGCTGCTGATAGCTTCATAGGTTGTGTCTTAACCCCTTGCGCCACCAGGAAGGCCCCCACTCATTCATTTCTTAATCATTTCTCCAATAAAGAACTCCAAGTTAAAAATGAAACAATGGCCTATAGCTTGCTTTAAATAACAGAGTAAGTTGAATATTCTCATTAGGGCCAGGTGACTTTAGATTTTTAAGAAACACCAAGTGGTCTGTGAGAAGGACTGGTCAGTGCCTGAAGTTATTATCATTGTGAATGTGATTGCTACTCTGAGTTAGAGAGAGAGAGAGAGCTGGGTAACTAGCTCATCCATTTACCAGTTTAGTGCTGTCGGTAAGTTGGCTCTTGATAAGTGATTTAATCTCTCCAAGCCTCTGTTTCACCATCTATAAAATAAGAATAATAATGTTTTCTTTTATTGGTATTCTTTAAAATTGTTGATGTTCATGGTAATGTGCCTTAGAAATAGTGTGCACACCACTTAGCCTTATTCACAGTGCATGGAATGTGTCCTTTTATCATTTCCTTATTATACTCAACTCCTGTGTTGAATGCCTCCCTTTCCCACCACACTGCTCATCCCAAACTTCCTGAGTGGCTGCAGACACTCAGTAATAACAGCAGCAAAAAATTTACTAATACAAAAAAAAAGACAAAAAAAAAACCACCACAAAATCCTCTAAGCTCGTGTGTGTGTCTGCATGCGTGTTAGTATATGTGTGTTAGTATATGTGTGCATACCACGTGATCCTTGGGCTTCCATTTCACTTTTTAAGTAAATTTTTTTTTTTTATTCCTAAAGATTTATTTATTTATTTATACAAGCACTGGGTACAGTCAGAAGCGCGGGAGGGTGAGAGAATTCACCAGAGCCAGAGCAGGGAGCAGAGCAGGCAGAAGGACCGAAGTACACTGCTGAGGGGAGCAGCGGGCGGCAGGAGAGGTCTGCGCGCCATGTGGGACCCTCCTCCGGTGGCCGGGGAGCAGCCGGGGATCGAACCAGTGCTGCAGAGGCTGCGGGCAGCTTCGCAACCCAGCTGCGCCACTGGGGAGGCCCTGTATAAAGATTTTTAAAGAGAATGGAAAGGATATATGTAATGTTTTTCTAAGGAGCCCTGTAACCCCATGGGCACAAGTAGATGGTAAATTCCATCACACAGCCAGTCTGTTCGGTTAGAGAGGCAGCCCGAATCTCATGGTAAACTGGCCGCTGCCTGTCTCAGCTCAGGGAGTAAAATGACATCATGATCAACTTGCTGAGGTGGGACAAGAAGCAAAAATGCCACGTGTTTCTCAGCTTATGTGGTTGGAGAGAGCAGATGAAAATCAACTTTGTATCTGGCTTCATAATGCCATCAGGGTTGAGCCTCCTTAATTTACTCTATCATCCCCTCCAAAGACTATCATTCACTAAAAGGTATCTAAAGCTTCAATCAAATAAATAAAATAGTTTCTTTATATAACACAGAATGGCTTGATGAGTTTATTTTCATCCTTAGAAAACTTTCCTGGGCCTCCCTGGTGGCCCGCAGCAGCAGTTGAGCGCTGTGCCTGCAGCCTCTGCAGTGCTGGTTCGATCCCTGGCCTCCAGGCCAGGGTCCCACATAGCACGCAGACCTCTCCTGCCGTGTCCACTGCTCCCCTTGTCAGTGTACCTCGTTTCTTCTGCCTGTTCTGCTCCCCGCCTGCCTCTGGTGAATTCTCTCACCCTCCCGTGCTTCTGACTGTACCCAGTGCTTGTATAAATAAATAAATAAATCTTAAAAAAAAAAAAAGAAAACTTTCCTGCCTGTCCTTTCTCCAGTGTTTCCAGACAAACTGGTATTTCTTCTCCAGTTCTTCAGTGACTTATTACTAAGATGACTTCTGGCATAATTATTTCTTCTGGAGTAATCATCAGTCACCTCTAAGACTTCCCTTGATAGGACTGAGAATGGTCAGGCTAGGTCTATTGAATAGACTTCACTCTGGGAACTTCCTTTAAAAGTTCATCAGCAATTGCTTTTAGTGTTTTAATTCTTTCAGTTCTTTCTAGGTGTTTGCTCAGAGTAGTTGAATTCTATCTTTGGACCTCATTGCTTGCTGTGAAGTGATGATTTAGTGTAGCTCTAGCCCACCCAAGAGGATTAAGCCCTAGAGAGGAGAAAATTAGGAAATAGTGGTAGTGTTGATGCTTTGAGAGCAGACAAATAGAATTCAAATGGAGCAGATGGTTTTCAGATTTACTGTGGCCTGTTGGAGATTTACAGTTTCAGCCTTTGGTTATGCTTAATGAGCATTTTCTTACAGGCAGTATTTTCACAAATTTTAAGACCAACCAGAAAGGTATTTTATTTTTCCATGAACTGAAAAAAGCATTATTTATTTAAAAGGCACTGAGAACTCTCTGTGTGTTGTGTTTATAAAGGCTTTTCTCATTCATCTAACCACAGATAGTGCTGGTATATTTTCTCATTGCTTCTTCAGGTTTTTAGGATCTTATTTCCACCGTAGCTTATGGCCGCACAAGCATATGGCAGATGATTACATCGGAGAAGAAGAAATTTGAATATCTTAAATAATCCTTACTGAGTGCTTAAGCTTCCCAACTGACAATCTCTCTGTTCTTTGTTCATTGTAATGGACATCTTACAGATCCATTGTGAGTTTCCACCACATACCAGGCTCTAGGGTAAATAAGGCTTGGAGTACATTAATGAGCTTGACAGAATTTTTGTCTTAATGAGGTCTTTTGTTTAAGAATTTGTTTGAAAAGGAAAGTTTTTCAGAGTCATTAATATTCATGAATTTGCATAAAATGACAATTTTTTTTAAAGATTTATTTTATACAAGAGCTGGGGTACAGGCTAGAGGCATGGGAGGGTGAGAGGATTCACCAGAGACAGAGCAGGGAGCAGAACAGACAGAAAGACCGAAAACACTGCTGAGGGGAGCAGCAGGCGAGACAGGAGAGGTCTGCCACACCATGTGGGTATCTCCTTGGCCGGCCTGGAATCGAACCTGCACTGCAGAGGCTGCAAACAGCTTCACAGTGCTGTGCTCAACCCACTGCGCCACCGGGGAGGCCCAAACATAAAACTTTAGCCACTGGTGTTTGTATGATTTTTTGCTCTCTTGTTTTTCACTATTCAACTTTCAAACTGCAGAAATGGAAATTTCAGGGACTATATCTGAAGGCAAATATGTTATTTTAATGTTAAGTGTATTTGAGGAAATGTTTGGAAGTAAGAGATTCCTGACAATTGGAAACTTCCAGACATGAACCACAATTGTCAGGATGATGAAAGAGGGGTTCCTTAGGAATAAGCTCAGGGAAATTACAGCCTAGGTTTGAAACCTCCAAAATGGAAAGGAAAGAAAGTAGAAAAGAAAGTCAGTCCATACCACTAGGTGGTAGGGAAATGTGGGGTTAGGATAACAGTGTGGCACTCTTCAGAATCAACATAGAAATAAAAGTCAAGTTATTCATGAATCCTCACCTGGTAAAATATAAGGTTAACCCAAGGAGTTAAATATAAGGTCAAGTTTTCATAACATATTTAATAGTAGATATGCTGACTTTGCTAGAGCTATGACTTGAAATTGGCTTCAATAGAGTCTCAGATCAGCAGCTGCCTGTGTTTTGTCATTAAAAGATTAGTCATTCTTATCTGACCTTTTAAAATTGTCGGAAAACTTTACAGTGTAACAGATTTACTCTGGGGTGTTTTCTAGTTTAACTCACAATACTCTTTCTGATTCTGAAGCTTTTGCAGAGCAGTAGATTCACCTTCACAAATTGGAATCTCTTTGTTGCCTCTGCAGTGCGTGGTACAAGGTAAACTGCCTTCCGCACAACAGAGTATGTCACAGGGGCTGACCCTCGCACAGCTTCACCAGCCAGCCGTGGTTCCAAATCATAACACTGTCACTGAATTACAAGTTACTCCATTTAGTACACCTTCTTGTGAGCTCTCTCCTTCTAGGTTTCTGTACTGTTTTTAGTTGCATGGACAAGAATAATCTACCTCATAATACTTCATGTTTTCTCTATACTTCTTGTTACTAAAGAGCCAGCTTTTGTGCAAAATAGAGAACATTTTAATTTTGATGCTGTTTTGCTTACAAGATTTAGCTCTTACATAAACATGAAAATTTTATCTGTGTTAAAATCAACGTTAATTTTTAGGATCATTCTGCTTCCTTTATTTCACGCAGAATGTAGAATTTTCCTTTAAATCCACCGAGATTATAGATGGGTTTATGGCTTCATGCAGGACGATAGAAAGCTGCCTCTAGGTCAAAAGGGAGGAGAGCTGGTGCAAGAGGCAAGAACTGATTGTAATTCTGCCCTTGCTGGCACTTCTTATGGAAAATATGCTGAACTTGACAATCCCAGTGTGGCCACTGGTAAATGTGCTCGCCACTGTGAACCTCAATTTCACCGTCTCTACATGGGAATGATAGCAACCTCAGCTCTTTCTCAGGGACAATGTGAGAGTTAAATAAGTTGATACAGCACACACCTTGATGTGCTGTCCAAATGTGTGCTATCCTGATGGTAACTTTTACCAGTAGATTGACCAGTAGACTCTGTGCAAATGGCCTCAATGTTACTGCTCTTTACTTCTTTGAAAATCTTCCCAAATTTCCATCTGGCTTCATTTATGTTTATACTCTTTGAAGCTCACTAATTTAGAGCTGACACGACTTCATTGTAAATATATAATACTGTGCTCACATCACCCTAGAAGCCAGTGTCAGGCTCACTGTATAAGGACTTTTAGTTCAGGGCAAGAAAGATTAGAAGAAGATGTGGTATATATACACAATGGAATATTATTCAGCAATCAAAAAAATACTCAAGCCATTTGCAGCAATGTGGATGGAGCTAGAAGGAATTATGCTCAGTGAAATAAGCCAGAAGGAAAAAGAAAAATATCGGATGGTTTCACTTATAACAGGAATATAGGGGAACCCGATAAGACATCAGTGTAAAAAAAATAATAACAGTACAAAACACAACAAAGCAAAAACAGACAATTATAAACCAGAGACATCCTGCAGGGGAGGAGGAGGGAGAGCGATCAGAGGGAGGGAGGGAAGAGCACAGGGGACTGTGGTGATGGTGCACGGGTGCCTTGGGGAAGGAGATTCTATGGGGACTCAATCTGAGGGGTTGGGGGGAAGCAAATATTGTCTAAAAAATGTAAAAAATGATAAATGTTTAAAAAAGGAAAAAAAGGCAAGTGTTGATTTCTTTCATGTAAGTGACAAGACCAGTAGCCCACAGCCAAGGCTTGCTAGCACCTACAAAACTGTTCTCGGATAGCATCAAAATATATTATGAAATCTTTTTAAATGAATCAAAATTAACATTGCTTTGTCTTACTTTTTCTTTTAAAAGCAATTTACGATGTTTTCTCAAGCTCTACACCACCAGATGAGCGTGAAATATCAGAGCCCGACACAGGTATACCCTGCCTCTCAATTCTCATGTTTGGATCCCAGGTGTTCTAACAATACTGCACCTAGCTCCCCTTAAGCCTTTGCAGAGTGAAAAGGGTATTCTCTAGAGTTCCTTAAGACAGAAATAGTGGCCTGTGTCAAGGGAGGTGAATTTTAGCCCCTCCTTCCTTTGAGCTTTCACAAGTTCTTTCCTCAGAAGCATCAGTAAATAAGATCTCCCACATGTGGAGATACAGATAAATTTGGTTTCCACTGAGGCAAAATAATGTAGTGGCCTATTGCTCTGTTGTTCAGAATCATTCTCAAAAGGTTTGGAAGTGTTCAAGCTTTTCTCTAAAATGATTCTCAAAGCGGTGGGGAGGGGTGACTTTGCTCTCTTCTCCTTTGAGAAGCACTTGACAATGTCTAAAGACATTCTTGTTACAACTAGGGGAGATGCTACTGACAATGAGTAGGTTGAAGCCAAAGATGCTTCTAGACTCCTGAATGCACAAAATGGTCCCTCTACACAGAGCAAAGAATTAATCAGTCCTAAGTTTCAATTGTGCAGAGGTGAAATCTTGCACAAGTGCAAATATGTCATCCATTTACCTATTTCAGCATTCACTTACTGATCCAGCTACAGTGAGTTTAGCTTAGTCTAATAGTTCCTCTTAGGAAGTGTTTATTGAGCACCTTCTACACTAGGTACTATAGGGGTTCCAAAGTGATTAAGAATGGCCTTTGCCAGACATAGTTTGTCTCTTATCTTTTTATGTACCTTGGTATTATTTGTCTTGTGATAAAGGCAAATAATCAGAAGTAGACAATAAGAAGACAGATGAAATAGAAACTTGAGTGGATTCAGTTAGCAGTTAAAAAACAGGGAAGAAACCAGAAATTAAAAAAAAAACTGTTGAAAATGAATGAAATATATGAAACACTGTTTTATCATGGTTTCTAACATCTTAAATATGCATGTTTTTAAAAGTGAGTTCACCTTCAACTCCTAATGAATCACTAATCTTAAAATGTTGGTCAGAAATAAATATTTTTTATATTTTCCCCCCTTTGAGGCATAATTTATTGCTCATGATTCTGTATTTTATTCCTGGGGCCTTCTGCTTTTATAAATGTTGACATTTATTCCAACAGCAACAAGTGATCCTATTCTGGATTCTGTCCCACCTAAAACTTCTAGAACTCTTGAACAGCCAAGGGCAACACCGGGTAATGTTTTTAACAGAAAAATCATACTTTGTTTTCCATCAAAAGAAAATCCATGTGAATGTCTTTCTTCCAAATGAGCATTTCATTCCATCACATCTAATCATTTATTTCTTTCCTACTTTCAAATATATATAAATATTTTTCCTATAATGCTGGCATCTTTTATGTTCCATTTTGAGTTCTCTCTTTTTTTCTTTTTTTTTTTTTTTAACTGTAACAGTATTTTTTCCATCCTTAGGGATGAAAAGCTTTGAAGCTGCATGGATGTGTTCATCATATCAGCCTATCTCATGAGTTTGTGGCCTGTATTGCCTCTCCCATGCATTGGACTCAGTCTCAACAATTATCTCTCTGACCTTTTCCCCACTTTAAATCATTATTTCATCCACTAGCTTTCAAGACTAGATGCATTTTTCATCTTTAATCTTGTACTTGTGGCATGTGCTCTGTAACATCATCTAAAAGCATGTTAAAATTCTTATTAATTTGCCTGATTTTAACTGGAATTACTTGGTGGGATGGTGTATTTTATATTTTCAGCTCCAAGTGAATTACCATTTGTTCCTCAAAAAGTGGAAACCTTTACCAGTCCTGAAATGCAAACTTCAACATCTGGTAACTAATGACATTTCTATAGTTGTGTGTTTTGAAAGAACAGATAAAGTGACAAAAACCAGTCATGTTGACCTTTTCAGAATATTTGTAGTACTAAATATTTCCCCTCATTCTTTCCTGTGAAATTCCTTATAAAACTGGGTTATCTATCTTACTTAGCCTTGATAATCCTCAAGGAATTTTCATAAACTTGACATCTATCTATTTTGAAGAGTTGTTTCCCTCTATATGCCTTTCAACCTTGCCAACCAGAAAATGCAGGAGAATTATAGATGATAAATATACTAAGATATATTCCCTTGTATTTAGCAGAATTAGACCATTTGGTCAGGTTTTTCCTTCAAAATAATCTGAATATAAAGAATACCTAATAGCCTCTGCAACCCTGAACACATGATGAAGGAAAATGGGGAAAAGCTACGTAACCCAACTTATATTTTATTAGAAAGTAGTTGGAGTAGGAAAATTCGTTAACTCCAGGTGAGGTTAGTAATGGGCTACAGAAATAAATTAATTCTGCAATTTCCATTCCCCAAATTTCAAATATTTTATGTGTGCTTCTCACCTGCTTGTTCAGCAAATCATCTTTTAAGTTCTTACTGTAATATGTGTTTAAGTTTGCTCACTTTCCAGTAAATTTAATCAACTTACCTTCAGTTCTCACATAGAAATTAATTTCCTTTGGCCCAGCCAACATTTATTGTGTACATAAGCATAGTACTGGGCATTTTTGAGATACAAAAACATATAAAGTACTTCCTGCACACGAGAAATTTTCAAGTGTACAGTTACAGCGTGATTGAGCCCTGGGAAATATCATTTATCAAATTTATCTTAAATCTCCTTTCAGCTCCCCTACAAACTACACCTAAGCAACGCCGCAGACCCAAAACACCGAGAGTCAAACCTGGTAAATCTCTTTACCCTTCAGGATAACTGATTCCAGAAAGATAATATCCATGTCCTTATTTTAAAAAGAAGTGATGATCCTATAGGTTAAAAATTCTTTACAAAATTTGAAATTGACTGTAGCTGAGCAATTAAAATGCAAAATAACAAAAAAAATTCCAATAAGATTTTATTGAAAATTATGTGATTTTCTTGCATGTAAATTTTGTTGTAATCTACAGATAAATCCTACTGTCTTGGGATTGTAGACTCAGATATATAGTGTAATTTATTTCTTGTTAAACATCTATATTTAAGTGTTTGTTAGACTGACATTTCTTGGGTTTTTGGTGCCTACTATGGTTTCAGTGGTGGATCAGGGCAATGCCTGGGATAGACAATATATGACTGCTTTCACATTGCTTATAATCTTAACATGGTACATCAAAAACAATGAGAAAGCAACATGAAATTATCTATGCGACTGTAATGCTTTTGTAGAAGCTCAGAGAAAGGAAGAATTGAGGATCCAAGGCTCAAAATATGTGTAGGGTTTGAAAAAAAAGGAAAAGGAGAGGGGAACTACATATAATACAGCAGAGCTCGGGTGGAAAAGGTAGTTAATCAATCTGGAGTGATAATCATCACTGTCAAATACATTCTCAGAATCATGCTCAACAAATCAGATATTGGGTATAGCTTATTTCATTATAGTATATATGCAATTTTTATAACTTACACTATTTTGAGTTTATTCTTTCCCAAAACTTACTGTATACTTTGTAAACACCAATTACTAAATGTGCCAGGATTTTCAAAGGACAGTCAGTTCCTCTTTGGAAATTGTCTTTTATGTTTCTAGGCATCTTAATATTCTTTTTCTTTTCCATCACCAGAAAGAACCACAAGTGCTGGAACAGTTACATCTAAATTTTCTAAAAGACCTGAACCTACACAGACAACATTGGGTAATGAAATGTCTTTAGCTTCCTTTTCCATTTCACCATGGAAAATACACTACCTCAGCTTTTATGTCACATTCCAATAACTGTTCTAACTGGCTCATTTGAACAGTACATAATATCTCATAGAGTATTTCAAATCCATGATTTTCTTGGTTTTGAATAGCAGACCCCACAGTGAGTAGACCTGAATTCAATATTCAGATGTCATCCTATAGCTTGGAAAATCCATTGATGCGTTCTCATTTTCTTTTTTTTTTTTAATTTCTTCTTTTCTTTTTAAAGATTTTCTTTTTTTATTTTTGCGTACAAGAGCTGGGATACAGGCTAGAGATGTGGGGGGTGAGAGGATTCACCAGAGACAGAGTGGGGAACAGAACAGGCAGATTGACCTAAGTACACTGCTGAGGGGAGCAGCGGGAGAGTCAGGAGAGGTCTGCTGTGCCATGTGGGTAGCTCCCTGGTGGCCGGGGATTAAACTAGTGCTGCAGAGGCTGCAGATTGCTTCATAGTGCAGTGTTTAACCCTTTGCGCCACCAGGGAGGCCCAGCATTCTCATTTTCTGTCCAATCAATGTATTTGAAGTTGGGTCTTATATGCAGTCTTCCATTTTTTCTTTTTGAGTATGACCCTCAAGTTCAACCTCAGACTTCATTTTGACAAAACACTTTCTATTTGCTGTTAGCTGGAATTTCTTTATTCAGGTCATAGTATTTGGACCTATCAGTGAATATTAATTTTAAAATCAAAATATTGTTTTAAGCCTTTTATTCTGGCGCCTGAAGACTTAGATGTAGTTGAGAAATGTGAAATTAGAGAACATAATGATTATCCTTACTTTTTAAGTCATGGATTAAAATCACTCATTGTGTATTTATTGTGACTATTTGGTGGCAATGCTATTTTTGTTAAATATACTCTTGACATGTGTTTTTCAAATCCGATGCAATTTTATCACTGCATTTCCATTAAATATGGCTCTGCAGAATATTCTTTTAGTGATATATTTCCAAAATCTTCTAAAATGGTACATTTATTCTACTTATAGTTTATTTTTAGATTTTCTGTGGTTTTAGACAGTGAAATACCTAAATATTGATTTCTTGTTTATTTTTCCAGTTCCCAGTAAAACACAATTCATTTCTTTGAAACCTAAAATCCCTCTCATCCCAGAAGTGACACACACCAAACCTGGTAATTACCCTAAACTTTTAAACAGATATTCCAAAAGTAGGGTTGAAAAATTGTTCTGTGCCACTCTTTGGAGCAAGAACGTCTGATTTATATTTTGGTATTTGAAACATTTTCCTCTAAAAAAGTGCAAAAATGAAATGATCTCATTATGACCAGCCTATGACACTATCTCAGCATGGCTCTGAGCTGTGTGATAGGTCATTTGTTCATGAACATCAGCAAGAAAACACAGAAATACAACTCTGTGAATGATTGAGGACTCCCTTGTCTGGGACGATGAAATAGTTTCCAATCCCAAAATTGCCTGGAATTCTGATCACACAGAACAAGAGCCTTTCAGCTGGAAAGGGGAAAAGTGTTTGAATCCCCTAACTCTGCCTTGTTTGGGGGGAGGGAGGGCATTTTTAGTTCTCAGGCTGCAAGGAAAAGTTGTGTTTTTCTAATGCTCCATGACTTCTTTCTAAATTGAGCCTGATTTCTGAACACTGACTTCTGTTTTAATTCTGTGGAGATGTTAATGGTGTTTTGCTGGGAAAAAAAAAAAAAAAAAAACAAAAACAGAAAACAACTCTTGCAGCAGGGTGGAGTTATTCTGTACTTGTAAGTAAGAACAAGGACAATTCACTGCGTAAGGATTGCAGGACATATAGAATGCCCAAATACTCATTTTCTCCCTACATATCCAGAAGCTATACAGGAGTCTTAAGTGTCGTTGCCTTAGAAGATTATATACAGGCAACTTTGTCACTCATCATTTTCACCTAAATTTAAACCCCTAGCTCAGAGAAGAGTATTTCTTACTATAATTTTCAAAGGATTTTTCCAATACTTGTTTAGAAAGTAAGATTATTAAGGGGAGAAATTTTCTACTTAAGAGGACATGTTTTGTTTTGTTTTTATCATGAAATGAATAAGGAAGAAAAATGTAACTCCTCAGAAGTATCTTATGACTCCCATTAAAGATGCAGTGAGATTTGCAGCTGTAGGTATCAGGCTGAAGGAAAGTAGAGATTAGCAAAGGGAAAGCAGGTGACACTATAACCACTAGTCTCTTAATCAAAGAAATACACTGAGGTACTTTTACTCAAAGAGGTTATTTGGAGAAAAAAGTGTAGCTAATAAAATTCAAGAGCCCTAGCTGTTGAAATCAGAGAACTTTGACAGCTAGCTGTATGAGAGGAAGGTTTAATATACATTTGTTATAAAACATGCTTAAAGGGTTTTAGAATAAAGTACAAACTACTGTATTTGTGCTGTATTTTGAATACAGCACTACTCCAAAGCAGATAAAAAAAATTACTGTATGTTTCAGTATGTATGTTTCAGTCCCCACATTTAAGTAAATGTTTCTCCAAATATTATTAAAGATAAAATTTGAAAACATCAAATCATATCTCCCCCACGGTGGTTCCCATTTATACATAATTTACATTATTTTAGTGGCTTTTGAAAACCAAAAGAGAAAGGATTATTGAGAGGGAATTCATTCATCAACAGAAATAAACCTGGGAGGGTGTATTCTTATTCTAAGCTGTTTGAACACAGAGACTTCTTAATTATTGACTTTTAAAATGTGGAAAATTATTTGGAGGTGAATGAGTTCATGTTCTTTTGATTTCTATCATCTAATTACCTAAGAATATCCACATTTTCCCCCCTGACAGTGAGATTAACTGCTTCAGAATCCGCTCCCAAACAGGCCAGCTTAAGTTCACCTGGATGGTATGACACAACAGAATTAATGACTGGATCCCTGCAAACCATTCCTGAACTTTAAAAAATTTTTATTTTGGGCAGACCACCGTTACAGCTTTGCTGAAGATTTCTATTTCTTGCCAAGGTTCAGAGGAGCAAATAAACCACCAAAAAGTTTTTTATTTCAGTAGGGCACGGCTTCTCCCAATCCTCACACTCTTCTATTTTTCCATTTCACTTTCCAAACAGGCTACATTTCCTCTGGCTTTCCTTTGTGGCTTAGCTAAGGAGTAAAAACCGACATTGGTTTTGGCTCTTTTTATAAGCAGAATTCAACACTTTCTTGAAAATTCCAGCATCTACCATGTCCCAACTTGCCCGCCTGATCCAGTAACAGTTGTTTCCTTCAATGAAGTTAATATTGTAATGACGTTCAGGTTGACATTCAGGTCTTTTTTTTTTTTTTTAAAGATTTGTTTATGCATATAAGAGTTGGGGTACAGGCCAGAGATGCGGGGGGTGAGAGGACTCATCAGAGACAGAGTGGGGAACAGAACAGGCAGACTGACTGAAACACACTGCTGAGGGGGAGGGGAGCAGCGGGTGAGACAGGAAAGATCTGCCTTGCCATGTGGGTTTCTCCCTGGCCAGCCAGGGATCAAAATCGGCTGGGGATCGAACTCGTGCTGCAGAGGCTGCGGATTGCTTCATAGTGCGGTGCTTAACCCCTCATGCCACCAGGGAGGCCGGACATCCAGGTCTTCAAGCTTTGAAGGTGCTGAGAAAAGGGAAGGGCCTCCAATGGCAGGAGTTTGTTTTCCACAGTTCTTGACATGGCAGACAGACTTGTAAGTTCTCACTGATGATCACAAATCCATGATCGGGTTGTATTTTTCATTATTTTATGGCTAAAGGTGAGTGGCACCATCATTTGATGTCACTCAACATTTTTTATGAAATATTTGTATACTTTTATTCATAATTTAAGATAGCCAAGTAGAGAGAAGTCTAATCAGAACCTGTGTTTAATTTTAACACTGACTTCAATATTTTACATGCAGGTGAATTGAAAAGCTTACTTGATCGGGTTCCCTACCTGTTTGGTCAGTTAGGACCTCAGAAATGCCTATTTTCCTTTATAAAATTCAAAAGATAGCATTCCTTAACCTTTAACTTTTGTGAGGGCTAAAATAGGCTAGGAGTAGTAAATTTTTCTTTCATAATTTTAAAAAGCAACTTTGTAAAAGCTAAAACATGAATTATAGCCCTGAAGTTTCAAAAGACTTTCTGTAGTTTCAAAATCTGCTCTTCTCTCTTGAAAGGTGATGCTGTGGATGAGACACACTGAAAACAGGGTGTCTGAGTAGCTTTCAATTTTATTTTCAGATAGGAGGTATGAGAGCCTCAATCCATAATCAGTTTTTGATGAGAAATGATGAATTCCTTCTCATTTGCCATCATTAATAATTCTCTAAATAATGTTATTACAGAGTATTTAGGCAGTTTCATTCTTAAAGTTTTTGATTCTGAATTACTCTGGCTAAAATTACTAACCATTTTAGCAATTTCTCTTTTGATGAGAAATCTACACCAGCTAATGTGAAATTCATTCAGAGCTTTAGCTGGCTCAGACAAAGCCAGTTCCTTATTTAGAAATCATTCCATTGGTACTGGTCTAATGAGGGATTGTATAAAATGGTACTTATTTGAAGACCCATTTGAGCACAGCCATACTATACTTTCTTGTGACGTTTACATAAAATACTAGTTTTTAAAATCCTCTTTTTTTCCAGCATGGTCCACCTTTAAAAAGAAATAGATGTGTTTCTGTCTGGGAATTCATGAAATGTTAATTGATGACTACTAATCAATTACCCAAAATACTTGTGGAAAGAAGGAAGAGAAAGAGAAAAGCCGGAAAGAGGAGATGTATTCTTAGTGCCTCTGATAAGTTCATCTCTGAAGCACCCATTTTATGATTTGCGAGGCTGCTGAAATGTTTATATTAAGGAGAAGGAACTGCAATAGAATTTGGCCTAATGACTGCTTAGCAAGTAGACATGCAAAAGGTGACAAGTGGAGGTCAATTACTTCTTTTCTGATCATTAACCTATAGTCAACATGTGACTTAAGCAGTCACAGCTTGGAGAATTTACTCATTGCACTCTCCCCTCACCCCCTCACCCCAGGTTTCCCTTTCTCCTATGCAATCTGAGATATCCAGGCTCCTCTTTCCCTCCCTGCCTTCCTCCTCCCTTTTCCCCAATCAATCTCTCTGACACAAAAAATGTATGTGGTAAAATTATTTAAGTTCTATTAAACGGTTGATGGGCACCATACTATATACTTGCTTTATGTAAGAAAAAGTAGAAGAATCTCCATTTTTTCCCTTGTGTTTCAAGGATTGAACTTATTTTCTTATTCTTGAAAGAAAAATAATTCTTTTGTCCTGTAGAATAATAAAAAATGTATTAGATGATCTTTAAAAAACCAGATATTGTAACCAAAATACATTCAGCCTGATACATCATTTATTTATGCCAGCTTAAGTGAAGATTTGTTACCTATCCTGAATACTTAAATATTCAGTTTATTCAGCATTCGATGAAACCTGAGATTGCTTTCTGACTTCTATATATTTACTAGCCAAAATGGACTAATTTTTTGGTCTCCAACAGTAGATGCTACTAAATACGGGGAATATCATATGAGCATGTGTACCCCTTTTAAACCCTATAAGTTCAATTCCTGTTTTTATTGAAAGATTGCCATGTCCGATCAGGCTCAAAATCACTTAAAACTGACAGAACTCAGAAACAGAAGTCTGTTGCTTCTTCCTGCTTCCTTGGACCAACCTGACTGTCCTACCTGGAAACAAAATGGCAGCTCAAAGGACGCTCAGAATAACCTTAGGGAGGCTGTCTGAATTCTCGTTAAACAAGCATTTCTTTAGACACAATGTTTAGAATATTAGACATTGAGCTAAAAACCAACAAACAATAAATAGAATTCTCTTGTTTGCGGAGAGAGAATTCTCCACAAACAGAGAACGTGGCGCACAGTGTGAGGCAACTAAGCTACTGTCCTAAGACAGTAGAACCTGATGGCCAGTGAACGAACACTCCTTATGGTGAAGAACACTGAGCTTCCGCCTCGAGTGGCGCTCTTCAGCATTGCCTCTGGTAACACTTGCTTTTGTTGCAGCCCCAGAACCTCAGACTCTACCACCATCACCGTCAACAATAGGTGATGATGTTATCTTTAGTGATATTTCTTTAATTTCTTTAATACCCTCTGTGTTCAACTTGTCCTCAGCTTTGCTTAACTTGTTTCAATTTTTCTTAAGCCTTTTTTCCAGCCATTTTTGCCAGAAGATACCGCCTCTGCCTGTGCCTGACTGAGCAGAGGCTCTGAAGCAGCCATGGAAGCCTTACAGATTTTGATTGACACTATTTCTTTATTTTCTCTCCTTATGTTTGAGGAAGGTATCCTGAGGTGGTTTTAACATGGTTTTTTCCAGGACAGGCCCGTGACTTCCCAAGGACATGTTTGTGCTTTCACTTAGGATGGTATTCTCTTTTAAAACTTTTCAGATTTTCTTGAAAAGCGCTTTGTTCTCTCCAGATTTGATAATCCTGATGTGTCACTAGGAAATCCATTCAAAGGAAGAAGCTGAGTAACCCTACTCTTTATGGCTCCTTTTTCTTCAAAAGTGCAAAAAGTGTTCTCCTGGTACCATCTTTGCCAGTCACCCATGTATTCCTTCATAACACAAACTGCTGTTTATTTTAGTGCATTCGCATCTTCCACAAGGGAATCATTTTTTCCCCCATTTCTCTTTCCAAACTTAGCTGACTAGCTACATTTTTATTTTGTCTAAAATCATAATCTCTTTAAATTTTAAATTTAAAATGTCTTATGTGGGCAGAAGTTTCACTTCTTATATGTGTTAAACTTAGTAATTAAAAATTAAGCATCTTCTGTATTTAAATAGATGTTATCATTTTTCATGGATTTTGATTCCTTCTTGATTTTTCATGCAGTCTTAGACCCTGGGCCATTGGGAACCAAACCCTCAACAACAACACTAGGTAATGCAGCTACTGAGTGAGTGGCCTTTGCTTCTTCCTTTCCTGAGCACTGATATCTTTATTGACAGGCTCTTACTATGCATTTGTTCATGTTTATTCTGTGTACTTCTAAGGAAATGTTTTTAATCTTAGAGCTTTATAAACAATACCTCATCTTTAAAAAGTTGCCTTTCCTGAACTACTGTCTGAATTCAAAGTTCTGTTTCATACTTTGCTCTAATACTAAGTGGAAAACATGTCCCTTGAATTGTAAGCCAAATAAATTTTAATTTTTATCTCTGATGACATCTTAAAAGCATCTTTTCTCATATTCCTGCAGAACCTAACACCTTAGAAATTTTTATGATGCTTTCTTCTCTAAGCTGGAGCAAAGTTTTGACATTTTTCCATCTCTAAATGGAATAACGAGATCTCTGAAACAGTGGTTATTTATAAATCTCAGGCAAAACAATTATTCAGACCTCATTTATTGAGCGTGAAAGCATGCTGCAAAATAGAAGGGCATAAATGTGTTTCTAAGGGATATATAGTTCAACTGTCTGTTTTTAGCATCCCTACTCCTGTATTAACTAGCTGATTTTCTTTCTTCAGCTCCACCAAAGACCAAAAGACCAGGTCGTCGCCCCCGTCCTAAAACCACACCTAGTCCAGATGTACCCAAGTCCAAACCTGGTAAATGTGATGTTCAGGGTTCCAGTTAATGTAGAAACTGGAATATGGCAGCTTCCGGTTTAGGTTTAGTGGCTACCCTCTGCCTAAGTAGCTGGGCTTTAGAAACCGGTGAAGTTGGTTTTGGTGTTCAAGCTTTTGCACTGTTTTTCTGTAGACATGTTATATGAATATATATTCATATTTGTAGTTGTTACATACACACACAGCGGTAAACTGACCCACTAAGGGGATTATTAAAGTAAGCTGCCATAAAACCCTTACATAAGGATCATATTCAAAGTAGATGAGGTCAGGGAAACTCACAGATATCAAAGGGGTATATGGGGAAAATTACATTCAGAAAAAGTACAGTTTAAGTAAAGATTGGGGAGTAATGTTTCCTGCCTCAAGATGCCACTTCTTGATATAATTAGTGTTTTTGGTCTTTTGCTTCTGTAGCTCTTCAACCCTCTACGGTACAAACGGAGCTCTTGATGCCCACAGTTGGTAATTTCCTCTCCATTTGCTTTCACTGGTTGTCACTTCTACTTTTCCTGCTCTCCACCGGGCATAACCATAGTTCTGTCATCCCCACCACAATTTCATTTCGTGCTTTCTCTCACCATTTCTCTCTGGGTCTGGGGAGCCTGATGATAGAAGGCTTGTAGAAGAATCCTGTGAGTGTATTTAGGGAAGGTCTGTGGTCTTGGACACAGCTCCTGATTCTCCACAAACTCTCTGCATCCATCACGTGCCCTGGTGTTAAGAAAATACACTCCTCTTTGGAAGACGGGGCTTCTAAGCTTGATCTGGAACTGACAAATGGCAAATTTTTATTTTAGCTCCGTAATTATATTTGTGTCATTTTGGACATTCAATCTATAATAATTTCTCTTTAAAACACCGCATGAAATAATGACTTCTTCAGCTTTTTTTGTTTCCCTAAAGACTGTTTTTGAGTATGATTGAATAATCAGAGGCACACACTGTCGTTCTAGGGATTGGTCTAGGGACCTAAGGAAACAGTATTGTCTTTGTAACTGGAAAACATTAAAAGACTCAAGTTGATGTTGATTTTTTTAGTACTAAAACTGTTTGGTTACAAATGTAATTTCTCAGCATTCACAGTAGATCTGTAGCTGCTTGCTTTAGAAAACTCCTGAAGGCAGTAAGCATGTAAAATTGTTTCTTTTGTGTAATTTTAAGTGATTATAGATTGTTTTCAGGTCTCCCACTAAGCAAGTTTAAAATTCTACTTTACTGTTTTTGTACTGAAGAAACCTATTACAAAATAGAACTATCATACTTGTTATTTTTAAAATTACTGGTATAGAAAAAAGTCTTATTCTAGCCCTCATTTCTTGTACTTCATTTTCTGAAGATTTTTCCCATTGGGAAAAGCAGTAGAAGTTGATATATTTCCCACCCTTTCCATACTCCAGGAATTAATATTGTTGTATAGTCACTGAATTTAGATCACATGTCTGCTGAAGTATGTATGTTCTTAATTGTGATAGTCCCAACTATGGCCCTTATACTAAATCCTATCCCTTCTTCTTTAGCATCAAAACCACCCAAAAGACCTGAAACCACACATAGACCAGATATGTCTCAACTCCAGCCTGGTAGTCACTACCTTTGTTATAGAGCAACCCCGATATTAAACGGGTTCCTGGCTGTGGGTCCTCACCCGCGCGCTTTAAAGGGACTTATGAATACTCTACTACAGACACACACAAAAGGGTTAATAAAAGGTTTATTTACAAGAGAAAAAGAAATAAGGAAAATGTACACCTCAGGGAGAAAATAGGAAAATAAAGTCTTTAATGCGTCCTACCCGATCCCACGACCTGGAAACCCAAAGTCACTCTCAGAGCTAGACGGACGCCGCAAGCTGGCCGAGGGCCCCAAAATGGAGAGAGCCCCAAAGCCCACATGTCTGCCTTTTGTATCCACCTGGCTGCTTAACCCCACCCTCAGGTCCCAGCCACCTTCCCTTTAGTGGTGATGGGATTTGGAGTTCCCAGTGTCTTTGGCTTTGACCTGGGGTGGGGGTGGAGTGCACAAAGCCTGTATGGAATTTGCTTTGGGGCAGCCTTTTCCCCCAACACTGGGGTGGGGGTGGAGTCCACAAAGCCTGTATGGAATTAGCTTTGGGACAGCCTTTTTCCCCTAACACCTTCACTGTCTTGATCTATAACTAGGGAAATGGTGTGTAAGCAGCATTAATCTTCACATTCACATTAGCTCTGCTGTGACACTAATTATGGCACCTTTTTTCCTTCAGATTCAAAACCACCAAAGCACTTATATCCTAAACCCCAAATAACAGCAAAGCCAGATATGCCAGCAACTAAATCCGGTAAACTTGATTTCCAGTGTTTTAACTTAAGCTTTTTCTTTGAGAATGTTGCTGAAAATGTTGACAATTTGTCATACCATATATCCAGTACAAACCCAAATAATATGATTTTGTTTATTCTCAATGTAGTCACACTGATAATTTAAATGCTAAATGAACAAATCAGTGTGTGGTATATTAATATATTTTACCTCTGTCTCACAGATTCTATTTTCTTAAGGCATTTTTAGGTATTGTTTTCTGGATGCAGATTTGTAATGAATAGAAGTCTTTTTTTTTTTTTTTCTGTATGATTTTTTTTCTGGAACTTTTTTGAAGATTTTTATTTATGTATGCATGTAAGAACTGGGATGTATGCCAGAGGTGCAGGGGGCGGTGAGAGACAGAGACAGAGTGGGGAGCAGAACAGGTGGTGAATCTACTGAAATACACTGCTGAGGGGAGCAGCCAGCAAGACAGGAGAGGTCTGCTACACCATGTGGGGGTAGCTCCCTGGCCGGGGATCGAACTCATGCCACAGTGGCTGGTGCTAGCTTAATAGTGCTGAGGCTTTAACCTCTGTGCCGTGAGGGAGGCCCCCTTCTGGAACATTTTTTAAGGTGTTTTTAGCAGCCATCACTGGGCAGAACTCTGTTCTTCCTTCATAGGCGCAACTGGAAAAGAATTGATAAATGGGAACTTACCTCATTTTAGGTTCCCTGTTGGCCTTTTAAATAATAACTATTAACTGGGTGATCTCCATACCAAATAATTTATTTTAACACAGTTCTGAAAATTCATGTTTTGCATTAAAATTTTCTCTTAAGTTTCCAACTTGTCTAAAACTCTAATAATGAAATTTACAAATTTCTCATAATAAGCCAGTCAAGAAGGCAATGTACAAAAATTTAGAATAAAGCAGGTTTTGTATCTTCTGAATTTAAAAGTCAGTGAGCACTGAAAAGTTGAACTTTCTTGTTTTTATTACTTACATCTGTTTATTTTTTTATGATGCAGTCTTTGAGCCTATTGTATTTGAAACGGAAGCTCCTTCCATCACCATAGGTAACAATATCTTCCTTCTTGGTCAATGTTTTTCTGAAATTGCCCCCTCATCTCTGGCATTATCTGTATTCTCTTGTGTAAACAATTGTCATTTATCACCTTTTCTTCCACTTCCAGAATTGTTAACTATTATCAACAGAAACCTTTTTAACATCATTAGGCATGCTTACATCTGCTGCTCAGTTTATAATTCCTGAAGGTTTTTATTTGATCCCCTTCAGAGACATTCAGATTGCTTGCTGCACTTGATGATGCTGGAGACACAGGCACTAACCAGGAAATTTTTGAGATCTCTACTTCTAAGGGGAGAGAAGCAGTGGAAATCCTGGTTGGGAATTGGGAGAGAAAATAATTTTCTCTTTCTCATCAAGTAATTTCTTCTTGGTCTTTTCTCTTGACAAACTCATCTTGTGATGCTGAATTCCAAACAAAATAGGGATTCCCCTCTTTTTTGTTTGAAGACAATCATCTTTGAATGTTTTCATCCTCCTGGTCTGGCTTCCTCCACCTTCTGCATGCCACATTTTCACTGGTTCAGAAGATGCTTTCATATGTGGCTCAACCAAATTTGTGCTGTATTGTCTTAGGGAAAGGCAGTCTCCATGTAATGCTTAAAGAGTTTTTGTTGATTAGATTTTTAATGTTATACTTAACCTTCTATATTTAATGAAAAATAAATGCACACACCAATTTAAAACCAAAATTATAAGAAATGTCTATCTCTGCATAACTATGATTTCAGAATATTATAGACGTGTAGGAATTCGGTTTATTCAGGCAAGAAAATCTTAATTTTATGTATTTTTTTCTTAATCACCTTTGTTCACATGAATAATAACCCATTACCCATTTTGATATGTGAATGAAGAGAGACATTAGGAAACCGTATCACTTATTATACAGTTTATGTATAATAACTGTCACAGATCTCCAATCAATAGGATGATTAAGAATATTTTTTTAAAATTCCCCTCACTACTACCATATCCTTAGTCACATATTCAAAATGGTAATGAAATCTTTTCAAATACTAACAGAGCCTTTCATAATAAGTTGTCAGAGTAATTTAAGGTCAATATCAGATAGCTAAAATTTTTTTTGGTGCCAAGTTTCCAATATAACTATATATAATCAGATAATTAAATCGGGGGGTGGGTCAGAGGAAACTTTTTTATTGGCCTTGTAAGGATGCAAAGTGCAAAGGGTATGTCTATTTGCGAAATAAATGGACATCAAAGTATAGCCAGTTATTAGAGAACAAATAATGTTTTTCCAGAGTTCAGAAATGCTTTGTAAACATACGGGGTTAATATTTATTTTCAGGTAATTTTCTTTTTTTCTATATTTCTTAAATCCCTCTTGTTTATATTATTGCTTTTGGTCAGTTCCTGCCACAGACTTTGAACCTATAACTCTGAGAACTGAGGCTCCTTGGACAACATTAGGTAATGACCTTTTATGCTTTTAATCAAGTGTCTTTTCTTCTCATGGTGTCCAGTCTGTTCCATCACTCTCACGGTCATTGGGTTTTCTCTGTCAGAAAATTTTCTCATCATCATCTCATGTCATTCAACTATTCTTAATCTCAAATGTATTGAAGATGTTTAAAATAACTTGATAACTTGGTTAGAATATAAGCCTATATGTACCTAATGCAGCTCTTTGACTCCCATAGTGAGCACTATTAGTATACTTTAGAGCTTGTGATTCAGCCCAGTGTTCTGTGATAAAGATGAAGACACAGCTAGGAGTCTGTGCCTCATAAATACCAATTGCAATTCTATGCACATCAACAGAAAATTGTTTCAAGATACACAAGGCATTTTATTGTCTACTAATGATTTTAAGAAATGTGTATAATCTGATAGTGGTTAGCCGAGTATTAAGTCAATTATTTTCTAAGTACAATCTTCCCAACATTCGTGAGCCTGAGTCCCTCTCTGATGTGACATGAACATGCTGTTGTTATTCTGGCTTCCTTTGGATCAGAGTCCTCTTTGAGAATCTGATACCAGCAAGAATAACAGTTTTTAGATAATGAAAGTGTTACAGTTTTTCTCAAAAGAACTATTAGTAGGTCCTAGCCACATTTTTCATATAGACGACAAAAATAATTACAACCCAGGAAAATCAAGCAAAATTTAGAAAATTTTATTTAGAATTAGAACAGAATTTTAGCAAACTAAAATAGTTTTCAAATTAACATAGTTTCTATGTTTAGAAACTAAAGCTCTGTGAAATCCTTTCTGTAGTTTCTGGAATCATAAGAAAACATTAACCAGTTTCCTTTCTTCAGCACCAAAAACATCACAACGAACAAGAACACGTCGTCCACGCCCCAAACCTAAAACCACGCCGAGCCCAGAGGCACCTCAGAGCAAACTAGGTAAATATATAGTTCCTGGTGCCTGTGGAACCCTAGCAGATATGATTCTGGGGCGGTAATTTAACTTCCACCTAATAATACCTGTGACTCTTAAGGATGAAGCCCAAGTCAGAGAATGTTCCTGCATTGCACTCTGGTCAATACCTGGAACTTGGTCACATTGCTCAGCTTCCTTTGTGGTGCCTGTGTATTTTACTTCTCTGGACAATTACATTATTCTCCTTGATTCTAGCTCAGAAAAAACTTAGTTAGCTAGCATACTTAGTTCAGTTAGTCACATATTTAATGAAGTGTTTTGTCAGCATCTATGCTGAATAGTTTAGAATTAATAAATGACATCTTGGTTGAGGAGGGTAGCTCTTGTGTGGGAAACTGTTCATAAATAGATATAAAGGAATGTAAACAAAAGTAAATATTTATTGAGACGAAACTATTTGGAACAGAGTTGGCTCTTAGAGAACTGAAAGATACATGGGCTGACAAGTGTAATGTGGACCTGGAAATTTGTATGGTAGATTGGTTGGAAGGAGAGGCAGGAATAGCATAAATAGAGCTGTGAAGATGGGAATTGGAAGTCCAGGCTACTTGGGAAGAAGGCAGGCTCACTCAGCTGGTGGTCAAAATTTTGATCATTGGTGCTACTTTGGGATGCCTGACTTCAATGACTGGATCTGAGCCACTGGCCACAGTACAATCTCCTAGCCAACCTGAATCAGGCCTTTCTGTCCTGCTAACAGAGATGCACTGAATGACTCTCTATCTTGCTCTTTTATGTGCCTTTGTTTGGCAGGGATCTTGGTCTTTTTCCAGAGTGGACTCTCAACAAAAAACAGCATTGTCTGATTTAGCTATTCATTCCAGTATCTACTTCAATATATCAAGAATTATACCTATCATTGTTTTCCAATCTGTAGTATTATAAATTATACTTTCACATTCTTTTCATGTCACTGCTTATTCTACTTGTTATCAACAGATGACCAAAGAGTCTTTTAAGTGGAGTTGTCTATTGTATCATCAGATAATATAAAAACAGCAAGATGTAGAGATAAGGAGATTATGTGGAGACACTAACGATATAACTATTTCATCAAAACAATTATCTTTGTACCCTCACCTCAGAATTTAAATTTTTCTTTTTAGCTGTAGAACCATTACTTAGGCTGGTGATACTTATTTTAAAGAGTTTGACTTTTTTCATGTGTTTAACATTTAATTTTTAAATTACTTTTGATCATTTCTTGCTACAGACTTTCAACCTGTTATTCCTGGGACATCTATAGGTAATGAGCCCTTTGAGTTCTTCACCATGTACTTGCTTATTTGTGGTGCTATCTAGATGATGATGACATCACTTGTCATCATCTTATCACAATATCCAATATTTAAATACAAAGGTTTTCTTTTTAACAGACATCTGCATGGACTTTTTCCAAAAGAGCGCTCTCTATATATCTCAACTTGAAATTGAGTCATGTCAATTTCAGTCTCTGTTTAAACAGTACTGTTTCTTACATCTGATGTCCTAATATGACTCCTTTTCTACCCTGTATTTAGACCACCAGTACAGTATCAATTATGCCATGAAATTTCTTTAAGCATCTTACTTTCTATTTTCCAAGTTCTACATAATTTTTATGACTTGTTGATGTTTCAGCAAGTTTTTGTATACTTATTCTAGTAAATTATCAAGTAGAAAATTTGTCCAAGTCTAACAATTTAAAATTGTAAGTGAATGTTAAGGGTAGTTTGAAACTCTCACATAACTACTATAGCTTAACAGTGACTTGTGCCAGTTTTTGAATTAGGGACATTTTTAAGAAAGGAATATTTCCTAATCTTCATTTCTGAAACTTACTCGTGTATCTAATTTTTATCTCTGGAGAACTCTCAATTATGAAAGACCTATTAATATAATAAAGGAGAAAATTCAAACCAAAGTAGTTATGTCCACTGACAAAAGGCTGGCAAGTTTTAGAAAGCTTAAAGCCATGCTGTTGCATCCTATCCAGAGTTTATGGAGCGATCAGCACCACATTAATCATAATTTTCTTCTTGTAGCTCAAACAACGATGACAACAACAACAAAGAAACCCCGTCGCCCACGTCCCAAACCTAAAACCACGCCCCATCCAGAATTATCTCAGACCAAACTGGGTAAATATGTGGTTTCTGCTTTAAAGAATACAAGCAGTCTATCCCAGTTGGGATCCTACATTCCATGCATATAGTCAGGATGTGTGCTTACAGATCTTTAAGAATGAAAGGTATTAGTTAGGAGATGCTGAGATATATCTAAGGCTCTTGTACTTCCTATGTTGGGAATGGTCTCTATCAATGAGTTTATTCAGTTTTCTTACTAGTTTATTCTATTCAGTCTTAAAGACTGAATATTCTATTCAGTCTTAAAGATAAAACTTTAAGTCAAGTTTTAAACCAACATAATCAATTCAAGGTGACTACACTTATTAATCCCTTCTCTATACCCATGTTAGCACATCTGAAGTAGGAGGTATATTTTAGTTGCAATCAGTATGTACTATTGTAAAAAAAAGAAAAAAAGATAAAGAAAAAAAAAGAAAAGTTGTTCCTGCATGAACAGGTAGAAAATAACAAGACAGTGAGCACATTGATGCAAAGGTAAAATACGTTCTCAAATGGTATAAATGCTCCATGGTAGGAACGCAGTAAATATTTGAAGCAGAAAAAGATCCAAGATAATTAGGTAGAAATCAGTACAGAATCTGGATGATTGGCGGAATAATGGAACAATGGCTGACAAGTAGGGCACATGTTGAAGCTAACATCCCAGACAGAGGGTGACCTATTGTTCTCCTTTTGTTTTTTTTTTTAACATTTTATTTATTTATTTATTTATACAAGCACTGGGTACAGTCAGAAGTGGGGGAGGGTGAGAGAGTTCACCAGAGCCAGAGCAGGGAGTAGAAAAGGCAGACTGACGAAATACACTGCTGAGGGGAGCAATGGGCAGCAGGAGAGGTCTGCGCGCCATGTGGGACCCTCGCCAGAAGGCTGGGGATTGAGCCAGCGCTGCAGAGGCTGCAGGCAGCTTCGCAACCCAGCGCTCAACCCCTGCACCACCGGGGAGGCCCTTGTTCTTTTGAATGGTCCCATAGGATGAATTAAAGGAGAACTGGGATGTCTACTCAAGAGCTTAAATTTGATCCACTAGACTTCAGTGATCCTTGTTCTGCATAGGATCATGTTTTTTCTGTTCTTAGAACTGAATGTGAGCCGTCTAATATGAGACCACAAATTGAGATGTTGTTCTTCACCTTATATTAAATGCCACTCTTTTCACTAAGGACTTGGTCTCTTAGTGAGTATAGTGTCAGTGTCCATTTGGATATTTGTTGTATTTGTGGTCGACAGGCCCTAGGGTTACCCCCAGATCCCATTCCCTCCATTGTCCCATCCCCATACTTCTGCCTCTTGACATTAAAGCCTTTGTATAATCCATTTTCCCTCTCCCTTCCCTCCTACCTGTTAGACACCATAGAAGCATTGTTTTTATTGGTAAGGTGAATTGTCTGGCATTTCATGCATTCATGAAATTCTTTTTGGTTTCTTTTATTACTTTTGATCAGTTCCTGCCACAGTCTTTGAACCAGTTATTCTTAGAACCGAGGCTCCAGGGATGACAGTAGGTAATGACACCCTGTATCATCAGCATCTGCTTCTCCTGCTCATTTCAAATCCATTTCATCACCATCTTAATCCATTTTCTCCTACTTTACAGACTTATGCATCATCTTCTGTGATCATTCAATTACTTCTGAATATTGAAAAATATTAGAACAACTTGTTTTATATTTGTCTTTTTTTATTATTACTTTTTATTTTTTACATCATTGTTCATTTTTAAACAATATTTGCTTCTCCCTCCCCCTCAGGTGTAGTCCCCATAGAATTTCCTTCCCCAATGCACCCTTGCACCGTCACCTCAGTCCCCTGTGCTCCTCCCTCCCTCCCTCTGATCCCTCTCCCTCCTCCTCCCCTGCAGGATGTCTCTGATTTATAATTGTCTGTAAAACTACTTGTTTTAAAAGAGCCAAAGATGAATTTAATTTAGTATGCATACCTGCAATGTAATTCATTTGAATTTATGGTATCTCACCTTTATATTACCTTATAATCACATTCTTTATTACTGAATTTGAGAAATAATTCATGAGGGTTGGCAGGAAGGGTGTATATCCTTGATGTAAGCTGAGTGAATTGTCCTAGCTACTGTGGTGCCACCCAGCTCTTCTGTGGATCTAAAGCCCCATATTTTTACTATCTACATGATTTTGATTTCGTTTATCCATTTTATATAATTAGTCTTTTTTCCAGTAGGAGTAAGATAGTTAAAATACCCAATGCTAGTTGATTTAAATTATAAACAACCATCATAAGTGTGAAATTACCTAGCCCCACCCTAACTAAGCAAGGTTCTGTATTTTTTTAATCCAGAAATCCCTGACAGAATCTCCTTGAAATCACCTTCAATTTATGTTTCTGTGTGATTTTTGTTTCTCAGAGTAATTCAGATGATAATAAAGAGACAGTTATCAATAGGGGCAAATATTTTAAACTCAAGAGAAAAATATTCTGAAACACAAGAAATTAAACCAAGAGAAAAATATTCTGAAACACAGGAAATTAAACCAAATATAATGCTATCCTACAAACACACTGCTAACCTAAGCTTTTATTCCTTTAGCTCCCAAGGTACCTCAGCGAACTATTCATCCACGTCCCAAGCCTAAACCCACACCAAGTCCTGGAGCCCCTCAGACTGATCTGGGTAAATGCACAGAGTCTGGTTGAGAAATCTGGCAGGTCATATTGTGGGTTCAGAGAAAGTAAAGGGGCAAGTCAGGGTCAGCAGCTGCTCCCACTCCAGAGCAGGCGATAAGGACACTGTTGGAGAGGGAGGTCTTATGTCAGTCGAATTCCTTTTGCTTTGTGAAATAGAGTCTTCTTTCTAAATGTGTATTTACTTGATGTATCATTCAGTTTTAATATCCTTTAAATATTGAATCTGTATAGAGGACTAGAACAGCTGCAGAATGAATGTATGTTTGGGCAAATAGCAAATTATTTCTCAGTAACTTTAACAGTTGTGTAAGTCATAATAAGATCTAAGGCAGGAGTTGCCCAATATCTTCTATGAAGGGCAAGATAGTAATTGGCTGAGGCTCAGTGCACCATGTAGTCTGTTGCATGTTTTTTTTCTTTTTCTACAAACACTTAAAAATGATGAAATAATCATTCTTAGCTCTCAATGACTAAATGAAAATAAACCATGGACAAGATTTGGTCTATGGACTGTATTTTGCAACCCCTGGCTTAGAGAAACAAGCAGGGTGGGGCAGAATAATTAGAGAGGAATTGAGTTGAAATCGCTTTATATTTGGGTGTTTGGGAGACAGGGAGAGGAAGAAGTACAGAAAGGCAAGATGTGGACATTGAGAAGAAGCAGAGGCTTCTCTGGCTGATGGAAGCTGTCAACTTCTCAGTGCCAATGGGGTCATTTCTGTGAGGCTGCTGCAGCTAAATTCACCCCTTAGGACCAGTCAAAAACAGTTTCAGGTGGTGGGTATCAGAGGAGAGTGTGCACGCACGCATACGCATAGGCAGGATTTTCCTGGGCATTGGACTGTGGGATATCCTGTTTGCCACATACAGAATGACTGCCCTTTGTCTTGCTCTCTTAAGTACCCTGCTAGGTAAAGCTCCTGTTCTCTTTCAAAAGATGAGTTTTCAGCGCTATGGATATGCGCTACTTTGGTACATTACTTAGACTTCCTAAAGAGTGAGAAACTTCAAGGCACTCCACAAGCATAGTACTAAATACAAAGCAATCCATCCTATGCAATACATTGGTACCCAACGACAGAGATACCGTATTCCTATGCTCAGAGATTAATAGTATTTGCCTTGTACTCTAGCCACATAACTACCTGGTAAAGTTAATGTCCTGAGATTGTATAAATGTTTAACCTTTTATTTTATACTATTTTTGGTCAGTTCCTGCTACAGTCGTTGAACCTGTTACTCCTATAAAAGAGGCTCCAGGGACAGCATTGGGTAATGCCACTTTTTGACCTTCAGCGAACTTTTTCTGCTCATTGTTAAGTTTGTTGCACTCTGATGTCACTCAGTTGCATTCTGTAACTTAGGAGAGTTGGACAGGCAAGGACAAATTGCCTTTTCTTAGGAGAGTCACGCCTGAGTCTACTTCATATATTGTGGGAGTATGTGTAAAGGCCCTACTTTTGAGTCTAGTCACATTGGGCAGTAGGGCTTAACATAAAAATTTTGGGGAAACAATCTGGTCCACAACACCCTTCATGCAGAAATTTTCTAAAAAATAATCTCGAAGCCATAAAACACTGGCAAGGTTCATTTTGAAGTAAATGTCATAGCATTTTATATATTTTTTTTGTTACTTCAGTTCCTGTTACAGATCTTGAACCTGTTACTTTTACAACCAAGACCTCTGGGACAACAGTAGGTAAAGATCCTTTGCCATTTGCTGAGTGCTTTTGCTGTTCATTGTAAAGCCCATTCAGTCTTCATCCCTATGACCACCATGATCCTCTGTTGCCCTGCAATCACTTCCTTCATTTAAAGATACTGCAGCCTCTTAAAAACCAGTTCCCTGTTGTTTTTACGAGAGCAGGCATGAGCTTAGTTAAAAACATTCACTGCCATCTGGCACGTTCGAAGTTTCACATTAACTATCTTATGCTTTGGTGGATGGTGTTCTCTGTTAAAGCTGAGTTTAAAGCAAATGGGATCTATTTTTAATCTCAACTGACCGGCAATAATAGCTTCTCTTTTGCTTCTCTGCATATCTCAGTTTCTAGATATTTAAACTATTTGCATGGTATGTTTGTTTCTCTGTTAGTGCTCTGAGTAATGATGTGTTTTATTGCTAATCTTACAAATGGAGAATTACCATATTATGAAGTTTTAAAGTATCAGCTTCTTCTTTACTGTGTCCAAGTTGCTCTTTCCTTGCCCCAGAGTCAAGCTCTCCTTCTTTATCATTTTTCACCGAGTGTGGAATTTCTGTGAGTAATTACAAGTGCTAATTTTCATGTATGGAATGAGCAGCTTAGCATATATGACTTTGCCTGAAAAGCACGCGCAGTGATAAAAAGAAGACACTTTGGTATACATAGTGAAAATTTAAAACTACAAAGACAGTTTCCTGGAACTTTCCAAAATCTAACAAGTCTTAGAAAAATGTTTCCTCAGTTCCCAGAACCCCAGGAGCTAGAGTAACACAAGACTTTTCTTTCTTTAGCTACTAAAGTGTCACAAAGAACTCGTCGTCCACGTCCCAGACCTAAAACCACAGCAAGCCCTCAAGTACCTCACAGCAAACTAGGTAAATGTGTGTTTTCTTAGTTTAAGGAGAGCCCTAGTAGCCTGTCCCAGTGGGGACCGACCCAACTCAATATCAAGTTCTTATTCCAAATATGAGGCCATAAGGCTCATCAGTAATGTCTCTTCTGTCCAGGGATCAAGGACATTACCACTGGATGAGATGAATACCTTTTTCTGTGTGAGAATCATCTTTGAAACTATGCATTTAGTATAGTTCTTACCAGATTCAAGTCAGATCTTAAAACTTACTTAGCATCGCCAATATATTCAATTCAACTAAACAAATTGTAAGGTCCTATTATCCATGTTTACTTAAGTACAGGTTTGAGATTTTAAAACAACTGTCTAAGTTAGGTAAATGCATAAAAATTTTTTCCAGCACAGATTTTTCCATAATGTTAATATGTGTTAAAAACCAGGAGAATTTAATGTTGATTTTTTAAAAGATACTCAAAATGCTTAAAAGATTAAATCTAAAACTTAGCCTAATGACTATAGTTTGGACCAATTCTATAATAATTAGTCAAACACTCTTAACTCAATAATTTTTTTCTCTGTTTCTTTTCAAGGACTAGTATACAAGTAAGACTTGTTGGGTGTTGTATCACTTCATATATTTTAAATTCTCTTTGGCTTACTTTATTATTTTTTGGTCAGTTCCTGCTACAGTCCTTGAACCTGTCACTCTTAGACCCGAGGCCCCAGAGACAACCTTAGGTAATGATACACTTGTTTTCAACAAACTTTACCCTGATTATTATCAAACCCAGAGTTTCCTCTTGCTTTTTGTAATGAAAGTTTCATTCTTGGTAAATGTTCATTTACATTCTTATTGAAATTCTGCTAACTCTTAAATTACTGTTGCTTTTAAGGGAAATTTTCATGCATGAATCCACTTTAGGAATTTATTTGTCATGTGACTTACTGAAATTGTGTCCTGTTTAAACAGTTTGTGGTAACACTGGTTTTCAAACATTCCATGGGTCTCTACCGCTTATTCAGACAGATAAAGCCTTTAACGGTTATCACAGGCTCAGGACTCTTCATTATACAGCTACATTTCTACCATTTTTTTTTTCTATTTGCGTAGTATTTTCTTGTGTTTCTATTTAGGTAATGCATGTCCTGGTTTTATTATGTAGAAAATGTGGCATGGATTGAAAGGTTATAAATCTCAGATTTAGTATGACTATTTTTTTTAAAGATTGACTTTTTTTTATACAAGAGCTGGGGTACAGGTCAGAGGCATGGGAGGGTGAGCAGATTCACCAGAGACAGAGCAGGGAATAGAATAGGCAGACAGACTAAAAGCACTGCTGAGGGGGGCAGGGGGCACGACAGGAGAGGTCTGCCATGCCATGTGGGAATCTCCCTGGCCGCCAGGGAATCGAACCCGCTCTGCAGAGGCTGCTTCACAGTGCTGCACTCAACCCACTCTACCACCGGGGAGGTCCCTAGTATGATGATTTATTGTCCATTAATAACAGTGTTTTAGCCTCTTTGTTGCCCAGTCAAGCTGCCTTGCAGACTTTGATTATAATAACTAATTTTTATTTCTTGAATTAAAAAGTGATTTTTATCTTCAAAAAAAATGTCCTATGATGAAAGAAAAAAATTATGTATATATAATAAAAATCTCAAACTAAGGGTCAACTCTAAACAGTAGTAGAAAGTGTGTGATCATGTTTGACTTCCTATAGTGTCCAACCATAAACAATATAGTTCTCTAATAACCCAAGAATTTCTTCCCTCAGCTTCTAAAACATCACAGCGGACACATCGTCCACGCCCCAGACCAAAAACCACCCCAATTCCTGAAGCACCTGATTACAAACCAGGTAAACATGTTCCTGGTGTAGAGTCCCAGCAGTCTAACCCAGCAGGGTCTCAAGAGCAGTAACTGCTATTGTGAGTAGTAACCAGGGTGCCTCAGAAGAATGAAAATACAGCTCTGTTAAGCAGCAGTTCCCAGTGTAGAGAAGGCAGGACTGTAGAAGGGGAGACTTGTGTGGCCATTGAATGAGGTGTTCAATTCTTTGTCACTGTGCATTTTCTTTACTTCCATTTAACTCTCAAGAATAAAACTACTTTAGAAAATCCATTCAGTTCAAGTCAACATTTATATAAATTAAAAACTTATCTTCAGTATACCCCTGTTCTTATTAGTACACTTGGAGGCTATATACATCAGACATGGGAAACATGTTTTATTCCTCAAACCTGCAAGTCAGTTGAGGAAAAAAGCCTTCCCGTTAGATGTAAGGTAAACTATGATATTAGATAGCATTCATGCAAATACATGATTGAGTTTTGGGAATTGCCATCAAGATTTGCTAGGCACATAGATATTTGGAGCAGGAGAAGATAAGTTAAAGAGTGGAGCCTCGAAGTCACCATAGTACAGGGATGAGTTGGAAGGATGAACAATAATAAAATCAGAGGGTATAGAAGTAGAGGCCAACCATAGCAGAGATTCTAATTGTAATAATAGTATAGAGGTGTCTCACGTTAAGGTGTTATTCAAGCTTTTCTAGATCTTGATGGGTCCACAGACTCTGTTGGTCCATTTCACTTGTGGTGAATGTCCTTAGGCACCTATTGAAGCAATTCAGATTTGATCTAGTAGCTATCAAAAAAGCTCTTTGCACATTAATGCATGCTTTTTCTTTGTTTAGAGTGGAGAGGTATCCTATTTGATTCATCATGATTCCAAAGATAAGTTTTTAGCAATACCATACATCCCAATTTGGCTTATTAGCTGAAATAGGATAATCATAGGAGGAGGAACGAGGAGAGCAGTACCTTAATGAATTTTGATCAAATTTTAGGAAATCAGTTGTCTGCCTCTCCAGCTTAACAGTTTTTAAGTTAGTATGGAGTTCTAGAAACTGTATTAGTAAAAATTATTCTGACATAAATATTTTGAGTTTTCTTTCATTAAAAACAGTCTCTTTTGGTTTATTTTTAATGTTTTTGGTCAGTTCCTACTGCAGTGCTTGAACCTGTTATGGTCAGAACTGAGACTTGGGTGACAACGCAAGGTAATAAAACATTGTGATCATCAATAAGTCCTTTTCATTGTCACACTCATTCCATCAATTTCATGGCTAAGGTTCTTTTAATTCTTAAGACTATCTCATCATCTTCTATTACTCTTACACTCTTCATCCTAAAGTCTCAATTAGTCTGACTCTTAAAACAAGTTACCCCTTGTTTTGAAGAGAGCCCTGCATGAGCTTCACAAAGGTCATCTGTTATGCATGTCACCATCTGAAATTGTTTTGTTTTCTTGTGTGTTCTTCTAAAAGGTGTTCTATTAAAACTGGGATTAAAAAGTAATTCTCTTGACTCTGGTAACTCTCAATATTATGGTATCACAGAGATTCTTTGTGAACATAATATTCTACTTTTAAAAAATGTGATATTTAGTTTTTTATTGACTAGTTAATTAAGTGGATCTTATTTAACAGCCCATCAGAGTTTATAGCTTGCTCTTAACATCACAATAATGTTTTAGCAATGATTTTGACCATGAATGATTCTTCACTTCTTAAATTAATAACTTAGTTTTATATATGACTCATTTCCATTGAACTTTCAGTTGTAAAAGAAGACATATACAATTACAAGGATTCAGGTTTCAAATTAAAGATTAAATTTCCTAGAACATGAGGAAATCAGTACGTTTTAAGAAACTGAGAGCCGTGTGTCATGCTACGCATCGACTCTCAAATAGACTTGATAGTAACTAAAGGTTTTCTTTCTTCAGCTCCTAAAACATCAAAGCGAACCCGTCGTCCACGTCCCAAACCTAAAACCACACCAACTACTGAAGCACCTCAAACCAGACCGGGTAAATGTGGATTTTAGGTTGAAGGAGAGTCTTAGTGGCTCTTGAGAGGCTGAGGTTGTTGCTGGTGATGGGAGTCATGGCCCGTGTGGGCTGGCGTGGATGAAAACACAGAATGATCTGTTGCACCTGCCATTGTTGATTGAGCAAGGGAAACTGAATTCCTTGTCTTTCTGCATAAGGACCTTTTCTTGAATTATGTATTTTATTGACTTATTCTTCTATTAAGAACAAAGCATCTTAAATAGAACCAAACTTTGTTATTTCAAGAAACAAATATCGAGTACCGTCCATCTCCCCACAGCACACCTATGGCTGTGCAGGTATCACAGAAGTAGGTGGCCTGTGTTTATTTTTCTATCTGCAGTGTAGTCAGGCAAGTCCTGCCCCAGTATGAAACATTTAATGATTGAGCCAAAGCAATCTGTGCAAATCAAGCTTGGTTTTTGGTTTTGTCTTTTTGGCATGAATTAGGAATATCTGTGAACTTAGAGAAATGGTAGTGAAGGACAGGAGCGGGAGTTAATGAATAGAAGCAGAAATAAGGAGGAATAGAGGCCAACCCAACGGCACAGGCTTCCTGGAACAAGGAAGGTCCTGCTTCGAGGTAGTACTGATATTGCTGAATTTCTAAGAGTCCAGAAAGGCAGCTTAAGAAATTCTTTGAAGGTCTGACTCAGAAGTTGAAATCTGACTCCAGAAATATCAGTGATCACTCTCGAAATCTCTCTCATCTACACGGGAAACTGCATTTTTGTGATTAGAACAGGAGGAGCTGCTCAACGGGGCACCATGCACTGAGTGGATATTTCTTATCCTGATTTGTTGAGTTCCGTCGCCTCAAAGAAGGTCATGGCCTGTTTCCAAAAATGATTTCTCAGTGAGATGAGGATGCTTCACTGCCTTACTCTGGCTGTGCCATCTTTTAAACATAAAGGCTATTTATTGTTTTTATGTCCATATGGCTATGCTATTTACTTAAAAGCCAGAATACTTATGAGTATTCTTATAAGTATATATTTATACTTACACCTCTAAGTGTATGTTTATACTTACAAGTATGTGCTTGGTAAAGTGTTTAAACAAGTTTCTTAACAGTCTTCTACAAAAGTTGAAATTAGATACTTAGAGACCCAGGAGACTATCGTGTTGGCTTTCTTGAGATAGGTATGAGAGTGGCTAGGCTATGACTAGCTCACAAAAGTGTTTACCTAGCTATGAAGTGACCAAATCCTGAAGTGATAAGTACTTAATTTCAGAAAAAAATAAATTGCTGTGTATCTATCAATGCATTATTACACTGGTAAGGTTTCATTTGCTAACTTTTCACAACTGTTTATTTCATTGCCTTTGATTAGTTCTTATTACAGATCTTGAACCTGGTACTCTTAAAACTGAAGCTCCAGAAATCATGGGTAATGAGAATGTCTTGTCCTTCCCATAAGTGCTTTTCTTGTTCATTGTCATGCTGTTGTAACCACAGATTCTTATGCATCTTAAGACCATTCCATCATCCTCGGTTGTCATTCCATAACCATCTTTATTTTGAGATTATGCTAACCTCTGTATCAAGATATTTGTGGAACTTAAGAGACCTGTGCATGAGCTAATTTCAGGGCCTCACACTACCATGTAACTGCTGAGCATCGTGTCTTGTTATCATGTGCATTTGTTTAAAGATATTGATTATTTTAAGCTTCAATTCAAACACGAATATTCCTTATTTTCACTTATCCCTCATAACTTGTAGAAATGCCATGTTTCTTTTCTCTGTTTTTATTATGCTAGGATTTGTGTGACCAGTGGATCAGCATATTATTTATTTCAAGTAATGACATTTTTAGTAAATTGTTTAATTTTAAAATATGTCCAAGTCTTGAGAGTTCCAATGACAGGCTTCCATTTTGGGGTAGACTCACTTTCTCCTCTCTCTGAGTTTAAGATTTTTTCTTTTATTGAATCAAGGATCACTTTGAAATTTTGAACAGCACAGTCCATTAAGTTATGCATTGATTATTATGCTTGAAAACATAGAAACTCGTTTTTGTATCCATAATAATTTCAGTGTTAGACACTGATCTCAGCTAGTGTGGAAGTACTAATGGACTAAAAAACCACTTTTTCCAGTAGTGATATAAAGTATTTATTATATAAATGTGAAAAAGTTTGCGCAGCTCTCTCTTATGAGATTAATAGGCACTTAAACATGGTTTGGCCATCTTTGCAAAAAACAGGCATTTCTCTTCCTTTTTATTTAAATTGTAGCAAGAATCTCTTTTCTCACTTCTAGTGCTTAAAATTTGACTTCTGAAATTAGTAATCAAGTAAGTTTTTAAAATCTTTTTGACCTCTTATTTTTGGCCAGCGCGTCCTACAGTGCTTGAACCTGTCACTCTTAGAACCAAGGCTCCAGAAACAACATTAGGTAATGGTATTCTGTGTTCAACAGTTTGCCCCTGTTTCTTTTCAACCCATCTAGCATCCTCATCCTCATCCTCATCATCATCATCTTATCATCAGATCATCGAGTCACCCTATACTCTTCCACTTTTCTTTCCTCTTAAGAGTTTTAAAAACTTTTAAAATATTTTCAAAGGCTATGCATAGACCTAAGTCCAAATATCTGTATACCATAAATCTTAATTGAATTTTTCTCATGTACATTTGTTTAAACAGTGCTCACTTTTAAAACTGATTTTAAGCACAATTGGTGTTGCCTCTGTCTTCCCTAGACCAACTCAAGCACAACAGTTCACATGGTACAAGGGTTCTGTGGCATATTTAAATTGTTTAATGTGAACCTACCTCCTCAAACTTGGCTCCTGACCTTACCTTATTTTGAAGTTAGATTTCTGAGACTCCTTGACTTTTATGTGTGAGTTTAATCTCTCAATCTTCAATATTTAAAACAATTAACAAAATAGGAGAAAATATCTCAGTATTTTTTTAAAATGTCTTCAATATCAAGGAAGTATATTTAGAAAATCTAGAGTCTTATTTCTGAAACTATCTGCAGTAGACTAATCTCAAGTTTATTCCTTCAGCTCCAAAAGCATCACAACGAACACGTCGTCCACGTCCCAGACCTAAAACCACCTCAAGCCCTGAAGTACCTCAGACCAAACCGGGTAAATGTGTTATTCCATGGTTTGAGGGGTGAGCGCTAGCTGCCTTCCCCAGTGAGGTAACAAAGCACTGCCCCTAGTGGGAAGTAACTTGTACCCCCAAGTCAAGGCATAAGGTATGGTTAGCAGCTGCTTCCTGGATGACTTTCTTTAAGCAGGTGGTTACATCAAGATTGACTTAGTCACTTGTGGTTTTTTATTTCTTTTTACTTAAACACATGATCTACTTATTGTAGCCACACGTACGTGAAAATAGTATTGTTTTAAACTCCAGGATATAGGACAGGTTGCTTCCATGTGTTTATTTTCATATCTACTACCTAAACAGATTTTGCAAAGTTCCTTTTCAGTTAGAATCAGAAAATCAAACATAGAAAGCCTCATGTTGCCCATACTAGGATGTGTAGCAGAGTTCCAAGCTTGTGACTACCTTCTGCAGTGAATTATTCTTAGCTCCAATTTGACCAAATCTTCAAAAAAAGACCCTACCTCCTCTCATTTAAAAAATGTTATTTAAACAAATGTTTTGAAAAAAAGATGAAGACTTGCTCTGTGTGCTTAAATGTTCTCATGTTCGTGTTATTGCTTTTGGCTAATTCCAGCTACAGGCTTTGCACCTGTTATTCATAGTTCTGAGACTCCAGGAACAGCATTAGGTAATAATTTTTGTGACCTTGTTAAGTGCTTTTTCACTCACTAAAAACTTGCTCCATCACTGTCATAAGTACAGTTGCTCCTCCTTCTCTACGCTGCTGTTGTCATTCCATTTTATGCTTCACCTTGTAAGTTAGGGTCCTCAATTCAAGGGTTACCTATTGTTATTCACAGATGTTCCTACACCCACTTGAGAAAATCTTTCTGCCATAAAACCCCCTTTAAAATTTCATTATGTGATTCATTGAAGAGTCTGAAGATCAAGTTGCTTCCCTTCTTTTTGGTATTTAGCTCTCGAAAACAGTGACAATTAAGTTCCATGAATATTCACTTTACTCTCTTCCTATTTTAGGAGAGGTTTCTCTCTGATAGTATTTTTTTTAAAAATTGCTTCCTGGAAGTGCCAATCTCAGCAAATATGTGATTCTCTCCCATCATCCATAAACTTGTCTATTCCTTATTCTCTTGCTAACAATGGTTCTTGATCTTTACTGGAGTTTCTTATTATGTGTATTACATTTATTAACAGATAAATTCTTACTTTTTTTTTGTCTCTAAAGGACCCTCAGTGATAGAAGGAACAGATTAAATTGGTATATCGTAGAATTTAATGTATTTTAGAAAACACAGGTCCTCACACAAAGTTTTTGTTTTGTAGCCCTATAAACACTCCAAGATTTCCCTTCTTTAGTTTCAAAAATGTCAGAAAAAAATAAAACTCCAACCTGCTCCCGAACTTTAAACATCCTGAAGCTTCTCAGTTGAAACCAAGAAATCTGTGGTTTCTGGTTTGAGGAGTTCTTCCAGGCCATTGCAGCTGAATCCCAAGAGTAATTAAGATGTGTCTTCCTAACTTGTTTTCTCACCTCTGTATCCTCTTAGGAGGGTAGAGTGATCAGCAGCTCTGCAAGTGCAAGGTTCATGTTAGAGATCTGTGTGGTAACCAGATCCATCGTGTGCTCTGCATGAAGACAGTCTCTGACAAAAGATGCATCATATTTAGTCTCTTACCATTCTGTTCCGTTCATCTCTTTTTAGAATAACATGGTTTTCTTGGCTTATGTCAAGAAACACTCCCTTACTCTCTGTGTTGCCAACACCATGTTAGCAGTGAGTGAGGATGGGTAAGGAAAAAGGGTGAAGAACAAAAGGAAGGGCATGTTTTACCTCAAGCAGAGTAAAATAGAAATGTGAAGAAAACTTGTCCGGATTTTCTTAGCTATAAGACAGTTTACTTACACAAAAGCAACTTGAGTGGTAAAAATGAATAGAGAAAATATTCAAAGGAGTTAAGGATCTATGTGGGCTGACAGAGAAGAGCTGGGTTTTGAAATAGGATTTAAATGAGTGGATATAAGGGTGGGAACAGCAAAAATGAAGTGTCAGTATTCACTGAAAGTATACAAGAGAGTGGTCAAAGGAATATAGAAAAAAACATTTCTAGATGGTATTGAACATTTTTAAGGACACTATCATGAAATCAGCTACACCTTGTAGGAATTCAGACTTAGAAGCAGTAGTCAATAATATCTAATTTGTTCAAGTAGGCCTTGTTTTCTCTTAAGAGCAGTGGTCGTCAAATTTTGTGTGTGAAGAGTTACTAAATATTTTAGACTTTTCAGGTAATTCTGTCTTAGTCACAGCTACTCAGTTGTGCTGTTATGGCTTAAAGGCAACCAAAACTAATATGCAAATGAATCATTTTAGTTTGTGGGTGTGGTCGTCTTCCAATCAAACTTTATTTAAATTTCATACCATTTTCATATGTCATGAAATACTACTCTTCAATTCTTGCACATCATTTTAAAAAATTTAAAACTTTTCTTAGCTTACAAGCCAGGCAGATGGCTAGATTTGGGAGGGCCATATCTTACCAATCTCTGCTTTCAATAATATATACTTGCATCACTCACCAAACCCTGTGATTTTTGAGGGGTTATGTATTTCATTTCATTGCTACCTTTGTCTAAAACCTATAAAATAAATTATCCATAATTTCTTTGACAATTAGACTCTTCTTTCAGCTCCCACTGAACTGCAAACTCTTATTTTGAAATCAGTGACATCACCAAACCTAGAAATGACACAGAGTCAACCTGGTAAATAGATTGTTTTATCTGTCTGGGTACACTGTGAGCTTCAGAGGACATACTGCAAATATTAAAAAATGCAAAAGAGCATACACTTCGCTCTGTATTGTCCAGTGCCCTTTCCATGAATGCATGTGTGATGTTAAACTAGTAACATGCTCTAATCATACTGTCATTCAGTTATGTGGAAATACTTTATTCCCTTGTGCTCATTCTATATTATGTTAGACAATAACACGTATCTCACTACGTAGTTAAACAACCTGGTTTCATTCTTTATTCCTGTTTTTCCACAGATTATAAACTTGTGATTCTCTTTAGTGGCGAGCTAAATCTGTGCTGTGCCTTGTGAAAAGCACATGCTAATTGGCACATCAGAAAGAGCAACTTTCTTTTTCTCAAAAGAGAAAGTTCTTACTTTGATAAAGATAACAAAATTTAACATACACGTGAGCCTGAGCACACTGCCTTTCAAAATTGAAAATAAAATTTAAAAATCATTCTTTGAAATGCTGTTGCCCCTCCCTGACATTTATTTTGGATCTTGGGATTTTTTTTTTTCTGACATAAGATTGTAATTTCTTTTTGTCACCTCTGCATGTTTTAATTTGCTTAATGGCACTTTGGTGCTCGTGTTGAAGGTACAAGTTTTGGTTATTAATGATAACCTACAAAACTTATAAAATTGTGAACTAGTTGTTAGAACTTATCTTAGTGTTAATAATATTGTTATAACACTAACAGTGAGCTCTCATTAGGTGAAAGGTACTTTTCTAAATACTGAGTTTGTATTAATTCATTCCATGCGCACAGCAACCCACCCTTGAGAGATTGTACTGTTTTGTGTTTTTTGCTAGTTTCTGAAGTCCTGGAACCAATTACATTTAGAACTGAGTCATCAAAGGAAGCTATAGGTAAAAATGTTTCCCAGTGGGAAGTCTGGTATATGTGCTTTTCCATTTCATTGCAGAAATCCTCTTGGGTTCATGCTCCGTGACATGTCATACTTCCCCATGTCGAGTCTGTGCTCATCTTGTGAATCGAGAGAGCCAGATGTTCTATGTACCACATTTTGTTGGTGTTCGCTCTATGGCTGTGCAAGTTTCATAATTTCCTCTTTTAGTTTCCACTCTAAATGCAAAATTTTATTTTTCTGATCATCTTTCAACATGAATATGCCCATCTTGTTTTTTCATTTTCATATGAATTCTAGGACTCATCCCCATGCTTGCCAAGAACTCACTCTGTCTTTTTCTCACTAGAATACTTACAAATATGTAAGGAAATGAAAGTACCTGCTTTGCTCCACGTGGGACTGCCCGTAGACCCTGACAATTAACTGTTTGTGTTTTCCCATAGAGCGCACTGTCTTCCTTTCCTGCCATTGCTTCTGCCCTCTTAAATTGTAGTCATCTTAATAATCTACATAAATATTATTCTGGGGGATGTATGTACTTCCCATGACTAACCTCTGTTTTCAAATCAGTCACAGTGTTCCATTACAGTGTCTACGGGCTGGCACCACTACTAACCAGCCATCCATTTCCTCCCTAGCACCATCTGAAAGTGATTATGTGTATCCCACTGCCAAAGCACCACTCAGGCCAGAGGAGCCAAGGACAGAAGGTGGTAAAGGTTTTCATGCTTTGATTGATTTATTTCACAGATTTTTAATTAGCATCTATTGTTAGCATCTATCATGTTCGTGGGAACATGAAAGTGTAAGCTTGTTTTCGACAGTTGAATTGATTTGAAGAACTATAGCTTCCAAAAACCTTGGATTCTTAAAATGACTTTTCATTTCATCATCATATCTGTAAAAATATGCAAAGTCTTACATATTTATATGCAAATTCTTACATATGAGGTGTGCTGATATTCAAGAAAGAGATACTTGACTGTCATTTAACATCTTGCCATTTTAAAAATTGTTCTCCTTTGTTTTGATACAGTTGTGGAATCTATTACAAATGTGCCTGAAGTACCCAAGACCACACTAGGTAATGGCACACCCAGCAGCTTCTGTCCTCATCGCCACCATCCCCTGAGAACCTCAGGTTCTTTCCCATTGTGAATCCATGCTGCATACCACTCTTTGTCATGGCAGTTCATTCTTTTCCAAGCGCTTCTATTCATAACCATCATCCAAAAAGTCTCTCCTCCCATTTAGTGTGGTGTCTAGACGGTCTCTTTCTCTACCTCAGTCAGCAAAGCTGTCAAATCTAAAGCATCTTTTTCCTAACATTGATCATTCTGCCAGCTTGGGATGGTGTTGAATATTTCAGATAATATTTTTGTATGGTGTGATGATCCATTTATACTTTCTGCCCTAGAAACATACTTTCCATTAGCACTCATTCCATCACATTCATTTACATGTTTGATTTTTTTCCTCCTTTGTTATATAAGTGAAATTCAATGCTTTTGTCTGGCTCATGCTTTTAACATATTTTTTAAATTGCTTTGTTTTCTATTTGTGGTTATTACTAAGCATATCTTTCTACTATTGTCAAGATATTAGTATGGAATGAGGATTTTTTTAAGGGTTTTGCTTACTTTGAAAGTATTTTATAAACTGACATCTCTAGGAATTTTAAAAACTGTGTTATGTAGAACTAGAAATACTACTGTACTGCAGACATGCAATTTTCTTTATCTTTTTAAATCTGCTTGTTACCATCACTCTGTCATCTGTACTCAGGGTGTGTGAAGCACTATAATCACCCAGAATACTTTCTCTCACTTACCATAGAAACATCCCTCTGCCTTCCCAAACTATAATCCTACCCAGCCCAGATGAGCTCAGACTGAACCAGTAAACACATTATTTTGTATTTCATAAAGAAGGCGTTTGCAGAATGTGTAAACATAAGAACAGAAAAGAAGAACAGCGCTTCTGGACATCAGAAACCCAACAGTCTTTCTGAGAGTTTTTGGAGGGTGATCCTACCTTCCCAGTGCCCCACTTCTGCTTCGATCTTCTAGCCATCATCTGTAGCCAGTCTTACTAATGCTGTGAATATTCTTTAAGATGGACCTTTCTCAGCCAGTCTGCAAATGTTTCATATGGGAAATAGTAATATTTCTCATCTTGACTAGTTTTTCACGTTCTTTGGTCATGTAAAGAACTATTTTAAATTTTCTGATTTGTATTTGAGATTATTAGAAACCACCAGAAACCATTTCACTGTCCAGTCTGCACAAAGGGATTCAGTTGTTCGGTCACCTTGTCAATGTACAGCTTTTCTTTCCTTCCGCTTTGTTCTCTCCAATGGTTTGCCGATTGCCCTGCATACAAATAGGAGAAACTAAAATCAAACCAGTTACTTGGCAAGTCATAAAATTTAACCTCATAGTAGAATTTGAAGTGAATGAAAACAAAGGACCAACATGGGTGACTTAACGTGTCTCTTCTCGCAAGGAGATCTCTCACTCCTTGCAGGCTTCCTTGGAATAGCAGTTTATCATAAATAAGCCCAAACTTTGGTTTTTTTCCACCATTAAACTTTTATGGCTGTATTTCCAAAGGGGATATATTGGATATATACATTTTATTCATTGTCTTCTGAACTACCACTTAAATATTGCCAACTAAACTCTAGAGTTTAATGTTACTGAAATGTCTAATTGTAAATACTGTTAATGCTTATTTCTTAATCATTTTGCATGCTACTCATAGCGTGCCTTTATTGGCAAATAGTCTTTCTTAATCTTGAGGGAAGCAAATAGCTACTTGTAAGAACCTCAGCAAGCAAGAAAGTTGAGAGTCAGAAAATCACACGTGGAAAAAAAAAAGCTTTAGAATCATAGAATTCTAGGATTGGAAATGTTTTTAAAATCCTAGAACTTTTGATAGAGAACCTGAGTTTATAGACCCAATGATTAGCAAAGGGAGCTCTAACTCTCCAGGTTCCTAAATCAGTGTAATTCCTCTAACATACCTTGCTGTTCCTTTCTTTGCAGGTGAGAAAATTACACTGAAACCATTGCATGCCTTGTATATTTTAATTTATAGTAGGAAAAAGTCTCTTCAGGCTATTTTATACAAACTTCAGTATCAAATAACTCTTATTTTCAGCAAGCGTTTTTTCAGTTGCTGAAACTCCATTAACTCGGACGCTGTTTTATATTCTTTTGTTTCTTTATCCCAAACTTTAGTTCAGACAAATGAGGTACTTCCATAAGATGTAATCTTGCATTTGATAATTCTTTTTTTTTCCCAGCAGGATGTACTTTTAATTTTCTTGGTGAAGAAACAACCTGTTTTTATATTGAAATTTGTACTCTAGAACATCTTTGGAAATTATCCAGTAAAGAAGTAATTTTCTTCAGTAAAATATCCTGTCAATTTCTATTCAGTTTCTTTTCCCTAATATGACCAATATTAACTGAATTTATCTAATAATATTTTTCCAATAGCACTTTTATTAAAATGCATTCATTTTCCAGGTATTTTTGGAACACAACATGCTAACTTCTTTTTTCCTTTACAAAAAAAATGCATCTATTTACATTAAAGATATTATACTGGGATGTTTTGATTAAATGGTGTCAACTTGTAAGGATGAATTCTTGTTACTCTGAAATTTATTTTAATTATTTAAATGATATTTAAAGTAAATATCTCAAATTCCAACAGTTTCATTTGTCAGCAGATTATCTTAGACATCACTAATGTGCTTTCTTGTTTTATTTCATTTACCATTATAAAAAAATTCTCTGAATATACTTTGTGACTCTTTGGGAACTTTAATCACATTAATTTCTGTGTATTTTAGGTCTTCAACAGATATCTTTGAGACCCCAACAACCTAGGTACTGTGATTTTTAAAGGTTCAAGAGTTCCAAACCTATTCCCTTTCTTTTAGCTACCAAGTACATTCAGCGTTTTCCTCCCAAACCAAAAACATCTCCACGTCCAAGAATCCCACAAACACAGACAGGTAAACATTTATTTTTTATTTTGACCTGAGAATTTCATGCGAATTGGGTTAGTTATTCTGTTGAATAATAGCAAATTGGATCTTTAATCCTTATAAAGCCAGTCTTCCTCTGAAACCTAATACTTATATCTGCTTTCAGACTTTATCAAAAAGCATATTATTGGATCAGATTATTGCAAAAAAATTTCCCTTTTGTTGCATTATTGGGAAGAATGGAGAAGAATGGAATTTGAGAATAAACTGCCTACTCCTTATTTTTAATTTTTTTTTTTTTTTTGCATAGAAAATGCAGGGTGTAGGCCAGGGGTGTGGGGAGGTGAGAGGATTCACCAAAGACAAGAGGAGCAGAACAGGCGGATCTACTGAAATACACTGCTGAGGGGAGCAGTGGGTGAGACAGGAGAGGTCTGCTGTGCCAGATGTGGGTTAGCTCCCTGGCCAAGGATTGAACTCAGGCTGTAGCAGTGATTGCACATAGACTTAGCCCCTAGGCCACCAGGGAGGCCCCTACCTAATTTTTTTTTTTACTTTTCAGTAGATTTTATTCCACAAAATGATGTGAAGTTTTAAAATAAATATCTTCTCCTATAATACAGTGATTAGATAATACTGATTTGTTGTTTCGTTGTAAAATTTTGATAAGACCCAAGAAAGAGTCCCTCCGCTCTAGAAACTTTATTTGTATGATAAACTTTTGCCCTGACTTCTCAACCAAGATCTTACCAGTTTCTCCAACTGCCTCAGCAGGTCTCCATGGGCTACCATAAACTTGACATGCCTCAAATAAAACTCATAATCTTTTCCTCCTTTCAGTTTCCCACCTAAAAACATGCCAGGCAGGTTCAGCATGTTACATTTGATATTTTACTTATCATGTGGTCCCTGCAGTCCATTATTACTAAGTATGGCTTATTCAACTCTTACAAACATCTCTAGCATTGGTCCCTACTCCAAGCAGCTATCTTGTCATGCCTAGTCTGTTATTAACCAATTGATCTTCCTCCTCACCTAATTTCAGATTATACCATCCCTTAAGGCATTGATTAATTTATTTAATTAGTCACTCAGAAGTACTTTTTTGCATGCTATGTGTCAGACAATGTGCTAGGCTTTGGAGATGTGAAACATAATCGCACCCAATAAGATACCATCTCACACCAGTGAGAATGGCACATATTAAAAAAACTAGCAACAACAAATGTTGGCCAGGTTGTGGAGAAAAAGGAACTCTCCTGCACTGCTGGTGGGAGTGCAAACTGGTCCAACCACTATGGAGAGCTGTGTGGAGATTTCTTGACCTACTAAACATAGAGCTTCCATATGATCCAGCAATACCAAATGACACAGAAACAGTAATTCCAAAGGGCACCTGCACCCCTATGTTTATAGCAGCACTATTTACAATAGCTAAGCTATGGAAGCAACCCAAATGCCTAAAAATATATGACTGGATCAAGCAGATGTGGTACATATACACGATGGAATATTACTCAGCAATCAAAAAGATAAACACATGCAGTTTGCAGCAACATGGATGGAGCTAGAAGGGATCATGCTCAGCAAAATAAGCCAGAAAGAAAAAGAAAAATACCGGGTGGTCTCACTCATAGTAGGAATTTAGAAAACCTAAATAAGAGACCAGGAAAAAGACTAATCAATACAAAGTAAAAATCAAAATCAACAAGCAACTCTAAACCAGAGACACACTACAGGGGGGAGTGTAGGGGATAGGAAGGACTTGAGTCAAAATAAGGGGGGGTGCAATTTTATGGGGAATATAACCAAAATGAAAATGCATACATTGTGCAAAGATGAAAAAAGATGTAAGAATTATATAAAATAAAATATTTAAATTAAAAAAAAATTAGTCTAAGCCAATCATCTACATTTAAATTTATCATATATAATGGCCTGCTTCCAAAAAGTATATGAGGTGTTAACTACCCATTTCACTAGGTAAGGAATCTTTACTACCACTAGCAATCTGGGTAGGGGGAAATGTTAGCAGGATAAAAAAATTATTCTTGGGCCTCCCCGGTGGCGCAGCGGTTGAGCGCTGGGTTGCGAAGCTGCCCGCAGCCTCTGCAGCGCCAGTTCGATCCCCCGGCTGCTCCTGGCCACCGGAGGAAGGTCCCACATGGCACGCAGACCTCTCCTGCCACCCGCTGCTCCCCTCAGCAGTGTACCTTGGTCCTTCTGCCTGCTCTGCTCCCTGCTCTGGCTCTGGTGAATTCTCTCACCCTCCCGCGCTTCTGACTGTACCCAGTGCTTAAATAAATAAATAAATAAAATAAATAAATAAATCTTTAAAAAAAATTATGCTTGATATAGGTACTAATTTTGAATTCCCAACACAAATCCTTTTATCATATCTCAGTATCCCTACTGGAGAAAGAAAAAAAAAACCTGAAAATCAGAATATGCTCACATTCTTCAATGGCAAATTTTTATGATACAATTTTTGCATCATTTTGACATTTCACATTTGATTCCCCGACCATCTTCTGAGTTAGGGACAGATTTACTATTTCCACCTTAAAAATGAGAAACAGGTTACATGTGATCTGCAGAGCAAAGATATAGAGCCCAGGTGTGAGGACCAAGGGACATCAGCGTCAACTCAACTCTCATATCTGGTGCTTAATAACTATGGACCTTCAGGCAGATAATGTCACCATCCCCAGCTTTCACTATGAAGTTGATAATTCCTTCTTCCCACTATTGTAGTGAGAATCAAAGGACATAATCCTTATTAAAGGATTTTTCAAATTGTAAGATGTGTTACAAATAAGTTAGAACTTTCCCCTGGTGCCTATTACATTAGCATCTTGTTACTCCAAAGAAACAGTTGAAGAAACAGTTGTGGACGCCTTCATTTAAAGATTTATTTTGGTCCTAAGAATTACAGGGGAGTGTGGTATGACTCCAACCACACCACTGCAGTATCCTTTCCGCTGTTGCTGCTGAGTTGGCTTTAGCTTCTCTTACCCAGAATCATAGGTTCTACTCTGACCTCCCAACTTTATCTTCAAAGAAAGTTTAAAATAAATTCAAGTAAAGATGTCCGGAAAAGAATTCTTGCATTAATCTAATTGCTCTCTCTTCTGAGTTGAAGATTTTTTTTCTTTTAAACTAAAATTTAATTATCCTTTTAACTAGAGAAAGTTCAGTTGAAGATTTTCAAAACTACTTCATCCTGCACTCATGTTTATTGAAATTTTACAGTTTCTCAGACTTTTTCTAAAAGTATCTGGGATTCTGGATGGTCTCACTTGTATGTGAAATACAGAGAAACACAAAGGGTCAGTTCAAACCAAACCAATAATGAACACTTGACATCTGACTGCAAAATTGAGGTAGCCAGAAGGGGAGGGGCTAAGGGGGGTGGAAAATGGAGGGGGCTCAGTGGAGCCTTGTACAGGACAGAGGGGCACTGGGGGTACAGCATTGTGTGAAGATGAGCATTTGTGGAGGTTGGATCCTATGACTCCAAAAATGTAACAGTGAAGACCAATTTTATCTCCATAAATATAATTTTTAAAGCTTCTGCAATTCTGATATTTTTTAAATCTTGAGGTTTATTTTTCATCTAACTCCTATAATAACAATATGTTTTATCAGTGGCCAGGCTTATACTTTTTGTCATGTTGTGTGTTAAGCATGACTGGAAAATACTAAAAACAAGTGACTCATGATCCAAGTTCTCTTTTTCAGCTCCTAAGTGGCCCCAACGCGTTACTCCAAGGCCAAAAACATCACCAAGTCCAGAAGTGTCTTATACGTCACCTGGTAATTGCTTTATTTCATATTTAAGTCAAATGCATCCCACTTTCACACCCTGCTGTGATGAAATAAAACAACTGATGGCTGTGAGGTCAATGTTGAAATAAGTTGTGTCATTCGTTGTATGTTCATTTCAGAAATTTGATAAATATTATCTAAGTGTTTCCTTATAGTAAGCTATTGATCCAATCAAAAGCAGAAAATCATGCCAATAGCAGATGTTTCTTTTAGAACTAAAATTTTCATTTTCTAATTTAAAAAAAAAAAGTGTCATTTTAAATGTCTCAAAAATAGGGTAAATATTTTAGTTTTTTCCACAAAAATGATAAAATTATATTTTGCAACTAGAGAAAATTGTTTAACTTTTTTTTGAGTTCAGAAATTTTATTCTATCCAACATGGAGGCTTTTTTTTTTTTTCCCTGACAAATTATATTTTACAAGTTTATGGCGCAGTAACTAGAGTTAGGGCATTATATCACCAAAAGCCAAATGGTTTAACTAGAAATCTTTTTTCTTTCCTGTGATCTGAGACTGTTTTGACCACTTATGAGTGGACTAATCTCATATTTGTAGGAATAGTCAGGGTGGGGATGACATGAACCCTGACATTTCCTGTCTTACCAGCTGTCAAGGTGTATAGTAAGCTAAACAGTTCTCTAAGAAAGCTACATTTTTAACTAGAGAATCTGAGTAGTAGTTTTTTCTTTTTTTGAAGATCTATTTATCTATGCATACAAGAACTGGGTTTTAAGCCAGAGGTGTGGCATGTGGGTGAGAGGATTCACCAGAGACAGAGTGGGGAGCAGAACAGGCAGATCTACTGAAGTACACTGCTGAGGGGAGCAATGGGCGAGTCAGGAGAGGTCTGCTGCACCATGTGGGTAGCTCCCTGGCCGGGGATCGAACTCATGCTGCAGTGGCTACAGATAGCTTCATAGTGCTGAGACTTAACCCCTTGCACCACCAGAGAGGCCCCAAGTTTTTCTTTTTAATGAAAAATTCCTAGGTGTTCCTAGAAGCATATTGAACATTCCAAAAGATTTCTGAGACACAGCTTAAAATTACAGCATTTTGGAAGGCAGTCAAAATTCACATGCTCTAACACTTTCCAGATGGTGCGAGTGGAAGGTGATATCACGCCACGGGGCACTCAAGTGTGTTGCTGGTGGTGGTAGGCTAGACAGGGGCTCCTTTGTCCTCAAGTCTAGAACTTAAATTTGAACCACTGAATGTAGACAGACAAGACTGTCAACACAGAGTATGAAGAAAGCTGGTCTTCCCACTTGCAAAAGTTGAGTTCTTGTTTTCAATTGCAGAAAAATGTAACAAATTAAGTCATTACAGATAGCAGCAGTAGACTGGAATGATTTTCTTTTCATTGGAGAAGGATGTGTTGCTTTGGATAAGACCTAATCTCACTTAAGCCAATATTTTTAGTAGTTAAACATTTTCTTCTTTCAAAATGTCTAATATTTGCCTTAATTCCACTAACATTTTTCTCAGAAACTACCTGTAAGGTTGAGCACTGGAATAACAGTACAGGCTACTATTGGGGCCTCAATGGCATCAATCCCATTAGCTCTCCAAGTCCACATGTGCAGTGAGAAGTCTGTCTCCAAAACTATGTTGGTTCTGTCCTTGTGATCATCAGCAGTTTCTGGATCACTCCAGGATATGATGCCAACGGTGATAATTACAACTCAGCCCTTACTGTGTTTCACTTGCCTCACAAGTATTCAAGCTGACTGAATTGTGTTTTGTTCAGTTACTGGCTTGTATCCAGGTCCAGGTTGGCATCCAAGACCTTGTTTTACCAGCTTGTCTAGGTAATACCTAAGAAAAAGGAAAAATTACATGTATGTTGAATACTTACTGGTATCTTAGAGAAATAGACACGGTAAAAATTCTAAAAATGTAAAATGTAACACTGAAATGAAGCCGGTTTTTCACAATTTTTATCTTAAAAAATGTACTCAGATATGAGAAGTAATTAACTTGGATTTCTAGGCCTGCATAAAGCAAGTCAATCCAGGATTTATTGTGCTGCAGCTTCCTTGGCGTAACAGATTTCATTAGTTAGGACTTTAGAAAATATCTTCCAGCCACTTGGTTTAGTTACCTACAACACTCAATGAGGAATATTCACAAACTGAATCTGCATGCCATGTCTAGAACCCAAACAGAACTGGCTTTTTGGGAGATCCATTTTGGAGGAATGATTTAGAATTCAGAGCAAAGGACTTAGCCTGAGGTGGCCTCGCTCCGCAGAGCTGTGCTGCCTTTGTAGATTTGTGTCTGTACCATGGGTGTCTTGGTTCTGTGGTCAACCTGGCCTACAGGCATTTGGATAGACTTCAGTCGTTGGAAATGAATTGGGAGGAAAGTCTAGCTTCCAGCAAGTTATCCACTTCTCTCAAATGTTCTTTGTAACCTACTCACTTTGATAAATTCTAACTTGTGGTCACACTTTAGCATTTCTGCACTTAATTCCATGTTCTCAGCTAAACAGGTAGTTTTTTTTCTTCTTCTTGCTATTGTTAAGATAATTAAGAATGAGTGTTTTAATTTTAAATAATTTCCTAAAAATGTACTCCAATATGTAAAATGATTGAACCTGCATTCAAAAAAGCAGTCATGTGCTTAGATTACATACTTTAAAATATTGCCAATTTTTTTTTAATTAGGGAGAAGCCAGGATATGAACAGTCACCTAATGTGACTAATGTGTTTTTTCTCATCCAGTTTTAGAAGAAAATACATTTAAAATTGAGCAAGCTAAGACAGCAATGGTTAATCTCCCCATTTTTATTTTTACTAAGGCAGAAGTTGGGATATCATTTACCTCCTTAAGATCACACTCTTACCACTACCATCCTACAGTGCTTCTTGATCTTTATCATCCTCTTCTAATTATTTTTTTAAGTTCTTCCTAGAGCTGTTTTTTTCCCCTGAAGGATGCCTTTATAATGTTAGTGTTCATTAAAATATTTCTTTTTTTCCATCCGTTTTCTTAGAGCAATAAGCCTTCTCATATATAAGAAGTCAGAGCAAGAGTATCAGCAATTTGCTAATGTGCCTGATGGTATATTCAATATCAATATGCTTTTAGCATATGTTAGAGAGGGTCTCCCTAGTGGCTTATGGGTTAAATCTCAGCAGTATCACTTCTATAGCACCTGAGTTCAATCCCCAGCCAGGGAGCTCACCCACATGATGCAGCAGAACTCTCCTGCTGCTCCCCTTAGCTGTGTATTTCAGTAGATCCACCTATTCTGTTACCCACTTTGGTGAATATTCTCACCCCCTGTACCTCTAGCCTATACCCCAGTTCTTCTACACAAAAAAAATAAATATTTGAATAAAGCACAAAACATGTTAGACATTGTCCACTCATAATTAATTAGTGGTGCCCTTTATTAAAAAAGACAGCTAATGCCCAAAAATAGATGACTGGATCAAGAAGATTGGCATATATACACCATGGAATATTACTCAGCATTCAAAAAAGATAAACACATGCAATTTGCAACAACATGGATGGCGCTGGAAGGGATCATGCTCAGCGAAATAAGCCAGAAAGAAAAAGAAAAATACCAGATGGTCTCACTCACAGCAGGAATCTAGAAAACTTAAATAAGGGACCAGGAAAAAGAATAACTATAAGAAAGAAAATATCAAAATCAACAAACAACTATGAACCAGAGATTCTATGGGGATGGGGGGCGGGGAAAGGAGAGATGGGGGTCAAAATAAGGGTCTTGTAATTGCATGGGGAATATAAAATAAAATTTAAAAAAGAAAAAAGAAAAGACAGCTAATGTAGTTGATTAGTGCAAACAGTAGGTTGTTTAAGTGAGTCTAAAATACAGTATTGGTAAATACTCTAAAGAAAATCATGCTGTCTTCTCAAATTGTCATTCACATAGATTAGTTTACTGCTGCCTGGAAGACTTAGGAGTCATGCTTTTGCTCATTTTAATAGAGAAATGCCACCTAGGGAAAAAGAAAAAATAACTTGCATTTTTTGAGCTGCAATTGACCAAGTAGGAGAATGATTTATATCCCTTCCTGTGAATGTTTCTATTTCTTTCCTTTCCACTTTAGAAAGTCTGCTGTGGCAGTTTATTAAATCATCACTTCATGGTTAAAAAGTGTCAGTTGCAGCAGGAGGAATCCACATTATCCTAGCTTAAATTCTTCAGTAAACTGTAGCAGGCAGTGAGTAATGTATTTACAGTGTGGTAGATTTAATAGCAGCACATGTCTTCTGAGCTCCTTTCCTGACTCCAGCTGAACATTGTAGTTTAGCGCTAGAACCACCTCAGGTGTTTGTAACCTGCAGGCTGCTTTGTCTGGCCATACCTTGGCAGAACCAAATCAGAGTGCCTTCTCCTTCACCCTATAAACATTCAGTTTGATTTACAAGTGGACATTCCTCCTATTTACCATTTGAGCACCTGAAAATACTACATGGCAAAGGTGAAATGTTCACCATTGTAATGGTTTTTCTCGAACTTTGCTGACCACTGATCTTTGTGAAATTTTCCTTTTTTCTTAAAAAAGGTCCAGATTTTCAGGTTGCCCTGGATGTTATCTTTTAGCTCAGGAAAGTTCTAATAGAGTCAAGTTTTTATACTGTGTACCAGATTCTACAACTACATTGGTACTTAGTGGCCTAGACTAAGAACAGATGTGAAATCCAAGTTAAATATCCCCAAAAGCATTTTAAAAAGAATGTCTATTTTATATAACCTATTTCTATACTAATGTTTTCACCACTACAGGTGGTGCTTGGGTAAAGGTTTTTCTTCAGCATTTTCTGAAACTGAGTTCCAGCCTGACTCCTAATTTTTTCCCCAGAATCATATAAGATGTAAAAAGTTTCAGTGCCTGCAAAAGGTCCTCTGGTATTTATGAAATCCTTAGTGTGGTAGAGAAACCTTTCAGTGAGAGAGTAAAGCTGAGAAGGACCTCCTCCTGGGGAAACTGAGTCAAAGAACTACATTATCTTACCCTTGGGAGGTGACTGTGCCATAGAAATCTAATTCTAACAGTAGGCAAATTCCCTCTGATTTTGCCAAAATAAACTTAGCGCAGGCATTTAAAAAAATGTACTGGCTATCAGCTTTGAATATGAGTAGGTCTATTTTTTAGCTGACATTTTTGTCTTTTGTTTTCATGTTCTGGTGTATTAGGAGAGGCCTAAGATACTTTATATATATAGGGTACATGATATATGGGGAGCCACATACTAGAACTGACAAGAAAGCAGCATGTGGCCCGTACTTACTTCATAGCAAGCATTCTCATAAACTTTACATGTGGTTTCTTCTAGTGAGCAGTTGTTTCCTTTTGCTCTATTTTCTCCTTATAGTAACTGCTAGTGGTTTTTAGAATTAAACTTGGTTCTCTCAGATGTTTAAAAATTTTGCCTGTCTTGTTTCTCTCAATTTGTAGGCCATTTATTTATGCACTTCATCTGAGATAATAAATTTTCTTTTCCTATCAGCAGAATTTTAGCATGAATAGCAAATAGTAACCAGCTACTGGCAAAACCAGACTTAAAATTCCAAAGACAACTTGAGGGAACTCTACTTTGTTGAGTTTAATTCTATTATTTTTTTTCCTCAAAGGGAACTTCAAAATGAACTGTGACCAACTTTGTTTTATTGCCACTCCAGTCTTCCTACACAGTGGCCTTTTTCCGTTTTGAAAAGAACAGCCATCTTCTTGACTTTTTTAACCATTGTGAAAACAGCATGCTTTCTGAGATGTTCGTCTGTGATGTATAGAATGCACAGTATATTACAATCTTTTTCTTTCAGCTCCAAGAGATGTGCTTCTTCCCCATCAACCAGACCCTGAAATTTCTCAGAGTGAACCTGGTAAATGAATTGTTTCATTTTCCCAGCTAGGAAGTGTGTATTTTTCAAAAATGTATTCTTATATACTTTTTTAATGGTTGTTATGTGGTAGAAATTCAGAGAGAATTATGGATATAAAATGTATATATCTTGGGGGGAAGATTTAATCATGCAATCTACTTGAAGCTTTTCTCCTGGTTAACATGATGGAATACCATATCCTTGTTGAACAGAAGATTATACTAAAATTGTAAGACATAATTATTAACTGAACCTATTTTTTCCACCTTCTTCAAAATGTAGCTATAACTATATACCAAGATATAACTACATACCAACTGTGATTGTATTGTTATGTGAAAAGTGCAGGTGCCTACTCAAAAAATTCCCCAGAGCGGCAATGAATGAGGGTTTTAAAGTAATAGCTAACCTAAGTTCCCCGGGGGGCATTCAATATATATATATTTTTTATATTTAACTTCTTAGAGCATGTTTTAGTGTTTAAATGGATGTGGATAGAAACACAGAAACAATTTTTACTTCTCCAGGTAGTAATGCTTATACATCTGTTTCTTTTATTTGCCTTTGACTTAGTTCTGCAACCTGTTACCTTTAGAATTGATCTACCAGAGACAACAATAGGTAATGATGTCCCTTATAAACCAACTCTAATTGTTTTCTTTGCTATGATCAGTCTTGCAGGTCTTTCTGAAATGATCATATTGAAACATCATCTCTTTTTTATTATTACCTTTTCAAAATTAAAGAACAGTCATTTTACTGTTTTAAAGGCTTTGCTCTGAAGACCAACTTGAGAAGCTCATTACCAAATCCACCCTTACCTACCTCATTTACCTCCATGTTCAAAATGATTCTACTTTATGCCTGCCTATCTGCTTAACTTTTTCTGCTTGCTCAGTGATTCTCAGCTGTGGTACTGCAGCACACTACCATCTGACAAGTTGTGAAAGTAATTAGTATTGGTCAAAATACTAAAATTTGTCAGTGGTTTAATTTTCAAAATAAATTGAGCTATGTCAGATGACCCCTACATTGTGGGTCTCTCACTCATTTTAAAATCCTATATGGTCTCTTGTGTGGAAGAGAGGGACAAAGCTGCAACTGACAGGCCAGGACCACGTCTAACGCTTCCCCCAGCTTAAGCAGGCATGGTTAAGGAGTATGTCTGGCATTGAATGGTGTTTACCAGCTAGTAAATCCTGGTGGAAAGAAACAGTTGAGAACCACTTTTCTAACATTCCATAGTCATTTTCCTGGAAATTCTGGACACACTAAACTTTCTTCTTCGTGACCCATTTAATGTTTTCCAGAAGCAGTCTCATGGAATTCCATTCTGATCTGGTGGTAGCTTTTGAATCTAAAGACTGACCATCCTGGTACTTGTCTTTTACAGCTCCTTTAGAGACACGAGGCAGCCCTTTCATGCCTATGACTTCACCAAGTCCTAGTCAAGAGGAACTACAAACCACTCTTGGTAAATTTTGTTTTGATATTTCAGTCCAATGCACACGTACCTACCTTATAGGGGTTGCCCGAAAAGTAGCCATAGGTACCTGTGTTCATGACTTTTTTCCAAATAATAGAGGGTCTCTTATTACCATTATTAAAATCCACTTCTCCTGATTCTAATATTGATACCAATTTGCAATATAAAGTGAGATGTTTTAGCACATCTTGACAAAATTTCAAGTATTCTAAAAACAGTGTTCCTAGAGAAAATCAATGCTATAGTTTTTTGTTACTTTTTCTGTGTTTAAAACTGCATTTGTGAAGAAATTTTTCATCTGGCATTTGTTGAGTATTTTATGGTTACTAATTACAATGTTACGGGATGGGGTTCAAAATGAAATTGTTTCAAAGGTGAGCTAACTTAGAGAACTCACCATCCAATATGAAGACAGGATTTAGTGATAGGAGTGCAGCCGCAGAGTGTCTGTGTGCATGTGAGATACGGTTCTATGCCCCATTTTATAAATTAGAAAATTAAGGCATAGAGAGATTTTAAAATTTGGACCATTTACACAATTCATGTTATTAGATTGGAACCAAATACCCAGTCATGGGAGCTCCTGCAATTCACCCCAATGTTATACATTACAAGTGTGAGAGGAAAATGAGCAACAAGCAAACTGCTTGGGGGCATCCGGGAAGGCTTCACAGAGGAGGTGACATTTATACAGGGTCATCAGGTGGGAGTGAGAGTTGAAGTCGAGGTGCACAAGTTTCTTTCAAGTTAAAGATAGGTGGGAAGGAGGGCCTCCCCAGTGGCGCAGCGGTTGAGCGCTGGGTTGCGAAGCTGCCCGCGGCCTCTGCGGCGCCGGTTCGATCCCCGGCTGCTCCCCGGCCACCGGAGGAGGGTCCCACATGGCGCGCAGACCTCTCCTGCCGCCCGCTGCTCCCCTCAGCAGTGTACTTCGGTCCTTCTGCCTGCTCTGCTCCCCGCTCTGGCTCTGGTGAATTCTCTCACCCTCCCGCGCTTCTGACTGTACCCGGTGCTTGTATAAATAAATACATAAATAAATAAATAAATAAACCTTTTAAAAAAAAAAAAAAAAAAAGATAGGTGGGAAGGAAGCCCTGAGCAGAAAATGGCAGCCAGGCTAAGCTGATGAGCATGTGTTAGCCTGGAGAAACAAGGGTGGATGAGGCAGGAGGGTTGGTTGGGATAAGCTGCCCATACCCTGAGGTGTCAGTAACACTTTGCCTCTGTTGCTAACTGCTTCACCACTGAACCGGAAGAGTTCCTGGCTGGTACTTGGCTCCTCTGCCCTGTCCATGTTACATCCCAAAGGGCTGTGTTTAAATCAGTGGCCTTGTTTTCCTCCCTTGTTTTCTTCCAAATTGATCTATCGTGTGTGCGTGTGTGAAATGAAGTTACCAATGACATTTTAAAATGAAATCCATTTTGCACCTGAAGGAGGATGACATCCTATACCTCTAAATCATATACAACATTGTAAACCACGATTCCTTCATAAGTAAATGAAAAATGGATAAAATCCTTTTTGGGAAAAAAAAGTATTAACTGGATGACCAAATATACCCTACTGACCATTACTCATCAAAATCACTTATGAAAGTACCTTTTTTTTGAAGATTTTTTAAAAATTTTATTTATTTGTACAAGAGTTGGGGTACAGGCCAGAGGCGCGGGAGGGTGAGGGGATTCACCAGAGACAGAGTGGGGAACAGAACAGGCAGACTGATGGAAATACACTGCTGAGGGGAGCAGTGGGTGAGACAGGAGAGGTCTGCTGCGCAATGTGGGTATCTCCCTGGCCGGCCAGGAATCGAACCCGCACTGCAGAGGGTGCAGACAGCTTCACAGTGCTGCACTCAACCCACCACACCACCGGGGAGGGCTATGAAAGTACTTTTCAAGAACTAGTACTAGATATGCTAATTATCTAACAGTCACTCCCTTTTTTGAATGTATCTTGGTTTATTAAAATGAGAACCATCAACTGCCAACTATCACAAACATCTCTCATGTGAACAGAATCCAGATTACAAATCAGGGCAGATAAAAAGATGACAATGCATTATTTGCACCACATATTTCCTTAGACCCAGCATGTGACAAAGTGAATGGTGTAATCATCTGTGTCTGCCTGGTGTCATGATGACTTCAAGATAACATGAGGTGGAAGTATTGCCATACTTACTTTATGTCAGTAAACATAGACTTTGATTATCATATGAAGAAGATTAAGGAAGATTTATTCTTATACAGTATAAGTGCACATCTTTTGTATAATCTATTTCCCAACTCACTTAAATAATTTGTGGAATTTATGGAATCAAGAGAAGATATGAAAGCAATAAATCAGAAGACAAGCCCAAGTATAGCCACATCCAGGGTCAGGAAATGATTCTGAGCTGAAAGCTTTTGGAAATCCTTATAATAATCATTAAATCATGTAAGAAGACAACAGATACAATGTAAAAAAGACAGGGAGTTAGTAAAATAAACCATAACTTTAAAATTATTATGATTCCTGGACATGTTTATAAATGCCATTTACCCTTTTAGCATTAAAAAGACTTTTTTGTACATGGTCATAATTATTATTTAAAGTAAGTTGTTTTACTGTGTTTTTCTCCAGAGGAAACAGACCAATTCACCCAAGAACTCTTCACAACTAAGTTTCCACGAACAACTGAATTGGCAAAGACAACTCAGGGTAATAATACTGCCCCACCTTTGGATAGTAATTTTCAGTTCTTTGTCTTTAATCAGAAAAGAGATTTTTCTTTTCAGAATGTAATTTCTCATCACAGTGAACTATACTTGGTTTTTTCCATTTCGTAGGTGCCAGACGCCAACCAGATTAGAGTATTTCCATGCTTACCTGGTGAATATAGGGAAGACAATTTCTTTAGCTGAAGCTTTGTCTTCAAATGTATTTTGAACTGCTAGATGCCAATAACTAAGAATGAAAACTCCATTATTTTCTCCTTATCCTTCATTTACCTCAAATTCCCCATCTGATAAGTGACAATCTTCATTCTTTTCTCCCTTCTCCCCATCCTTCTCCCTTTCTCGTCTTTTCCTTCCTCTTTTCTGTCTGTCCCATCTCCCCAGCCTGATAAACACACTGATATTGTGATAGAAGGAAACTTGTAATAAGAATCATTTTTTAATAATGACTTAATATTTAAATACCAGGGAGGTTTTCTCATGTATTTCTTCCATTTCTTTTGGGAAGTGAACTCATCCACACAAAATGGATCCTGTGGCTCTGAAATAATGAATGTAGTAATGATTATTTCTGTCTTGTCTATTCCTGTCCAAAGTTTTAAAATTTATGTGTTCTGGAATGAAATTAAGAATCATGTGTGTATTCCTGTAAACAAAAGCAATCTAACCTTTTCATGAAATTAATGCAAAAAGCTGAAATATGTTAAATATGTTAAATTGATAGGGAATCCCCTTAGGGAATCCTAGCATTCTCGAAGAAAACATTAGCAATTACTTCAACTTTGCCAATGCTTCATCTTGGGGTATATGAGAATTAATTGTTTTCAGCATCAGTATTTTTGTTTACTTGATTATTAAACTTTGAAAGGTCTAAGCTAAACCTATAGAGAATGTCAGCATGTGTCTGTTCTTCTTGGACTGAAGTCTGGCAAAACTCTGCTCATCAGTTTTTATACTGGGAGCTTATAAATGAGCTACATTATAATCTATTTTGCAGGTGTATTTTTTTTTTAGCTTGGTAGAGAAGACATTGCTGATTTATGGTTATATAAATACCTACTCAAGATGTGATCAGAATAGTCAAAATGATGTAATCTACTTCATACTTGAAAGAAAATTTTTTTCCAGTCTTAGTAAAGCATTGCCAAGAAAGTCAGTGGCAGGCAGTAATATGCATGTTAAGGAGGGGAGGGAAGGATGGACAAATTCCAGGATGAATACACACATACTTTAAAACGTTTGGAAGCAAAATATTTTATTTGAGTGTCTCATGACTTTGCCTGCTATAGTGGTTGTTTATTTCTTAATTTATGCAACAAGTCTCCATTAGGAAAGTTCTTTGGGCCAGACCCTGCATAACAGGAGCAGAAAGTAAGAAGGTGGCTGGCATCTTGGTCCCACGGCTTGTCTGAGTTTTGGCTCATTGTTCATCCTCCTGGTGGGCAGAGCACCTGAGATCACTTTCTCTCATCCCTCAGCTTGATGAATGGCACAGAGAGAGTATTTATTCATCAGGGTTCATGAACTAATTTTAAGGAGAACGTGTTCTTACTTTTTCCTTCTTACCTACCTATAATTATTTTTCTTTTTGCCTTGAAGATTTCTTATTTACCAAAACAAGGTTCCATAGTGACTCCCTAATAGAGCGATATGGATGTACAGATGGATGGGCAGACAGATGGACGGGTAGATGGTTGACTTGTATGTTTACCATGTTAAGTAAGCACATGGTAAAATTAATGCCTTTGGAAAACATGGACTAAATGATGACTAATCCTTAGCATGCATAACAAATTACCTACCTCACTTTGTGTGTATATTTAATTTCCAGCCATAGATATTTTCACTTGTTTTATTTTCCTCTAGCATTAATACTTGAATGTATAATTGGAGGTTTCAGAAAACTCTACTTCCATGCAAAGTATATGAGTTGTTGGCCACTGGACTGCTAAGTGTCCAATTAGGGGGCTTCGGAGTATTGTCTATTAAATATGAAGTGTTTCCTCTGTTTCAGCACCACACAGATTGTACTCTACTCCTGTGCGGCCCAGAACACCCGAAAAACCACACAGACCCGGTAAGGTGTTCCTTCTTCTGATAACCTACAAAAACAGTACATCTAGCAAGATATAAAATACACTGGAACAACCAAATGCACAAAAAGAGAGACTTAAATCCTAAAATTGAAATAAAGGGCTTACATAAATTCTGATCCTTGTAGATAAGTGGAAAGATAATGATAAATCCATGGAAGTGATAGACTTCATTGAGGGTTTTAAGGATAATTAGATGCAAGAACACCTATGGAGCGTTATCGATATAAAAGTATTTTTTAAACAGTGGTTGTGCCTAAGTCACACGTCTTTTCAAGTTTTCATGTCATTTATAGAGTTAGCATAGTTATTTGTGACATCATTTTACTTCTAAATGTTTATTTCTTTAAAAAGATAGTCTCTTCTAGCATAAAAGATTTTTGTTCCCATAGAATATTTTTGCTTGGTTCAGATAATTAAAATAAAATTTGATAGGTTTCAAACAAAAAAGTGATAATTGTACCCTCGAAAATACTTTAAATCTACTAAATTCTCCAAAGTTTCTAGAATTTTCATCACTGGAGCTTGTTAGGGCAAAATTAACTTATTGGGGTGATTTGGTCTGTGTAAGTAGCTCCTGCGCTAAAGCACAAGTTGGACCATTTGTGCTAGGATTCTAAGGCGTTAGTTCTAAATGACAAACTTTCACTTATAAAGTGACTTGCTCTTGGTGAACATCTCTGCAGGCATATGGAAGAAAGAACAAATTTTTTTTTTACATCCTTAGGTTCATAAAATATGTATATATGTATGTGTGTGCATATCTATAAAGTGTTTATATATGTGTGTATTTGTGTATGTGTGCTTGTGGTGTGTCTATATATGCATACAGGCAGTAATCTTCCAACTCTCTTTGTGCCATCATAAAGATAATTAGGTACAAAAATCTTTTTGTATCATGATAGCTATTGAAAGTTTAATATGTGGCTGATTATATTAAACATTTCTACAAAATAATGAAGTAACAATGATGGCTAGTGTTGACTGAGCTTTATGTGTCTTGTAAGATATAATTGAAGAATCTAAGGCATGAGAAGAATTAGAAAGTAGTTTTGAAACAAGCAATTAGGCTCCATAAACTTACTCTTTTAACCACAACACCTTTAATGCTTTTCCTTGAGGAATTTTCTAAACGGAGGAGAAAATAGGTGATTTGTTTAAAATTTTGGAAACGCTATGGCTCTAAATAGAGTAGGAGAGAGGGGCATCCCTGGTGGGGCAGGTAGTTGAGCGCAGCGCTGTGGGGCTGTCCACGGCCTCTGTGGTGCCGCTTGGATCCCCTGCCAGCCTTGGAACAACCCCCATGGCGAGCAGACCTCTCCTGTCTCGCTGTTCCCCTCAGTGGTGTGTTTCATTGGTCTGCCTGTTCTGTTCCCTGCTTTGGTGAATCCTCTCTCCTTCCTGCACATCTGGCCTATACCCCAGTTCTTGTATAAATAAAATAAATCTTTAAAAAAAAATAGAGTAGGAGAGAAATTTGAGTAGTTTCATCATATTCTGTACTCAGCAATGAACTTGTGCCAAATTTATAAGGGAAAAGCTGTATCTATGGACTCCTGCAAAACAGCCACCAAATTATGAGTTATGAATTAAGGCCTTGACAAATATACTTTAAGCTTTGATTTTTCACAGGACATATGTAATACTGATCTTTCTTCATTTCCATTTTGGAATGTACCTATTGCTTCTAAAGTGAAGCAAGATATTTCCTATTTAGAAACATAGTTCTAACTCTGCCAGTTATTTTTTCAAGCCTAGTGATCACTCAGAGTACAAACTCAGACTTCCGAAATTCAAGTCTGATTTTTATCCCAGAATTGTGCTTTCTACATTCTGAACAATATTTTTGTAAAGCATCATTTGTTTAATGCCTCGTTAAATGATTTTGAACACTCGGGAAATCAGAAATTGTCTGAAGTATTTATTTCCCACTTCACTGTAGTTCTGAATAAAACAACTACAAGACCAGGGAGACCAAAACCCAGTGGGACACCAAAAGGCTATGGAGTGGAAACAGGTAATAGTTGCAATTTATTATATTTTTTGATCCTATCAAAACTTGTATGTTTTTATTGTTTTTATAATTTCGTTGAATTTACACTTTCATATCTTCTTTACCAATTTTGGAAGTTTCCTAGTAAAAAATAGAATTGAAAATTGTTGCTCTTCTCAATCAAGATATCTCTGAAAACATTTAAGTTTTTGCTTTTCTAAACCTAGTCTACTAAATCAGCTACCAACAGCAGTCTTGATTCTTAAAGTGATCCCAATAAAATACGAATTGTTGAAAGAAAACATTAAAATAGCTATTTTCCCTAATTTTAAAATACCATGCACAGATTTGGTCTTTGACATGGAATCATTTGACTTTCAAGTTTGTAATGTCACAAGTACCATGATAATTTTTTATGGAAGCTACATCTGTTAGCATTCTAGAATATGATATTTAAACAAAAAGGGCAGTTAGCAGTTGATCACACTGGTTATATTCATATTAATATTTCCAAATCAACCAGCTTAAATAAATTACCCCATTCACTCAGCTATATGGAAGTAGGCATCATACAGAGAAGTAGGACAATGATCTGATGAAAGTTCAAATATTCATTAAGTGGATAAATAGTAGCTACTAACTGCCTTAATGTGGATTGCAACACTCCCTTCAAATATTTTTAATAGTACAAATATTTGCTTGCTTATGTGAAAAATGCGTGAAATTGGAGTTAATTTAATGCTATGTATATAATTATCTCATAATGGTTTCCTAATGAGAAAGAGATGTGAATGATACCTGAATATAGTCAATATAAAAAATATTCAGATTTGTTGTATAATGTGTTTTTTTGGTATTAACTTACCACAGCATCTGAAGTTCTAAAAAATTCACTTCCCTTCAGTGAAATTAATGAGGCAAATTTTATAAATTCCTGACTTGTAAGAACCTGGAAACCATTCCAGAATCTTTTTGTATTCAGCTGCTGCTTTTACTATTCTCAACTTTGGAATTGGGCAGTGCATAGTTTCTCAGATTGACATAAACAATCTGACTCTAAACAGAGCCACCTTCTGAATATTCAAAGAAATTCCCTGGAGTTTGCCTATGTAAAAATAGAAGAAAGCATTTATGTCAGCAAAAAAAAAAAAAAAAAAAAATGAGGGAAAAAAGCTGTGATCAACCTTGAAAGCCATTAATTTTCAGTATAATCCAGCATTATTCTCACTAAGAAAATGCTAGTTGTCTTTCAGTTTATTGGCAATGTAAATATTTTTTCAGTCATTTGCAATACAAACTGACTCTGCCACCCTCTGTAGAAGTCAACTTTGTAATCATAAGTAACTTAGCTTCCTAAAGATGGTCTCGTGTAGGGCTTCTTCAGTTTAATTAGTTGGCAGCTGGTAGAAATAAGCGGGTGAGTACAGGGAGACAAAGCTAAGGCCATTGTTTATCACTTGCTTGCTCCACCTCCATCCCCACCCCAGATGGAATGTACCCGATCTGTGTTCTGATGTCTATTTTTTTAATTATTATTTTATTATATATGTATTTACATCATTTTTAATTTTTATGCAATGTATGCATTTTCATCTCAGTAATAGTTCCTGTGACATTCCCACCCCCCATTCACCCCTGAACCATCGCCATGGTTTCTTGTGTTCTTCCCTCCCCTGTTTTGATCCTACCCCCTTCTTCCCAATGCAGAATGTCTCTGGTTTATAGTTGCCTGTTGATTTTGACTTTTACTTTATTATAGTTACTTTCTTCCTCCCCGATCCCTTATTTGGATTCTCTGTTGTGAGCCCCTTCCGGGAGACAGCCAACATGTCACTGTCATTTCTCTGACCCCATTCCCACTGTCAGTAGGGCACAGAAAGACTGATGAGCCTTTTCTTCTCATCATACCTGTGGAATTAGCTCCAGAAAAAAGTCATTGACCCCAGAAACATTTTTCCTATGACAAATAAGTTACATTTAATTCATAACTCTGTACAAGCATTTACCGTGACATTATATATTCTTTTATTCAAGCAACAGAATATATATAATTTTAATTATAATCATTGCTAGAATGTTGACAATGCTAATTATAATTTTTAAATACAATACTAATTAGATTTACTAATATTTCATAAATGTGGGGCTATCTCATTTTTGGTAAACAAAGCTTCTATTGTAGAAGCTTCTATTGTCTGTATATTTTATACGCAGACATATACCTGCCTGCACATTAAGATTGAATGTGTAAGCATTCAAAAAAGATAAACACATGCAATTTGCAGCAACATGGATGGCGCTGGAAGGGATCATGCTCAGCGAAATAAGCCAAAAAGAAAAAGAAAAATACCGGATGGTCTCACTCATAGCAGGAATCTAGAAAACTTAAATAAGGGACCAGGAAAATGAATATAAGAAAGTGAAAATCAAAATCAACAAAAAACTATGAACCAGAGACACTTTTTGGGGGGTGGGGGGCGGGAGGGGAAGGATTGGGGTCAGAATGGGGCGTTTGCAATTGTATGGGGGAATATAAAAATAAAATTTATTATAAAAAAAATTAAAAAAAATTAAAAAAAAAAATTAAAAAAAAAAAAAGATTGAATGTGTAATGTCTTTTCATGGTCCCTGGAACACAGTGAGCACTCAAAATAGGATTGTGGTTTTGGATCTGGTTGTTGTCATTAATGTCAGTTTATCAGTTGTATTTTTATTGTTATTTTTAATATGTGAAATATAGTAGGTTCTCAAATATCAATTTTTTAGTATGAGCCATTGTATCTAAAGCGATATTTACTATTTTGATTCTAAAAATGTTTGTTTTTCTTTCTTAAGACTAATAGTCACTTCAGGGAAGCTATTTTCATAATATAAAAGGACACTAAAAAATAGGAAAAAACTTAAATTGGTTCCCTCTACCCTTAGGGTTGTTACCAAATCTGAGGGTGGGTTCTTAGGTAAATGTGTAATAACCATCAGAGTATATCTGAGAGACTTTGTTAAAATATAAAGTAAAGAAATATTCAGATCAGTTTCTTCAAAATAGCTATTTTGGAGTTCTATGTCTGTCAAGGACAAATTTGATTTATCAATTCAATCTGTGGACTACCCAGCTTAATAGTCAAGGGCTCTTTAGGAATATTTTTAAAGTCAATTACTAAACAAAGCACAAGGAATTCTACAATTTTTTTTTAATGGGGTAGTGGGGTGGAGGGAAATTTTTTTTAAAAAACCACAAAATGTACCCATGAATATTGGCAGAAAATGGCCAACCAATCATGGCAGATGAAATCCTCATGGTGAGGCAATACCACCCAGGATGGCTATGCAAGGAAATGGAAATGGAAAATGGAAATTTGTCTAAATGGAAAATTTAGACAAAACCACAATCTACAATCAAATGCTAGCTCTTCACAAAATACATCACAACCGATGAATGTAGGGATTGGAATGCTTCTATACACAGATGGGAGAAGCCAATTACAATGTCTGGGCACAAAGACAAAGAATACACATTGTCGCTGACATCTCTCCAGCCTCCATGAAGAAATAACATTAGTATAGTTTTACTATCTATTCATTCCCTTCCATTGTCTCTTCTTATAGGGGTCAAGCAAGCACCAAAGACACCAGGCGCTGGTAGAAATGAGTCAGCCTTTGACTCTATTCACTCCACAAAAAAAACAGGTAAGGGTTAAGATGCTGACTCCTCACTCAGCTCCACTCTGAAACTTGGGCCATAACTGTAGTTTCACTGTTGCAGACAAAAAAGCAACATCCACATGGCCCCCAAGGATTCACAGCCATTCAACAGCACATGGTATTACTAGAAAGACATTCCAGAATCTAATCTTTGGGGACATGAGAATTGCATGAATTAAATATTAATAAGAACTTATGGGGTACCAGTTTAATAGTTATTTTACGTAATGTTCTGAGGGGCAAAGTGGACAAGTGCTAAAGAGTCACTCTAGGTTCCAGTTTTCATCATGTTCAAGTTTTGCTCTTATGTAACGTCTTAGAATGTACTTTTGCCTGAAATATGATTCTAATTTGAGACTATTACTCTGTATAATGGGCCAAAATTCTGTCTTGGAAGACCTTTCTGTGCAAGTTATTAGACGGTACCTCTTCCCTCAACCCTTTAGGCAAACCAGATGGAAAACGGTGCTCTTCCTCTGGGCTGGTAGTCTAGTGCCGGTTCTCAGGAGGGCGAGCAGAGTGGCCAGTAAACCTAGGCTTCCACGTCCTCCCCTGGCCAGGTAGCTCTGTGCAGTGCACGCCTTAAAGGTGAGCCTGCTCTGCACAAGCCCGGACCTATTGCTTCTGCCATTGGCATTACTTTGTTGTAACCATTTGCGAAATTCTGCAAGTGTTTAATTACATTATAGAATTGGGGGTGGGGAGGTGGAACACCCACTAAAGGGGGAATCACACGCTTTCACTATTTAAAGTTAAAGTGGTATAAGTTGTAGTCTCAAAATCAAAGGCAATTGGAGATAGTCAAGTTGAGAAGTGATAAATTTAGATGAGAAACTAGAGTGGTTGAGTTCTACACATCTCTACAGTCTTTCAAAAGGAAGAGATCCCTGTCTGTTTTTATCAATAAAAATACAGAGAGGATGTTTCCATCTGCTCATGTGCTTCATGACCCTTGCGTATATCACCAGCAGCAATTCAGAGGAACAGCAGACTGTTACCCGCCGGCACTTTTCTGATCTGTTTTCTGTCGCCCAACTACTACTTAGCAAATGTTAAATGTTTTTAACATAAATGTGATTTTTGTATAGTAAATCCTCTGACCGTTCATCTGTAATATCTTTTCACCACAATCGCAGGCACTCGTCGCCCACCCCTACCACCTAGGCCTACGCCTCCGCGAAGAAAGCCTTTACCGCCAAATAATGTTACTGGAAAGCCAGGGAGTGCAGGTATATCCATATCCTACCCTTTCCTTCTCTTCCCTGACTCAGCCTTTCTAGCCATCTGCATGTCCTTGGAGTGCTGGCTCAAGCAATAAACAGGCCCTTGGTGTGAGTGACACATGCCTGTGTTGACCCCAAAGAACTGGACAGTGTGAAGTACAGCTGGCGAGGACTCATTTCCTGATTCTGGGTGGGTAGGGTGAAGGAAACCAACACTGTGCATCTGGGCCAGTTTGTTTCTTAGCTGTTGTGTGCTTGGAGCCCAGGCAGAAAGTGCCTCAGGTCTTCAATAAGTGGATTGTTTTGAATGAGATGTTGTACGGTACCAATCGGGGGTAACAAAGTAATGTCCTGTCATCTGCTTCTCATTTTGACTTCTGAGTTAAAATACTGTGCATCTCATTGAATGGTGCCATTCAAACTGGCACCATTATTATGGTGCTAGGGGAAAGATTGGGAACTAAAATATTCAGGGTGGCTGAGTAGGGCTAGCCTTTGCAATAGGGCAGTAATATATTTTAGATATCAAACTGCCTCTCACCTCCACACCCATAAAATATTGTCTCCTTTCCATAAAATGACCCCTCCTCATCACCAGGACACGTATTCTTCATCTTTTTCTTGAAGTCTTTTCTAATTCCCCAGAGAGTAGTCTTAGTGTTGTTTCTCAGTTCTGTTTTTCCTAGATACTTCCCTTAGAGCAAAGAACAAATTGTTTTACACCTGTTTGTGTACTTCTCTTCCCCTGCTAGACCATAGTTCTGTGATGAGAGTCCTTGGAACATTTTCTCTGAATTTCCAGAACCAATTCCAGTGCTGAGCACAGAGGGATACTTGATAACTGCTGTATGATAAATGAATGAAATTAATAATCAGTGAAAATTGTCCCATTTCAGAGTAAAGCTTGACCTCATTTCTGTTAAGAGCTCTTCTGCTGGATCTATCAGGAAGCCACAGCCTGTTCTCCATCCTTCCTCCCTCTCCCCCACACCTCTGTTTCCTAAATACTTTGTGAAAGATGAAAATGATGAAGTTATAGGTGAAAAGGAATGGATGTCTTTCTGTTCACAGGATGAAAGGAGTGTGTGGTGATGGAGATTTTAGGATGACCATGTGCATGATCTGAACTCTAGATCATTTCTTTTTTTTTAAGCTTTTTTTTTTAAAAACTTTTATTTATACAAGAACTGGGGTACAGGCCAGATATGCAGGAGGGTGAGAGGAGTCACCACAGACAGAGCAGGGAACAGAACAGGCAGACTGACTGAAATACACTGCTGAGGGGAGCAGCGGGATAGTGAGGAGAGGTCTGCCGCGCCATGTGGGTTGCTTCGCGGCTGGTGGGGATTGAACCGGCGCTGCAGAGGCTGCGGACAGCTTCACAGCACTGCACTCACCCACCTGCGCCACGAGGGAGGCCCTAGATAATTTTTTTCAATCAGTCTCTCATCCACGCTCTGGTGTCTTCCTAAGCCAAGGCTCAGGCGCTCCTCTTGAGTGAGGAGACCAGGTTTTTTTCCTCATTAATAGTAAGCCGAGATGGCTGAGACTTCAGCTCCAGCAGTCTTCAAGTCACAGACTGAAAATGAAACCTGAGCGTTCACCTTGGAAAAACTGGGCATTCCCCTGACAAGCACCCCTGTAAGGTGGTGTGTTTTCAGCTGCAGCTCTGTCACCAGGATTCCTGTTATAAATGCTCTGTTCTTTCCCATCAGTAAGTGCAGCTTTGGTGCAGCCCACCAGCCTGAAGAAGAACCATGAGCACATTCTCCTTCTGAGAGCACATTCTCCTCTGCACACCTCTCCTTGCTTTCCACCTCTTAAAGGCAACGGCCACACTGAGGAGGCAAGCACAAACAAGGGCATATTTGGCCTGATTACTATCACAAAAAGTGTATCTTGAATGAATTCTGGCATCAACTAAATTGTCTGAGTACCCTCTGAACAAGTCCTCTCTCATGTGTGCCTGTGAGCTGTCTTAGGCTACTGTGTTGGATCTGTCACTGGTCACCTGTCTCCAGATCCACTGAGATGCCAGTCCCACTCTCCTGGCCAGGGTGAAGGTGCCCTGCCAGCATTCCTGCTGGCTGTGCCAACTGTGAAATAAATGCTCCTGTGGGGTATAGTGCACTTTCTTTGGTTTTTTTGCTCAACCTCTTCTCATGGCCCATTCCCACCAGGGTTAGGAGCGTAAGTTCACAGGGACCAGATCAGCAGTTGACCTGAGGGGCTCGTCCATGAGTCCATGCTGGGCCATGGTCTTTGCGTCAGACTTGTGTGAGAATGATCCCTTTTCCCAGGAGGAAGATAAACTCTAATCTAGCCTCCCTCATACTTTAACATCTAGGCTTGTCTAGACGTTGGGATAGACCTAGTTTTGGAAAGCTGTGTTTTTATAGAGGTGGAGACATTGTTGAATTTAGCTACTCGGTAGCACCATTGTGTGCACTGGCTCAGAATCACAGACGTTACCTTAGTAATCTTCCTTCTTTTCTAGTCACCTCTCATGCCTGCCAGTTTATCTCCAAGTCAGGCCACTCCATCTCCTTGACATCCCTCATGTCTAACCCTACCACCCAGTCTCTCTACTTCTGCTCTAGTTACTTCTTCCAGTGCCTACATAACTGCTTTAGTCGTCTTCCTTCTCTCTCGTCCACCAGACTTACATCCAAACCATTTATCCTCTTCTCATCTGATCTTGCTTCTTCACTACTCAGAACCTTTCAGTGGGTCCTAGTTGACTGAAGGTAATATCCAAATCCTTGGCTTGCAAGACTCATTCTTGCCCCTCCATGCTCAGCTCTCACTGTATCCTGGAGCCCTTGTGGCACTCACTCCTTCAAATTAAATACACGAGGTAGTTTCATGCTTCCCTGATCTCCTTACAAACTCTGACTAGAATACAGCTCTTATTCCTGTCTAATGATCACATACCTAATGATCCTGTGTGAACACATTCCTACCCTCCACCACCCAACACCTTCCTTCCCCATAGAGAGTACTACACCCTCCCCGAACTCCCTGTAATCTTAGCCAGTTCTTTCATAATATCTATCATGCTTCAATGTATTTGGCTCATGCATCTATCTCAACCAAGGACACCAGGTCTTATTTTTGCTATAAATCTAGCATATAGTGACAAGCTGCATGGTAAGTGTTTAATAAATATTGACTAAATAGATGGGGAACATGGCAGTGCTCCTATAAAATGTGACTACTTTAACTTGACATCACACATCTAACCCCCCCATAGGAGTCATTTCATCAAGCCGAGTAATTTCCCCACCCTTGAAGGCAACATTCAGACCTACTGGAGCCCCCTCACAGAGAACAGAGACAGATAAAAAGCAACCAACGGCACCTGCCTCAGGAGATCTTGGTTAGTATGTCAGTCACTTTCCACTGGATGAGTAGCTATCAAATACTAAAAAGGTTTCAAATTGGGGAAAAAAGCATCTCAGTTCCAAGTCATCTATTTTACTCAATTCTATTATTAATATTTTTAATTAATTCTTCAATGCTTTGTTACAGAATATGCTCCTTTGCTTTACAGAGTGTTCAAGTTTGGTTTCTAAAAGTATCTAGATTTTCCCATATTTATGAGTAAAACACTTGTCATTCCTAATCACAAATATCATAATTTTAATGAGTATTAACTACTTGGTTGTAATTTTTAATTAATTATGCATTATATCCAAGAATACCTGCACCAGGACACAATTTAAGGCCTTTTGTTATAGGTAATACATATATATCTGTGACTAATAAAGGGAATCAAAGCTGCAAGCATTGAGGAGGAGGCATATTAATTATTATATCACCATTTTTTCATTGTATTTGAAGCTATTTTAATCTTTTGTTAAAATTATTTATTATCTTTCATTCTCAGGTAACACAACTGACTTTAGCTCAAGCCCAACAAGAGAAACTGATCCTCTTGGGAAGCCCAGATTCAAAGGTAAGTATGCTTGGCTCCGAATCTCAATTTTGACAAGGCTGTCTTTGACGGCTGAATCAGTCAACTATAATCATGTGACAAAGAAATACACAATCTTAGTAGTATACTTTAATAAGGATTTACTTCTCATTTTGCTACAAGTTGCCTAGGGGTCAACCAATGCAGGATGGAGCTGACTGGGTGCTTCTGTTTCTAGCGCAGGCACAGCTGGGATTCTAAATAGACTGGGCTCGGGTCTGCTATAAATCCATTCATTCTGGTGTTTAAGATTGAAGGACCAGCAATGGCCCCCAAAGAAACCATTCTCATGACAAAACAAAGTCAGGAGAGGGAGAATCCAAATAATCAAACATTTTAAGTTCCTTCTTCTGTTACCTCCAATATCCAATGGTCAAAGAAAGTCACATAGCCAAACTCAAAACAAGGAATGGGGAAAAGTTCTCCTCCCATGGATATAGAAAATACTTGTGAACAGTAATCTAATCTACTGCAGAAGGGGAGATACTCACATAACCTTTGAAAAATGCAGGTTTGAACTGTATAGGTCCACTCCTGCAGGGTTTTTGTTTTTGTTTTTGTTTTTCTATCCAGGGATTCCACATTCATGAATTCAAAAAACCACAGATATTGGCTGAGTCCTTGAATATGGAAACAAAACTCAGATAGTGATTTCTAATTTAAACTCCTTTGTCAAATAACTCTCTATTGCTTGAATCTATTGAGACTTTCTTTTATGAAGCAGAATATGGTCTGACCTGGAACATGTTCTATGTATATTTAAAAAGAATGTGTATCCTGCTGTTTGTAAGTGAGGTGTTGCATTAGTTTGCTGGGACTGCCATACCTATATACCAGAGACATGGAAATACATTTTTTCAATTCTGAGGAACAGAGGTATGGGACCAAGGTATCTTTAGGTTTTGTTTGTCCGGAAGCTGCTGTCCCGGCTTGCAGATGTCCCCTCCTCACTGTGTCCTTGTATGACTTTCCACTCTGCACACACTCCCGGAGGTCCCTTCCTCTTTAGGGCACCAGTCATATTGGAATAGATCACACAGTAATGACCTCATTTAACTTTAATTACCTCTGTAAAGGCCCTCACTCTACATTGTCACATTAGAAAGCAGGGCTTCAGCATGTGAATCTTAAGAAAATGCAGTTCAGTCTGTAACAAGGGTTCTGTGTATGTCAATTAGGTCAGGTTGCTTGGTTCTGTCGTGTACTCGTATCTTTAGTGATGTTCTGCTTACCAGTTCTATCAATTGAGAGAACAGTGGTGAAATCTCTAACTATAACTGTGGATTTTATTCTCCTTGAAGTTTTTTTTTCTAAGTTTGTGTGCATGCATGTTAAATAAAGGTCTATATTCAGATACAGACCACAGTTATTTAGTATTGTAATAAACTTTTAATAATCCTTTAAGAAATGACCTTTTATGTTTCTAATTTTGTGGTTTATTAGATGGAACCAGAATGGTTTTTAGTGCAAGTGTGATTATTCTCCAATAGCAAGGAAAGATCATTTTGGGTACCCCACAAATTATGAGGTTTAAACCATACTCATGGGGATCAAATTTCTTTTTTGTATCAGCATAAGATAAACCTATTTAAAAAAAAACCCAACATGATATCCATATTATATATCCCAGCAGCAGAATTTTGATTTTCAAAAATTTGAACCCATGTATAGTAACTGCACTCATCCATCTGCTTATGAGACAAGATGTACTCCGATAACTATATTTATGGCTTTAACTCCACCTCAAGCTCAAAAAATGCTAAATGGCAGAATCCTCTCTTTTAGGTCCCCATGTGCGATATATCCCAAAGCCTGAAAACAGTCCCTGCTCCATCACCGACTCTGTTAAACGGTTCCCCAAAGAGGAGGCCACAGAGGGAAACATCACCAGCCCACCACAGAACCCACCTACCAATCTCACTGTGGTCACCGTGGAAGGATGCCCCTCATTTGTCATCTTGGACTGGGAGAAGCCACTTAATGATACTGTCACTGGTAAGATCAGCGCATGAGGACTGTTCTGTCACTGGTAAGGTCAGAGCATGAGGACGGTTCACAATGGTGGGAAGCTTTGATAATGTGATGCATTGAGGAGTGTGGTACCTTGAGGCGGACTGAAACCTGTGAGGCATCTCTCTCAAGAGTAGCAAGTGTCAGAAGTGTCATATGATAGAAAAGGATCACTTTTGTCCCTGTCACAGGCTCCCTATTAATTTAGGAGATCTTTTAAGCTGCATTTCCCCCCTCCTCTCCGAACCCATTTTCACAATTCATAGATATATCTAGTTTTTGAATGACCAAGAAAATTAACAGAACTATATGAGAAACCATTGCTGATGATATTTAAACTAGTTTTATTTTCACCAACCCAGTTTATAGGTTCACCTAACAATTCAGGTAAACTAAAAGTTTTTTCAATTGTTTAGGGTTGTTGCGTTTTTAATTCTATTCCTGGTCAAATTTATGCTCATTTTCAAGAAATTTTGACTTTTTTTAGCCACCCAATTCCTCAAAAAATGATGATGAAAAATAAAAAGTCCTGTCATTCTTTGAATTTGCTGTTGGGAATTCGCTTCTCCATAGTGAACAAAAATGAGTCAAGTGGGGTGGGGGGGGTGGGGAGAAAACTAGTAAACTAAATCAGCTGGAGGAAACCCTACGATGCTGTCCTTTTTTTTTTTTAAGATTTATTTATTTATTTACACAAGCACTGGGTAGTCAGAAGCGCGGGAGGGCGACAGAATTCACCAGAGCCAGAGCGGGGAGCAGAGCAGACAGAAGGACCGAAGTGCACTGTTGAGGGGAGCAGCATGCGGCAGGAGAGGTCTGCGTGTCATGTGGGACCCTCGCCCAGCAGCCGGGGATCGAACCGGCGCTGCAGAGGCTGCGGGCAGCTTCGCAACCCAGCGCTCAACCGCTGCGCCACCGGGGAGGCCCCCTACGATGCTTGTCAGTAGTAACAAATAATGGGGCTCAAGGAAGAGGTGTCACTATTGTCATTTTCATGCTCTACTGGCTGGACTATGATGTTCCCAATGTTTATAATAAGTTATTTTTTTCTGTTAAGTGAATTATTTTATAATTGGTCAATAAAACCCTCTGTGGAGAAAAGAAGTTATTTAGTGTTAGTTCTTTATAGATTTCCTTATATCTTTAATAGATTTATAAACAAATTTCCAGTTCTTCTAAAAAAGAAAAGACCAGCAGTGTAATTTTTTTTTTTTAAGATTTGTTTATTTATTTATACAAGCACTGGGGGTACAGTCAGAAGCACGGGAGGGTGAGAGAATTCACCAGAGCCAGAGCGGGGAGCAGCGCAGGCAGAAGGACCGAAGTACACTGCTGAGGGGAGCAGCGGGCGGCAGGAGAGGTCTGCGCGCCATGTGGGACCCTCCTCTGGTGGCCGGGGAGCAGCCGGGGATCGAACCGGCACTGCAGAGGCTGCGGGCAGCTTCGCAACCCGGCGCTCAACCGCTGCGCCACGGAGGAGACCCCAGCAGTGTAATTTTAATATTATCAGATATACAAGTTGACTTAAGAGCCCACAAGTCTTAAATTTTTTTTTAAATTGAATTTTTTTTATTGTGGTAACATTGGTTTTCAAAAGTTCCATATTTTAAAATAATAAATATGGACATATATAAAGATTGTCTTTATCTTCTGAAATATATTCAGATTGTCTCTATCAGTGTTCTTTCTAAAAATTAATAATTCATCTTTATATTGTTGGTGGATTTATGAAATAGCTACTATCACTTTAAGACACCAAAAATGAAAACTGTATTTGCAAAGCAAGGCTGTAAATTCAAATGCTAGGATTCTAAGAGAAATTCTAAATATCCTTTTAATTATGAAGGTAGCTTCTAGATCCATTTTAAAAACTCCAGTCTATCAGGTCAAAAATTGCTTTAAATCAACTTTCAAAATTTGAGTGAAAAGAAAATTAGAAAAGATGTACAATAAAAGTGTAATGCACTTACAACCCTGGGATAATATTAAAAAAGAATATTGCACCACCAATAAGGACTGCCCTAAGCCAGAAATGTTTCTGGAAGGTGATTGCTTTTATGCATAACTGACTGGACTGTCATATATATTGTTCTTTTGGTTTCTAGACAGCACTTGAATCTTTCCATTTGGAATGTTTCATTTTTTTGTGAAACATTTTTTGTTTCATTCACTTTCATTCGCTTTTTTGTGTTTTCACTTTTTTGTTCAAAACTCAACTCAGGGGGCCTCCCCTGGTGGCACAGCAGTTGAGCGCTGGGCTGTGAAGCTGCCCGCAGCCTCTGTAGCACCGGTTCGATCCCTGGCTGCCAGCGAGGTCCCACATGGTGTGCAGACGTCTCCTGCCATGCCCGCTGCTCCCCTCAGCAGTGTATTTTGTCAGTCTGCCTGTTCTGTTCCCCACTCTGTCTCTGGTGAATCCTCTCACCCTCCCACGCTTCTGACTGTACCCAGTGCTTGTATAAATAAATAAATCTTTAAAAACACAAAAAAACTAAAAAACATAAAAAAACACAACTCAGGGATAATGAAAGCAACAACAGTATTAGGTACCACCTATTGAAAAAAATAAACTGTTAGGCACTTTATATAGGTTCCTAATTTAATCTGTACAAGCAACATTCTGAAGAAACAGGTTATCCCAGTGTTGAAAAGTAACCACAGGAGCATCATTGGTCTTACCAAGTGTTACCTGGTCCTTTCCTTCTCTAGTAAAAGGAAAGCTGTGATGGTCAATGAGCAACTCCCTAATGTTTTGGAACCTTCATCATCTACTGATTATCCCCATGTGGAAATTGCTCAAGTATAAAATCAGTGCATCTCTAGCACTCCTTTTATGAGAATGACTTTATTATGCTATTAAAGTCAAGAAAAAATAATCAACCAGGACATAAAAACAATTATCTATTGACTTTTTTCTCTTTTCAGAATATGAAGTTATATCCAGAGAAAATGGCTCATTCAGTGGGAAGAACGAGTCCATTCAAATTACAAATCAAACCTTCTCCACAATAGAAAACCTCAAACCAGACACAAGGTAATCCTTAGTGGTATATCTTGAGATTACAAAAGTCCTAACAACAGAGAAATGAAAAGACATCATTACTCTGTCATAAGGGAGGGTCTAGTTTGCATTCCATTCTTTGACTTTCTGTGTGCAGCAATAGATACCTCTAGAGTTTTTGTCATGAAGATAAACAATTTACTGGTGGGGATATAGAATTGCTGACAAATGATTTCATGAGTTAACAGTATAGCTGGGAACTCTCAATAATAGGAACCCATTGATACCAAATGCTGATATTAAATACCAAAATTTAGAGAAGGAAAAATCTATGCACCAGAGACAACTGGACTGTGTATGATGTTAAACTAGATTGGAACAGAATTTGACTGTCATGCTAGAAGGGGGAGGGAAGGGAAATAAAAGCCAAGTCACAATCACAGGCAAAAGTTTGTAAATAGTTCATGCCTAAAATAGCTACAGGCTAGTCCCAGATACAGAAATCCTTGTATTGGGAACTTTCTATCACAGACAAGTGAGACTTAAATATGTGTATTTTTAGCATAATTCTACAATACAAATAATCTTTCTTGGCATCCTTTATTGCACATTGATACCAGGTTGTTCAAGTGTAAGTGTAATTTAGTTATACTTTTTTAAATCTAAAATACCCTAATATATTACCAGTTCAGTTTATTACTGCAAGAAAAATTAGAGCCTTCAACACTTCTAGAAATATAGTAGGGAAGTTCCAAGACACTCATTTTTTAAAATAAATTTTACTTCTTTTATCTTTCATTGTCACCAATTGATTGAATTGGGTATTGATTGTGACCGCTCAAAATGCGTATTTTGGTTCTGATAAGAGGAGACTCTTCTAATGTTCTAGAGGAAAAGGAAGCATCTAATTTATTATAGATGGTTGTTACATATAAGCTATAGTCCCATGCTGCAAAAATAACTTTTTCCACAAGTGTTTTTTTCCTTTAAAGTTCTGTATTTTGAACTGTAACATGGAAAATTTTATAACTGCTAATTTTCTTAAAGGATTTAAGTTAGCCAAAATCAGCATATGTGTCAGGAAAAGCCATTTGATGATTTTCCGTTTCCTAGCAAGATTAAGGGGAGAGAGCCTATTTTTACCATCATATAAGGGAAGAATAAAAGAGAATATGTCATTTAATTTGGACATTTTAATAGGTGGATTTGGGCTTACAGAACTTAAACATTTTTCTCTTTCCTACTTTTTATTCCACCTAATAAAAAGTGAACTGTATGATACACAGAAAGTACATTAAAGGCATCCGGTTTCTAAATGTTCGCTGTGTTCCTTGAACCAGGTTGTCCTCAGATCTTCTCATAGTGCATCTGTTAACTCATGATTTGATGTAAAACAGTTATTCTGGTGACATTTTAAACTTGATTTGTTTGTAAAAGATTCCGATTCAGTGTTTTGGTGCTAGTGATGTGTTCAGTGTGGGTACATGAATAAACTTGGTGCCTGCCTTTAAGAGATTGAAAGTGGTGAGAGTTCTCCTAGAACTTGGCATGATGGGAGCCCAGAGTGGATGATGCTTCGAGGAGTCTGGGGAAATTAGGAACAACTTCCTGGAGAAGGTGATACCTAGGCTGACATTTGAAGGATGAGTAAGAAGGAACTAGCTAGATGACTGGTTGGCAGGGGAAAGGAACATCAGAGAGAAGAGCACATGGCAGTGCAGAGGCCTGAAATGGCATGGTCGTGTGCTGTGAGCAATAAACTGTTTTCACCATGGGTGAAAAGTGCATAGAAGCCATGGAAGCAGAGAGAGGTGGGAGCCAGGTGGTGGAGCACCTTCTATAGCAGATGAGTAAACTTGGTTGAGAGGTCAGGAAACCCAGAAGGATGGTAACTGGGGATTGACTTTCATTTAATTGGAATGATCACTTTTGATACTAGTGCTAATTATAATAGTAATAGTTACTAGAATAACTCAAAAAAAATTTTTGGTTAATGTCTTACATTAGCAAATTGGGCATCTGACCTATTGTATGTGGTCAAGTTAGGTGAGTAAAAAAAAAAAATACCATTGGTCTGAACTGAATTTTATTCTAGAGTCACAGGAACAATCTGGTCATGGTATTCACATCTAGTTTTTTTCTGTAATTGACGTAGGACTCAGTGCTAATTGTTTTGGGAGTTTGCCTTAGACCGAAAAACAACTATGTTCTCTTCATTATCACCCTCAAAGTTTTTGTCTTGCTTTTTTTCTCCTATTCTTCACCAGTGGGCCTTCTAAAAAAAAAAAAAAAAAAAAAAAGACCCTTACAATTATCCTTATCTCAAGACCAGCAAAACTTAAATAAGGCCCTTTCTGGATCTATCTTTGGGAAAAAGCACTATTAGGTTCAGGAATCTGAAATCAGAAGCCTGTGCCCTGTTTGAGCCCTAGGCATATACATGGAGCCATTCAACAGGTCTATATGCAGATTCTTTAATGCTAATTTCAGAGTTTGGTATCATTGAATGAAATCTGTTAAGAGAGTAAAGACTGTTACTGTTCATATATATGATTTGACCAGGATTATGATAGTTCTGAAAGGATCCCATTTAAAAATTACGTATCAGTAGTCTGAAGTAAAGATTATTTTCCTTTTGAGGGCAAATATAATACACATGGGTATAAAGGAGCTCTAATGAAAATTGTTTACCATGTGAGACAACTGTAGTGCATTATAAGGCAGCATAAAAGACATGTGAATGTAGTATTTACACCCAAGTTCTGTGAGTTAGGAGAGAAAACTTGCTGGAATGTTTGAGACTAGAACTTGATGGTAAAGGGAAAGATGAAATGGGACAGGGTTGTAAGAAAAGAAAAAGCTACTACTGTGTTATTCTTTTAAATCAAATTAATGTGCATATCTTAGGTAAAATACAAGTAGTTCTCAAAATTACTATTGGTTATAGCAGAAAAATAAAAATCACAAGTTTCCAAGTGTGTTGACATTTTTTGATGCAAGCATTTTTACAAACTATCTTGCATTGTTAAATCAAGTCTTCTGCCCATTATATCCCTTCTATTGCAACTGTGCTCTAGATTAATAAAAATACATTGTAATATATAGAGGAAGTATTTACACGATGTAGCTATAAGGTGGCATTTATTACATTAACTGTAAAGAATGACTAGTCATTTCAATACTTGGGGAAATGTTTGAATCAAAGTATATGTTAAATTGAAATTCACAAACAGGCAAACTATGATTTATAGCTGTTAAAATTCCACCATGAATTCTGGAATTCCCTATTTGAAAAGTGGGAAGATAGTAACTTCTAAAAGAATTATTCGAGCCATGTTCCAGTTCCAGCCATGTAAATGATTTAGTAGCACTTTCCATCTCGTTCCTGACTAAAAAATATGAAATCTGAAACAGGTAATGGTTACTGACTATTACACACTGGAGTGGGTGGGAGTAGAACCTGGTTTAGAACATTTAACCCAAGAGGATAAAGGCACAGAAAATAGATCCGTAGAGCTCTTCTGGGTAAAAATTCTAAATGTCCACACATTATTCTAGAACCAAAAGACCATGGACTATGCTACCATTTCTTTCTCACAATATATGCTTATGTTTTCCCTGTTAATGGCTTGACCAGATTTTTAATCTACTCTGCAGAAGCTAAAAGAAAAAAACAACCACCCATTGTAAGGGATCATCTAGTAGCTGTGTTGCTGCTGGGAGATTTTAGCTCTGCACGTGGTGTAAGATAATTCTTCTATAGGGAACACCACATGGGGGCTCTGGGGCAACTGGGTGCAGCTCCAAAGGCAGCACAGAGGAGCCCAAGCCAGCCTTCCAACAATCATATATGCACACAGGGAAGAGGGACTGTATGAGGGGAGCCATAACTGTTTTTAATATTGTGAAGCAAGACACCTGTTAACAGAGGCAAGCTACTATGACACAACTTCATTTCCTTTTTTCTAAAGGTCCCCTTTATCACCCTACCCTAAAATGCAAAGAACACGCAAAGAACATTGGTATCTAGCTGAATTAGTATCCATGTAGCCTGTTCCCCAGTGCTTACTTTTCCCTATGAAACCTCTTTAGCCCTACAACTGCCCAAGGACATGAGTCCTCTCTCTCTCAATGGGCAATGAAATGGCTCTGTTGAACTAAAACAAAATTATTAACAGGAGCCTCTCCTGTCTATAGTCAACCACATTCTCTGCAAAGACAACTAGGATTATTTTAAGCTCTGTAAACAAAAGAACTGATAGAGTATATATCTTAATAAGTCCTGTACCACTGCTCAAAAGTACAGGAAGAATGGTCTGATTGATCTCCAGGTCTCTCGCAGCTCTAAGGTGATGTAATCTTACGTTATAGAAAGCCGTACATTGTCAGTGGGAAAACTGGAATTGAAAATAAAACCGAAACCTAGATCAGTACTAAGTAAGTAGAATTTTCCCCACATGTTCTTTTTCTGAGTATTTGGGTGATTTGCAATTTGTTCTCAGATTGCTTTTAGCACATGTTGATAATCATTCATGTGCTAGATTCTTCCTGATAATCAATTTTGACCTAGAATCTTTCTGATTGGGCAATATAAATGGATACATACAATCTCTGTACACTAATTCAAAAAGTCCTTTAATGTCACTCTTCTCTTCAAATGAGTCTCACTTGACTAAAAATCTAAGAAACCCACTGTATGTGCCAGACTTATATGTGACACAGCAACTTCTATGGAAAATGTACGCTGGTGATTAACATAAATCTAGTTCACTTAACGTGCTCGAATACCTCTGTTGTTTGTGGTTTACAAAGCTTTTAGAGAACAGTTCTTTGCTCTTAGACTAAAATCTACCAGAAAATCCTGTAGTTGGCACCAAAGACAATTTGGGACTTTTGTCTGTTTAATAAAATCTTGGCATAGAAGCAGCAACTTCTAATAACCTGTACATCTGGCTGAACAAAGCAGACCTATTGGAATAGTCATTATGTTCTATTCATAGTGTTTTTGTGGAACTCTGGTTTCTGCAAATAAT